CAAAATAACAAATACTTCATTTTCTACCCCAGTATGTGGGAGTTGCCAAGTAGTTTGCAGATCACCTGAAGATTAGTCTCCACGGCTTATTTCACCTTAATATTAACCACCCTAACACTAGCCTAACTTAATCTAATCTTCCAGGTAGTGTTAGGGAGTTTAATCGTCAGGTGAAATAAGCTGGGGCATCTCATGTGTCGATGATGTGTGTGATTGATGACGCCAGTCTCGGGGCGACGTTCTTGGAACCCCCCCACCCCCGTCTCTCGCTCTCAACATCGACATTGTTATCCATTGTGACTATTTTTTTTTATTATATATATAAACCATTACTACGCATGCGTTCAAAAGAATTTCAAAAAACCGAAATATTCCGGGTGCGACATTCAACAGTTGTGAATGGCAGGAATAGCGATTTTTTTTTAAGAGTGGCATACATTTAACCTTGAGGACTTCCACGTAGTTAAATAAATAAGCCGGTGTCATGAATTCTCCTTCTACGAAATTCTTTTTGTGTTGTTTCTACATTGTCTTTAGGCGTAATATTAGCAAAGAATTACACGGTGTTTTTTTTTTTGTCGGTAAACACATACAAATATGGGCCTGTACAAAAATGCGTTCTAATGAGGAATTTAATATTTGGTACACTTGTCGTGCGAGGTAGATGTACAGTAGGTTTAGCAATGGATAAAAAAAAGTGTAGAAGCGAGGAGAATTATGACATTCGATAAATTAGCCTAGATTTTGTGCTACAAACAAATTCCCGTATACGGTGCAATCTTAGCTAAAGATAATTATTTACAAAATTAACCTTAGCTGCTTTACCAAACGTGAGTAGTTACCTGTAGGTTACTGTGCTTTGGTCGTTAGTATATGACTACAAACAAGCAATTTCCCACGCATGGCACAAAATAAATCTAGCATAAACAAACTAATCTATAAAAACTTGGGTATGCTACTTAGGGTTTGAAAATTTATTTTCTTTTTTATTATATTTTGTTTTGTTTGAATTTATTTTGTAAAAATTCATATATGCCTACCGATGAAATTAGTCACCGGAGATACCACTTATAGTATTAAAAACATTTATTCATACTGTTAGTGGTTCTCAAAAAAATCAAAATGACAGTAGACACCAAGTTGATAGAAAATACAATAGAATTAGATACTCACTGGATGTCATGACTGAAAGCAAGACTATATATAGCCGCTGCCGTGACCTAGGTAACGTGCTCAATAGTATTCGCCATCCGGGAATCCCAACATATCATTGATTCCCGGAAAAGGGGGACAATAGGATCGATATGTCTACATGCTAGGCTGTGCGTGCTAGGCCAGGGCGGGGTGACTCACGTGTGGGGGTGGACCAGCCCTTTATGGTTCACTCCCACACTATTTTGTACTTAGTTGTAATAATATCTTGATTTATCTACCTTTACCCACAGCTGCCCGGCTATATTATGACGCCGCATCATGAAATATTCTTAGATACGATGGTTATTAATTCTGGCGATGACGTGATCGAATACGGGCGAGATTAATTCAATCATGACACCTACCACGGCGGTATATCCTGGCGGGCGAGATTCCGCCTGACGTACTTTAAGGTTATTTTCTACGAAGTGACCTTTCACGTACAATTACCTTCAGCGAAAAGGCCCATTTTCTGGAACTGTTTTTGTAACTAAATGCTGATTGTGTATGCGTTCACTGTCTAGGTGCCAGTTATTACACTGCATTAGAAGCAGCAACAACATTAATATATGTGTATATTAATTTGGGTTACAGTGACTTTATTTTATTATGTCCAAATTCACCAACAACTTCCAGCTATGTGCGGTCTGTGCGACTGCACAGGACCACCATTACTTTAGGCCCCCCTCCTGAATGCAGTACAATACACAGTATTTGTTTAGTAGGATTCGTATTTCAATTCTGATGTGTCGTGTTGCACAACTTGGGTTTTATTAAAAAATTGGAGTGTTCCAAATTTTTTAAACTTGCATTAAAGATAAAGTTTTTCGAGCTGATTTTAAATGTGAAACTCATGTTTTAGGGAAATGTTTTATTTGTGACTTGCAGGTCTATGAATCACAAGTGCTGGTCAATCATGCTGAACATAATCTCGTACAAATTTTGCCCTTTGTGACGCTGACGCCACAGAAACTCGCACAGGCACCCATCCAACATTTGGTGATGAATACCGGCTTGTTTCTTAGGTTAGGTTAAGTTAGGTTCGGTCAAAAACAGACACTGTTCCTCTTTTACGGGGAATAGCCCACCCGGGCTCAGGTCATCGACCCACAACGGGGCTTGGGGGACGAAAAAATAAGAGTAAAAATAAATTAGAATTAGAAACGAAAAAGATTATTAATCTACAATACACCACGAAGATGCCGGAAAACCAGCTTTTTGAAGTGAGACAGATTGTAAGAGTATGGAAACACAGAAGAAGGCAGAGCATTCCACAGTTTGGCTGTCTGAGGAAAGAAGGATGTACTTGTACTATAATGGGTTATTCTAGTCACTAGAATCTAGTGTGACCGACACCCACACAGAAACGGTGGGCAAGACGAGTGTTACTAGCCCACGGCCTTGCCGGAGGTACACAGGATGCCAAATCCACCGAACATTGCCCGTTAAAGTACCTGTAAAAGAGAGAGTGACGCAACATTGTGGCGAAGAGAAAGAGAAAAGAGATCATCAACTAAAGGAGGAGAGTTAATAAGACGAAATGCCTTTGATTCCACCCTATCTAACAGTTGGACATAAGAAGAGCCATCCCAGATATGAGAGCAGTACTCCAAGTTAGGACGTATGCATCCCTAATGAACTTGAAGCAACTGCTCACGAGTAGTAGCTACGGCATCTGAACAGCATTCCCAGATTTTGGGAGGCAGCTTTAGCAATGTTGTGGATGTGTGGCTTCCGTGGCATATTAGAGGAAATGATGAGGCCTAGCATATCTATTTTAGAATTTGGCAGATTGATTGCGTCTTGAAATGTGTTTGGTGGGAGATCATCTAATTTGGAAAGTGAAATTGGCAAATACTGTGTTTTATTACTTTTGAATTTAACCAAGTTTCTACCTCTCCGTTCGGAGAAGCTGCACAGATCCGCATTGATAGATGAAATGTCAGCTCTAGAAACAGATCTCAGTAGTTTGAGAATTAGGGGGGAGGGAAAAATGTGAAGAAGAGTGAAGAGTAGAATCATCAGTATAAGAATACTTAGAATTAGTCGTAGTGTGAAGTAAACCAGTGATAAAAAAAAGGAAGAGAGTAGGTGAAAGAACAGAACCCTGTGAGACACCACTATTGGTAGAGAAAGGGCGAGAGATCGATCCCTCGACAACAACTGCCATGGATCGGTTGCCAAGGAAGCTAGAAAATAGAGAACAAAATGGAGAGAAACCATAAATTCCATAAAAGGAAAGCTTAGAAAGCGAAGACTTGAACCATACCCTGTCAAATACTTTGGAGATGTCGAGGGCCACGACGAAAGTTTCCCCATAATCCCTAAGGGAGGATGATCAAAGATGGGTGCAGTAGGAGAGCAGGGCCGGTATACACAAAACTTTAAGTGCTAGCAAACAGTTATTAAGGCTGACATTTTCCTGTTAAGTACTAATAGTACATACACAAAACTTTAAGGGCCTTAATAGTTCTGTTCAATTAAAAGACCTCGGGAGCCCTTTTAAGTCCCGTAATAGGAGATATATTTAATGAACATAGTGTGTATATATTAAATATAGTGTGAATATATTGTGTGTATTCCCTCTTTATAGCAGAGATCTTTCTTGGCTTGGACAATATTGAGAATCAGCGTGTCTCACTTTGCCACTGACCTCACCACACCAGGAAACTCAGCATTGACTCTCATGGTGATTTCCAGCCATGCCCTCTTTGGTTATTTTTTGTTAACTACCCATCACCCCTTTTCACATGAAAAATATATCATTTCGCTAGTTTTCTTGCTGTTTTAGATGATTCTCACATTTGTCTTTGGGGCAAATCACATGTACTGTATAAAGAAATTATTTTAGACTCGTTTCCTCAGGCTGCTGCAGACGACATTCATGCATCAGTGGCCTGGCATGTTTTTCATAGAGCGAACAACAAATCTATTAAATACACATTAATATCAAAGAGTAAACTCAATGTGATAAGCACTACCTTATATATTTTAGGTTAGATAAACGTGTTATGAATTTCACGAATGTATTATTAAAACCTAAGTTTTTTTGTCAATGACGTTTGCGTAGTTTGACTAAATTTAAATTAATCTAATGAAAATGTTAGCATTTTAAATAATCTATTAGATTACATGCCCAGAACTTGCCAACAGTGTGTAACAGAGACGTGACCATCCGCAACGAGCCGAGCAGTGATAAAGAGGATAGAAGTAAAGGATAGCATGGATCAAGATTTCAAATAATCATTGTTAAAAAATTACCGCGAATGAGGTATTAATTTATGTTTGAGGGAATATGAAATGTGAAACATATCATGACCCAACTATACAAAAACTGTAATATCGGTCAGGGTATGCTATATTATTAATTATATACATACAATATAAAAGTTGAGGGGATAGTGTTCTTGTTCGTGGTATATTTAAAACACTAATATACATCCCTCCATCTTAAGGTTCTGAAATGCAAAACCAACTAAAACTACTAAATCAAAAGGAAGTTCCGCAATTTCAATATTTATGCTTTAATGAGACCTTCATTATTTATGTATATAACTAGTTTTACATCAATATCTTTATATCACTTCAATATATAAACAAAATGATAGTAACAGTACGGTATCTAATACTAATGATGCTGCCTCTATATCTCCGTCCCCATAATACAGAGAAATAAAATATTCATGAGAACAATTAAATTATATATGACATTAAGAAGTGTATCCTTAATACGTGAATAATAATATATATTTAAAGCTCTCCTTCTGATTGAATAATGATGTTTTTCGCACTTCAGAATAAGCATCCATCCATCCTAGGAGAGACAGGAGAGGACGGCAGGGACGGTAGAGATGAGTGGCAGCAATTTCAGACCTCCTCACCGTAGTTCACATTGAATTACTTTCCAGGAGGTCATTCTCTTCTTCAAGTGTAAGACCCCGTGCCTCAGGGCTATAATTAAGTGTCTTGAGCCGTTAGGGGAAGGGTGTCCAGCGAGATATAACCCAGCAAAAATGGTAAATTTCTTTTGTTAATATTTGTGATATTTCAAGATGATACCTAAGTAAGTAATTTGACAGATTAGTAAGCGAAGTTACTGACCACAAAATGTGTTAATTAAAACGGTTGACAGTGGAGGATCAATCAATAAGTGGTAACTTGCCAGTGCTTGTGCATGATTTAATGTCCACATATAAAACATTAACTTATATCTTCATAAAGTTTGTCTTTATTTTCTGCTAAATTCGTATTTAAAACCATATAAATTATGGTGTGATACAGCTGCCATTAGGTTTTAGAGGTGCGGGGGTGTGGTAAGGATTTAAATGGTTATGTAACAAGGCATGTAACTATAGGCGTTGGTTAAGGAATGAGGCTTATAAGAAAAAAATTGTCTTACAAAGTATTAATTCTCTTAGAAAATATACCCGTAGATTATTAATAATTTATTTATTATCTTGCTTTCCAGCTGTACTGTATATTTAATATCATGTACAGTACATAGATAATGTAGGTGTACAAGCAATGGTAAAAAGTTTGTTGATTAAACCAAGTCCTAGGGAGGTTGTTAAAAGCTTAATTCCTTGGGTCTGTACTTCCTCACGGTAAAGGTGGAGGGGATGCTTAGCACAAGAAATAACTTAAAGAATTGAACCAAAATTTATGGAGATACTATTTGCATGATATTGAACATGGAAATGAGGATGCACAGAACCTATTAGAACTTGACCTGACCTGACCTGACCTAACCTAACCTGACCTGACCTAACCTAACCTTACCTCACCTCACCTAACTTCCTAACCTGTGCATTGTCTTTTTAATTTTCTTACTATCATCCAAACAACTTTTCTATAAAAATTTAATGAATTAAATCCATTATAAATCGTAATAAACACACCCGGTGAGATCGTCATTCATTTTTTGACATGTAAACAAAGACCACAGATGCTCCCATATAGCAGACGATGTGAACCAAAACATGATTGCCATGGCATATCCAATAGTGCCATAATTTAAGTAAATAATTTATTTCTTTGCCTACAAAGCACGTAGACGTGAAATTACTTCCTTGATGCCCTGCTCACTAACAAATAATTTATGATTGAAGGATAGGCTAACAAGAAAAAATACTGCAATGTTGTCATTTCGATTTTATTACCTGGTACTGTATTATCTGAAGAATAACTGGAAAATATGAACAAAATATATAAACGCTTTCGGGTGCTAACCGTCTGCTCCAATTTCATTAAGTGAGTGCCAGAATTTAAAAAAATAATTATTATACAGCACTATATACAGGTACATAAAGATTCAACTCGGATGTGAGCTTATTCAAGACCATTCTTGACCAACACTGGTGCAAGTTCAGATACATTTTGGAGCCAGTGCATGCCCAGTACTTGCCAACAGTGCGTAACAGAGACGGGACAAATCACCCAAGTAATGTTGAGCCAACATGACATCTCCATGTTGTAATGTATGGGCACTGTACTGTACGAAGAGAAAATCTTTAAAATGGTAAAAGTCTCAAAGATACTGAAAATTAAGATTATGGAAATGAAAATAACTATGCACAGATACAAGGCATTACCATATTTTACGGTATATACACACGGCCATATAAGATGCTACCCCCCCCCATTTTAACAGGGAGTATTTAGGAAAAAACTTTTGTGTGTATTTCCCTCCTGTAGCCATAGTTTTCTTAAAAAAATATATACAGTACCAGTAAATGTGGGAAATAAATAAAAATAATACCAATAAATAGGTTACAAAAAAAAAACACTATTACCAAACCAGTAAATAAAAGCAAAATGAAAGTTTAACACAGTTGCCATTTGCATATGCTCCCTGCTTCACCATAGCAAAGGAGACCAGCAAGGATGCTACTGCTGACTCCCTAGCAACATTCCCTCTTCCCACACACGGCGCCATCCCCCCGCACCCCACTGAACCAGCTGACTCGTGTATTAGTCGGTAGTTGTGTGTGTGTGTGTGTGCGTCAAAACCAGTGTCTTTATATTATATGCACTTGCAAATTTGTTTGCACGTCTCTCACCCTTCCTCCATTTCTTAGTCTCTGTACAGTACTTCAATGAGAAATATGATACTTGTTATGCAATGTGAGCATAGGGTGGTTGAGCCAGCCTAGTGCTGCACATGAGCGACCAAGCACAGATAAGGGGAGCAATTACCCAAGCGTGGTACACTCAGCCATCTCCACCTAGTAGGGTCACATAACCAGTGTTGTGACAGTTGTGTGTGCCCAATTGGTGTTGATCCATTCCCCAGTGGTGAAATAATCTGAAAAATAAACTCTAGCTATCTGTTTCCTGGTTTAATTCTGTTATTTGTGGTAACATTTGCTCTTGGAGAAATAAGTGTCATCAATTGTTAATACAGTAAGACGTGTGGAAATATTTTGTATGTCACTGTTACATTAAGATTTGTATGCCAGTAACTGGTTCTTAAGTGATGAAATTTGTGAAGGTCTGTTCTTTGACTGATTCTAAGTGTCTGTAATTGATAGGTGTCACTATGCTGGCTATACTTGTCATTACACTTGTGTATTTCTGCTTCTTCAAGAACAATAATGAGTATGAAGTAAGTATATACTGTAGTTTATTGTAAATTTATGTGCAACTGTCAGTTTCAAGAGTAAATATACTACATGAAAATAAAACCTCAGCATGGTAATGTGAATGTTTATTACACCTAGACATCATTACTAATCAGTTAAGATCCTTATTTAAACTTTGTGATCCAAGTGGCTTTAAGAAAGATTCAAAGTTATATTATTCACCTCTAGATTATGCTTTCTTTATGTTCATATTTTTGTACTGTACCATGTTGTTAGGATTATTTTACCAATGTAAGAATCAGTTTCTTATGTGGGTGAAAAGGTGAGGAAGATCTGGTAAAGTGGTGTTGAAATTTACCGAGTCATATCCCCTTACCATGCACTGTACTGATAGAAACCGTTATAATTCTGATTTCAGCAATGAGTATGATGTAGAGTCTTGGTAAACATGAAAAGATGGATAACGGACTTCTTTATGTGTGCTATATTTTGTATGATATTAGTATACGATATCATTATTTGTACAGAAGACTGCAAAGATCACCTTGGTCAGAGTTTGGGAAACATGCAACACAAAGGGAGGGAAGTTTCATACCGGGAGAACAGGTCTAATAATTTTTGTTTTAGAATTACTGTATACAGTAGATCCTTCCTATTCACGGGTTTGCGATTCGCGGTAAGCAGATGGTGGCTGTGGTGGCTACCTTGCAAGCTTTTTCCCGCAGCACGAGTAGCCCACGCAGCATCTCGTGTTGTACTCTCAAAACTTTAGTGTTTCTGTGTGAAATGGACCTTAAAAGACTGCCTAGTGTCAGTGCTAGTGGAGTGAAATGCAAAAGGCAGAAGTCAGTGATGACTCTGAGAAAGAAAGTTGAATTATTAGACAAGTTAAAAGAGGGGATGAGTGGTGCCGCGGCTGGTCAGTTGTTTGGTACAGGTATACACTAGTGCACTAAGGTAGTATAAGCTGCTATTCCCAGCTTTCCCTATCGCGCCATTTCTTGGAACCTATCCCTCGCGAATAACAAGGGTTTACTATGTACTCAATTTACATTACTCATCTTTCCAGATGGACTGGCTAGTTGCATGTGTGGCACTGGTCCACCTTTTTGTTGCACCATACACCAAGGTGGAAGAGAGCTTCAATCTGCAAGCTTGCCATGATTTACTCTACAAGGGGATTCATCTGGAGGAGGTTAGGAAAGTCTTAACATGAGCCTAAGGGAGCAGGTACTGTAGATCTAGTCAGTAAAATTATCTGTGTGTAGGAACTACTAATGTAAGGAATATTAATTTGATGAATGCGAGTACCTGTAATTTTAAGTTAAATATTATAATAAATAAATATACAAGTACCCTGTATCTATATTTTTAGCATCCTTTAATTCTATATATAGTACAGTACTGTAGTGCTGAATTACCAGTCTGTAAAGTTTAAAAAAAAGTGAATCACCTGTGAACCACACAGACATTTAACTGTTAGAATAATCTTAGAGATATTGGTCAAGTCTTTAAACATTGGGGTAAAATGAAAGTTTATACCTAAGATTTTATGGTTCTTTTAAACTTTTACCCCCTACAACTGTTTCAGTATGACCACCTGGAGTTCCCCGGGGTGGTACCTCGAACATTTATTGGCCCCATAGTGGTGGCAACCATTGCCTACCCAGCTGTAGCTGTTGTCCAGTTATTCGGGCTCTCCAAGTTTATTGCTCAGTACATCGGTAGGTGACAGGCTAGTTTTATGTAAACTCACTGAAGAATGTACATTTTTGTGATATTTACACCTTTAAGTGAATCTCATTGTGCTGTGGTTTGAGCCTTTTTAATTAAAGACTTGATACAGTGGCTTAACCATTTTGACACATTATTTAGCAACAAGTGCAATTTAGATCTAAAGGTGATATGTACCAAAGTTTTGGAGATAAACCTTATATTTATATCTATACAGAATATCTGAACCTGTAATGTACACGGGCAAATCATTGTAAACAATGATTATTTTATTACAGTTAATTAGAAAATATATTTTTTTATTTATTTTTTAATAATTACCAGCAAAATAGTGAGAATGTTGATTAAATGATCTTCTTTAAGGTGTTAATTTAGTTTTGAAAAAGTGAGGTTTTATGATTGAGAAAGAATTAAAAAACAATATGATTGTTCATATGATAATACAAGGAAAGGAAGATTGAATTTGTTGACTCAGCTGTATGACTTGTAATACTTTACTCTTTTAACCCCTTCACTACCAGGGATGCCACTTGTGTTCTGATTCATGTTCTTTATATGAATTGAGAATATAAGTGGGTACAGTATAGGGGTTTTATTTAAGTTTATTGTTAAGGAAAGTTAGGTGTATATTGATTAAGAATTTACTTTTGTCTACTATTTAAATAAGATGGAGGGATAACTAGGTGCTAGAAAATAGGTAGATGTATATATAGAAGGTTAGCTAATAATAAGATGATATTTACTAAATATAGATTGTCTTTATATTTTTTTAAATAATGAATATCTGCCACCAGTGCGAGGTGTTTTGGGGTTGCTGGTTATCCTGGCTTGGCGAAAATTACGCAAGCAGTTGCAGGAGAGTTTTGGGAAGCCCCTCACTATCTGGTTCACACTCATCACTGCCTCACAGTTCCACTTCATGTACTACTTAAGCCGTCCTCTGCCAAACACATTTGCATTAGTTGTAGGTAAGTAGATTTATTTTTTATGTATAGTTGATGGTAATACTGTAATTTAAGAAATAAAAACATGATATTGTATTTGTTTGTCATGCCTTTGTTTATTACTTGCATGGTGGATAACTTCCCTCACTTGCAAGTTCTTTGAAATATGGACAACTTATTTCTGTTGTATTTGAGTCTCTTTGAGTTAGTTGGTTGTTTTTTCAGTGGGATTTATGCTTCAGGCTCTCAGTGTTGTCATTCTTCCCTCCCTTTTGGCCTTTAGTACTGTATTGGCATATACTGTATTTTCCCTTTTATCTTGAGGAATATGTCTGTTAGTGAACAATTCTCTCACTAATGTCATTGACTGTCCATTTGTCATTCAGTCAGGATTGCTGATTATTCTCAGTCACCCACAGAATTCAGATGATGTGGATTATTTTCATGTCAAGTCTTCCGATTCTTACATGAAAACAGCAAAGGGTGCTGTCATGTGTCTCTAGTGATGTGAATCTTGTTAATATTAAGGGATTTGGGGAAATTGATGCTATACGGATATTCTTCTTCTTGATAATGAGGCAGTTAGTAAGGTTGCTGATGGTGATAGATTTTGCTAATATCTAGGTGTACCTGCTAATTTGTTAGATATTGAAGCAACCACCAGGCTGAGGTTGGAACTGTACTCAAACTCTGCTTCACCTGGATGAGATGCTGGTCATGGAACAATTTATTTTGACTTGAAAAAGACAATGTCTTTGGCTCAGTTCATGAACAAGGCAAGCTTTACCAGGGAATGTTTGGGGTGGGAAAATCTCGCTGGTCACTTTGCCTTTCCTCCTGGCTATAATTAGAGATTCTACACTTCATTCTTTTGTTTGCTACAGCAGCTATGTTTTTCTCCAGCCCTGCTCACCTTCTCATATTGGCTGGAGCAACGTCATCGCCTGCTCGTATGGACATCTGGAATTGCAGTTTTAATATTCAGGTCTGAGTTGTGTCTCCTTTTGGGCCCCATGCTGCTTGCTGACCTCCTGACACGCAGATTTCAGAGCATACCGTGAGTGAAATACAATACTGTAACTATGTTTCACATATGTTCACCATATTACGGAGATTTAAGTAATTGTTTTGTAATTTCTTCAGCTTCTTTTCCATGGAAATCAGGGATTATGTTAGGCACTTTTTTCTTTTCTTTTTTTTAATAGGCATTCCTAAATTCAACACAACCTATACAGTATTTTTAATGAGTTTTTGTACATTTATTAATATTGAAGATAAGCATGTCACTTATTTGACATTCTACAGACCCAACATTTATCTAATTTGTACCTGACAGTTTCCTTCAGAGTGCCATACCAGCTGGACTCTGCTGCCTGGGGATGACCCTGGCCATCGACTCATTGTTCTGGGGTCGACTTCTGTGGCCAGAAGGAGAAGTTTTCTGGTTCAACACCTACAAAAACCAGAGTGGCACCTGGGGTGTATCCTTTTATTCATCAGATTTGTTTCGCTTATCATTGCATGTATGTTGATGATTTTTTTCCACACACACACAGACATACAGAAAGTATATACACTGTAGTCTATTAATTTCTAGGATGGTGAGAAAATTTTTCAGACAATGTTAACTCTATGACACTTGGTGCACCAGTGAGCCAGTGCTGTCAGCTTTGGCTAACAGCATCCCTTATAATTCTCTAGATATTGAAGAAGTGGGAGGTCAAGGTGATTAGTTAATTGTTTTCTGCAGTTCTCCTTAAAGATTTGAGTGATATGGGCTAATATCCAAGCTTTAGGGTTAACACATGGCAGCTAGGTGCAGTGATGGCATCATAAGTTAACAGGGTTAATGAAAAATTAATTAATTCATGCCCAGTTTAGCTAATGTTGATTTCACTGTAGTCTAAAAAAATGACTAAACTTTTTTTTAACAAACAAACTTTATTAACTTGCAGAAATTAAGTATATTTCTGGGTTACTCTAATTTCATTACCAAGTCACTTGCCACAAGCGTAGTGTTTACCAGAATTTTATATACTGTACTGAGGTTAAAGAATTCATTGTTATTTTGTTATTTATAAAATTCACTAGATTCACCGCTAAAAGTAGCTTTATCTGTACAAAAATCAAAACTTAAAATTGGAGGCACATTAGCAGCAATAACAAAAACATGTAAATAGCAATGATGAAAGCATAAAAAAAGACAGAAGTTAATGTACATTCTGTCAAAGTCTCAGGGATGCTTACCATAGCAAAGCAGCCCTCAGCTGGAACACTGCCACCCTTCAGTGCTCAGTGCCATGGGAGGTGTACAGAACTGTATTGTAATCATGGGATATGCCTTTATAATGCTCCCCAATTACTGATAATTTCTAAAGATATTATTATAATATATAACAAAAATTAATAAAGGCACTAACATTAAAGTAATTTTATTGCCAGTACATCCTGTTTGTGATTAATCACATTATGATAGGTCTCATCAAAATGTTTTAAGAAAAAAAATTAACTGTGAGGAGTAAAATAAATTAATATACTACAGTAAACTCTACCAGTATATGTGAGCTATAAATAAAGTAATACCAATAAATAAAAGAAAAGAAAATGTACTGCATTGCCATTTGGCTGCCGGACAACGAAGTATTTTTCAATCGTTTCACTACACGCAGGACTCAGCTGAGGACCCACACTCCACTGACCCTCCTCCCCTCCCACACTCAGAGTGCTAACTTTATCACACAAAATTTTTATTTCCGTTATGGTTTTTACCATGATTTTATTTTATTTTTTATTTCTGTAAGTAAGGTTGTGTGTGTGCATGTAACACAAAAATAAAAAAAAATAAAGTTACGTTCTACCTGAAATTACGAGTTAAAAAATAAATAATTGTAATATAGCTCACAGCTCAGCCTGGTAGGAAGAGGGCTAGGGGGATATACTGTAGCTACAGTGACAAGTCCAACTTGGCAGCAATGGCACCCACCAGCTATGCAAACAGATACAAATGAAAGGCAAATTATCTGTAAATCTTCATTTATGTCAGGTTTTGTAGATTTATAGTGACATATATAGTGAATAAGGTTCTGATCTTCATGTAGCAATGTAAAGAAAGAATCTAGGGGTATGGTAGGGAAACACAGGTTAAAGGAGCATACTGTTATGGTGAGCTTACTGCGAGTATGTACCGGGTAACTGTCATTCACTATAAATGACCCATGGAAATGCATGAATTTTTAACCTCTCAAAAATATAGATCGATCACCTACTTTTTGCATAAAAATTTGTTCATAATAAATTGCATTATACTTGAGTATATACTGTACAATAATTCCAAAGTTGCATTATGCTTTTTAAGGGTGAATCACCATGTACAGGAGCACAAAAAGCTTCAAAGGTTAGAAAAAATTTTCTGGAAGTCAAAATTGTGTTTTTTTAAATCTGTTACCGGTACAGGTATTCATTTGTGTGATTATATAATGTATGACATATGTACAGTACTACAAATATCCTTAACTTATGTCAGACTTCACCATTTTTGTGGTACTGGTACTCAGCACTACCAAGAGCTTTGGGATTAAGTTTGTTTCTTGTTCCTGTTGGTATTGCACTGGACAGACGACTGCAGGTGTTGGTTACACCAGCTCTCATATTTGTCGCTATGTACTCCTTTTTGCCGCACAAGGAACTACGGTTTATTATCTACGTGTTCCCCATCCTCAATGTTGCAGCTGCAAGAGCTTGCCAATTCTTGTGAGTTTCTAAAATCATGTACTACTGTACTGTATCGAGTCATACTTTACTCCTTTTTTTTTTTTATTGTTTTTACTAATTAAATTTTTACAAGTTTCTTATATCACTACAGTACTATAGTTTTAGGGGTCGTCTTTAAACTCTCATGTATTCATGACATAAGTATTTATTATTTCCTTAAATGAGTCACTGATTGAAAGTTTTGGTAGTTCCTGGAATAATTAATTCATGTATACGTACAGTACAGTACTGTATTCAATATTTTAGGTCACGAGAGCTCCCTAAATCAACTACTGAAGTAATGAGTGAATAACACTTATTAATTAGATTTTTGTGATTTTCTTATAAACTTATTACGTACTATAACATGGGAGTCTGCAGGGGATACTTAAACTTATGACATGAAAGTAATTTTATGTTATGTATTAAAATTTTAAAGATTTTTGGATAAAACCTTGTAGGTAATATTAGCATTAAAATTCTTTCCAATAATTCCTGAAAGTGGATCAATATTGTTGTACTGTATCAGGATTCAAACTACCTTTTAGGAACAAACTGGAAAGTCCAATGAATAATTAGATTTACTCTACTTGTACAGTAGTTACAATACTTTAATAAAGTAACATTTATCCATCATTAATTCTAAGTCTTAGGTTTGTTATATTATACAGTACAGTTAATGAATGATAAATGCTATGTTTCAGTTGGGAAGGTCGAGAAAAATCTGGTACGCGTCAGTTATTGGCTATTGGATGTGCACTGCATCTGCTGGTGAATGTGGCTTTCACAACCCTTCTATTGACTATCTCAGCCAACAACTACCCTGGAGGGGCAGCCATCTACAAACTGCATCAAGTAATCCCACAAGATGCTAATGTTCACATTCATATTGATAACTTTGCAGCACAGACTGGAGTATCAAGGTTTACACAGCTTCATGATCACTGGAAGTGAGTTGGAGATTTACCTTAAAGTGGAACAATAGTAAACTGTAGTATTACACTCACAATTTAACTTAGGTTCAGCCCTTGTAAGATGGATAAGTGCTTACAGATCAGTTATGCCCAAAGGTAGTTGGTATATGCATTACTAGACTAAACATCCTTCTGGAGAAAACAGCACAATAATTGGTTTCTGATAGATATATTACTGGTTAATAAACTGTATATTACACCTTTATTAACTAATGTTCACGCAAACATGATCAAAGCTTAAATACTTAAATACATTGTTTATCAGAACTTGAATTAGGAAAATGTATCCCACTTAAAATTTTTGCAGGTACAACAAGACAGATAATATGAAGGCAGGAAGCAGAGATATGCGGGCCTTCAGTCACCTGCTGATTGAGGGCAAATCCAAGTATTCATACAACCTGAAGCATTACACATCTTCCCATGAGATAATGTCATCAGTGGAAGCATTTTCTCATCTAAGTTTCAATTACCAACAGTTTCCTCCAGTGAAGGTGGTGTTTCATTTTTTATTTTTTAATGAGATTCTGGGTACCCTGTATAATGTTTGGATTAAGCGGGATGCCAGATCAGAACACATTGAGTGAGACAGCTAGAGATTGAATAACAGTAAATGAGAAAACATCTTTGTTGCTTTATGTTCAGGTTATTTTGCATTTTATTAGTAAGAGGAACAAAACAATGTTTTTTTTGTTTTGTTTTTCAGAGGTGGTGTTCATCATGTTTATACACCCATTGAAAATTATGACATCTTCTGTGTTGATATTTTTTTATACTTTGCAGGACTATGAATTATTACTATATGGTATAAAGTAATGAACTTCAGATTCGGTTCTTTAAGTCAAAAGAAGTCAATTTCATAGTCCTTGTTTAGCAGTGCCGTATTCTTAATGAATGCAAAATATATTTTTAAATGTTATCTTCAATAATACAGATTTAATTTTAGAGTCTTCACAGTTTTCACTCAGGAAAGTCGAGGAGACTCAGCATCCCTCAATGCAGGCAGAAGGATAAGCTGCATGCCCTCAATGGACATATAGTAGATGTAACCATCCTATCAATAACATGCTAAAATAACTTTTATTGTGTTGGAGCAAAAGGAATTTGAGCCATTTTAGTCACATTTAATATTTTTTTTCCTTTAATAAGCATGAAGTCTTATGTTATATGGTGATATTATATTACCTAAAAGTGGCTGTTTATATCACAAATAGGGAAGTGGTTTTAATATATCAGCATCGTTAATGCGACTTATTGTAGATTAGAATATCAAAAATAGAGGTTTACCTGAAGCTGTATGTACCTTTTCATACTCAGCCAATCATTTAACTGTACTACACAAATGTTCAGAATGTCTTGATACATTTTAATATACCATTTATTCAGCAAGTTTGATATTTCAATTTCCATATTAAATCTTGATTATTCTATATATTTTTACATATAGGACTGGTCAACTGAATCCTTGGTGCACTGGATCCCAATATAACATAATTATTGAATCCCAACCTGCAATAATTATATCTTTACTTTCAGCTACTGTATATCCTCATCTCACCCCATTGCATTTATTTTTTTTAACCCTATTTTCAGTCATTCCACATCTGGGTTATGAGCTGAATTTTCAAGATTGTCTATTACAGTTAACTGTATTTTATATCCACAGGTAAGAGTGAAACCAGCAGTATTCCTCTTAAAAAATTTAGAAGAAGAATTTATAGACTGGTCCTGGGTTGATGGAGTAGGGGTAGAAACTTGGGCAGAAGACACTGAGGAAGCAGAAGTAGTTTGGCAGCAAGAGAATGTTGAGAAACAGACACAGGAAGATGAGGGAGAAAGAACACAGCATCTAGAAAGGGCCAGCTCTGAGTTAGGGGAGCCACAGAGGGATGATGAAGTAGAGACAAGTGAAGGTGAAGATGAAGAACAAGAGAAGACATATGATAAACAAGAGGTTGAAGAAGGGGAAACAACAATGCATGAAATTCAAAAAGATACAGAAGAGTCTGTTGAAGAAGAAATTCTTTTAGAGCCAAAACTTCCTGATGGTGGTTGCTTAGCCCCAGAGGAAGGAGTAGCTGAAATACTCTCTGTGGATGATTTTCAAGATGACCATCATGTGGATGAGCAAGTAACATTTGAGTCAGATGAAGACAGGGAGGTAACTGAAGTTGCAGCCTCAGAACCTCCCACTGTTATAGAAGATGTAGTAAACATTGAACAAGAAGACCTTGCAGGATCTTGTACACAATGCACCTCAGGTGATGATGATACTCATAATGATAATACTGATGTTATTAATAGTGATGGTGTGCAAGAAGGTAATGAGGATGATGTTAGTGATGACGCTGATAGCAGAGTTGATATTAATGTTGTTGATGATGTTATTATTGATGAGAGTACAGGTGATGTTATTATTGATGAGAGTACAGGTGATGATGTTATTATTGATGAGAGTACAGGTGATGATGATGTTATTGATGATGAGAGTACAGGTGATGTTATTATTGATGAGAGTACAGGTGATGATGTTATTATTGATGAGAGTACAGGTGATGATGATGTTATTGTTGATGAGAGTACAGGTGATGTTATTGATGATGAGAGTACAGGTGATGATGATGTTATTGTTGATGAGAGTACAGGTGATGTTATTGATGATGAGAGTACAGGTGATGATGTTATTATTGATGAGAGTACAGGTGATGATGATGTTATTGTTGATGAGAGTACAGGTGATGTTATTGTTGATGAGAGTACAGGTGATGTTATTGTTGATGAGAGTACAGATGATGATAGTGATATTGTTGATGTCACTGATGATGGTGTAGGTATTGTTGAAATGATGGATGGTGATGTAAGTACTGGTAATGATGGTGAAGATACTGCTGATGATCAGGCAGGTGTTGGTGATATGACTGATGGTGATGTAGACAGAGTTGATGATATTGGTGATGTAGGGATTATCAGTGATGATCATATCACTGAAGATGATGTAGGTACTGTTGTTGATGATGATGACAAAAATAATGATGTCTCAGACAATGATATAAGTGAGGATGAAGAAGTTTTCAATGAAAATGTAGGTCATATTGATAGTGATGATATTAGTAATGTTATTGATGATGGTAGTAATAGTGACAGTAACAATGATAGTGTGAAAAATTACAATAATAATGACGATGTCCTTAGTGATGTCAGTGATGATGCTATTCACAATGATGTTCCTGAAACCAATACAGAGATTCATGAGGGCACAGATGGAGCTCCTTTATCCCCTGAAGAGAGTATTGAAACAGCAGAAGTTCTAGAACAGACTGAAGATGCCAGTGCGGCAGAGGAAGAAACTAGGTTCGTAGAAGTGACGTTAAGTTTAGACGAAGCCAACCCTGAGGCTGAACATGAGGAAGTAAGTGCCAAAGGAATTTCGATTGAACCCCAATTAACACCATTACCAGTGAGTGTTGGTAACCAGGAGAGCTCCAAGCATGTAGAGACTTAGACTCAGTGATTGCAATAGCTTTGATTTTTTTTCCAACATTAAAAACAATTGAGTCTGTAATCTTGAATTGACAACATTAATGTGTGTGTGGTATGTCCCTTGTGCCCATCAGATGTATGCATGTTGTACAGTATATGATTCATTTAATTGTAGGTATAGAAATGTTAATACAGTATGCTCATACTCTCTAAAACTGTATCATTTCCTCACAGCCAATTAATCCTTCTATAACTTTTTATTCAAGATTTTGAATCGGTAAAGTGGAGAAGTACGTTCTTAAATTTCTTTGTCAGCGGGTATTAAAGTTAATGATGCTTAATTAGACAGTAAATTCCCATCATGTCCTTACCCTATATACCTTTCCCAAGTTTGGAGAGAATTAGCATTTGCAAGGACATTAAAAGACAAATTATTTTAGGATGTTACTCCTAGAAAGTGCCTTGACAGTGTACCATAGATATATATTTTTTTGTGATAAACAGCTTTCAGAGTAGCTTGATGCATGCTAATTCATGCCATAGTGTACTGTACCAAAAGTTTAAACTGTAGTACTGTACATTAAACCCTTGTTATTCATGAGGGTTAGGTTCCAAGGAATGGCGCGAATTGGCAAAACCGCGAATAGCTACTTATACTACCTGAGTGCACAACTGTATACCTATACTGTGTATGAGAAACTTAAGTCACCATACTACTGTGTCGCATGTGGAAGTTTGGAGCTTGATGAGGTGTACTGTACAGTAGGATGAAATCTGGTTAATGAAGCATAGTGGGGAGGTGGATGGTGGAGCGGTGGCAGCAGCTGGCTAAGTAGGTGAGGGAGACAATCAGCTGGGTAAGCGGCTGGTTCTTTCTTGAAAACAACGTGATTGGTAGCTGTTTCCTCTTGGCTTTGAGGTTTCTAAACTTTTCACTCCACTATCATCACTGGCACTGACACTAGGCAATCTTTTAGGAGCCATATCACACAGAAGCACTAAGGTTTTGAGTACAACACAAGAGATGTTGCATCATAGGCAATGGCTGAGCACAAACAAAGGGAGAGGGGGAGAGGAGACGGTGCAGGCACATAGGGGTGATTCGTTGCGGCTTAAAGCTAGCCACCATCTGTTTATCATGAATAGTCGAAATCGCGAATCGCAAACCCGTGAATAGCAAGGGTTTACTGTACATGGGGTATAGTGTTGGCAGATCTCACTAATTATATATATATATATATATATATATATATATATATATATATATATATATATATATATATATATATATATATATATATATATATATATATATATATATATATATATATATATATATATATACTGTATATAATTTTCTGTTGGCCTTCTAGTGGCATTAGCTAGTTATGTGAGCTTAATACTGAATGTGAAAAAACATGATCATTGCCTGATTTGCAACTTGATCTTTGGTCAATATACAGTACTGTATTGTGCTGTATTAAGAAATATTTATAGTTGTATAACCAGTTCTTTGGGTTGGTTTGTTTCTCATTCTATTAAGTTTAAAAGAGAATATTGGTTGTAAGTGAACTTAGTTTAATTGTAGTATTCTTTCATGATTGACCTTAAAAAATTACTGAGCAATAAGCATCCTCTTTGTGATAACTCCCATCTCCTTATTATCCTGTCTCCCACAGACAATTTTGGCCATGTTTTGAACTACATGTTATACAATACATGGTAGATTCTCTAGATGTATTTATAGATAGGAAACTGTCTACTGAAGACTACCGTACCTACAGTTGATTTAGTAGAGTAGTCTGGCCTCTTAGGTAGTGAGATTAGATAGGTCTAGCCCACTGTTATTTCTAAAGCAGTATTAGGCAGTCTGTCATTATTGTGTCAAAGTTTTATAGGAATGTCCAATGTTTTCAACATTTTCTCAGTTGAAGAGAATGTTTTTTTTTTAAATAATCCTCCATCCAGTAGCCAAACATACAGATGATGTAAAAATAAATAATTGTCCAGATAGTTATGTACATTATGCAAGTAAATAAAAATGAAAACTTCCTATGCATAGTAGTAATTATGTCCATGTTTGAACACTGTACAAGCACTATACTTTTCAGAAAATTATGATGGTTTTATATTATTTCCGTATTAAGATAAAAATGGAGCAGAGAAAGTGTTGAAAACACTACATAATCCCTAAACCTTCTTCCAGTTAAAATAGGCAGTTGTAGTGATTGTCCAGTATCTGATGTTTAAGAAAAAAATAATAATTCTTTTAAGTACTTAAAAGATTGACAGTTTATGGTAAGTGGATGAGACTGTTGTTGTTTTGTGTTACAGTCAAGTGGTGGACAGAGTGAAGAACCTCCTCATTAACCGTATGTTATCTGAGTGGTGAATGTCAGTAGTTGTATTTTGAGTGAATTAACCTGAATCCATTGTGAAATTAATAAGATTATAATTATAAAAAGAGTGCTTATTATTTGACCCTTTCCCAATTAACTAATAGTATAGTATGATAACTGTGTCATCTCTTTGGTTTAAAATATTGGTGCTATTACTCTGTGTTTTGTAAAGGTACAGTGTAGAGCTGAAATCAAAATACAGTATGTACAACCAAATTGACATGGTTAGGATTTCACATTCATAATAAGCAGAGGAGTTAATAAAGCTGGCTCTCCCTGACAGGAATGTGTGTTAGATTCTTTATTTATGAACCACTCAGCTTTGAGGTGGGAATAGTTTACTGTGTGTTAGTGAACAGAAGAAATTTTGTGATTTAGAAGGCTTTGTTTCAATGACAAGTAACATTAATACATATTACCCAAAATTATGCCCACAAGTGAAGGGTGTAGGGGGTTTGGTAAATCTGCAGAATTTTGACCATCATGTTACTTTTGTTAATTTCACCATGCATATATGGAAAACTTTCATATGAAAGTATTGTCCATTTTCTTACTCCGGTTATGTAATTTTGTAAGTCTTAGCTTAAAAATTATGCAGAATTCAGCTTGTTCATTTCCATCTTGGGTTAACCCCTTCACTATGGTGAAACCACTTTTAATATTTTATTTGACTAATACCAGAAAATTTTATTTAGCACAAGGGTTTAGTAGACAATATCTACCAAACGAACCCCTTGGAATGTAGTAGGCAGCTATCAAGCAGGAAGGTACTACCACTTGGGAAGATATTGGAAGTATAATGTATTGTCTAATACTTTTATCCTCTTCACCACTGATCGGCCCGTTAGCCGCTTGGGTGATCAGTCACGTCTCTGTTACGCACGGTTGGCAAGTGCTGCTGCCATATGGCATCACAAAAATTGTGACCAAGTCGCAGGTTGCTGATCTGACTTTCTGCCTCATTTACACACAATTGTAGGGTCTCAATTGTTTCTCTTACTTTGACAACACAACATACATACTGTATGTCATTTCTTACTATTGATTTTTTTAATGGTCCTTTATTATTATTATTATTATTATTATTATTATTATTATTATTATTATTATTATTATTATCATCATTATCATCATATTATACTGTAGAGTACTGTATCATATTTTCATTTAGTACTTTTTATTATTTTTTTACAAATTTTTATTATTATTATTATTATTATTATTATTATTATTATTATTATTATTATTATTTAGCACAAAGGGGAACCAATACACAAGGGGTTATAATCCAACCCAATGCACATTTTACCCCAAAGCTATGCAAAAATTGTATAGTGGTGAGGTTACATGGAGGAATCCAAGTTAATTTACTCCCTTTTCAGCTACATCCATTATTTTCAATCTTTCCAAGATGCTCAAATGCTTTCTGTTAGAACCACTGCTATAAGTTCTTGTTAGAGCACTAAATGGATCACTAATCCTCAAATAATAGTGAATAGTATACAACTCTCACTCCAAAAAATTTTGCCCTGACAATTTTCTGAACTTGTGGCTTCTTCAACCGAAGGCTGCAACCTCTACTGGGTGTTATCTGCCTGTTCGCACATTTACAGTATCAATATCAAATGTAATAATCATCATCTTGACCAAAGAACCATTTCAATCAAATCTTACTGGAGGAATTCACACTAACCTTTATTTTGAATTCAATGAAAAGAGTTCAATGCCATCAAGAAATCACTTCTACATCAACCAGGTCGTTGTACTGTCGTAGGAGAAAAACAGTTTCATTTTCAATGGAAGATGCTGAAGAAAATATCTTCACTTTTCCCACAATACTCATCTGGGTGACACTGACCATGTGATCTTCTGTCTGGAAGAAAAATAACAAATTAGCTGTAAGATAAACTCATTCCTTGGAAAGAGAGATCATCTCAAAGCCAGGATAAAGTAGACACAGTAAATCGGTAAAAGTTATTGTGCAACAGTAGTGTACTGTTGCTGCACAATACATTTTAATTTCACGAGAATTATGTGATCAGGTACAGTATTTAACTAATACAGTCCACTAAGCTCATTAACTTCATCACTTTCAACTACAATTTCATTCAATAATGTTCTTAAAACAAATTCCTGCATACATATTGTAATAAAGCTCTACAAACTTGCTCTAAAACTGGATTATCTGAAGATTCACCCCCTTGCCTATTTCATCTGAAGATTAAGTACCCTAATACAGGTACTAGCCTAACTTGACTTCCCCCCCAGGAAGTATTAGGGTGGTTAACCCCTTTAGTATGAGGATGCTAGTTTTAATACAGTATTCTATTTGGCTTGTGTCAGAGATGAATCGAAGACAATGTGAGTTACCATCACTAAGTATAGTACAATATGACATAAGTAGCTGATGTAATAGACTTCTTACCAAATAATCAAGTATAAGACAAGTAGTGACTTACCATGGTAGATCTTTTTCAGTGGGACAATCTAGGCAATAGTGAAAATGAGTCTCAAAGGCACATTGTATACTTAAACTTTGGTACACAAGAAAGCAATGTGGCCAGTACTGCACTTGACTTCCGCCACTACCCAACCTGTAAAATCAGGTACCATTTACAGTTGGGTGAAGTGGGGAAGTGAGGGGTGACACCTTAGGACAGGAGGCAAGTACCGGGTACACTACTTCATCCTGTCAAAGCTCCAACAAAAATAAACATCAAATTACAACTAACCTCATCTAGATTTAACAAAATCACATAAACCATTCCATTGACACTGAAGCCAAAAAAAGGAAGCCAGGATGCTTAACATACTGTTTTACTGTACTTTACTTTTATCCTTTTCGCCACTAATTGGCTCGTTAACCACTTGGGCGATCAGTCACGTCTCTTGTCACACACTGTTGGCAAGTACTGGGGATGCACTGGCTCCTGGATGTATCTGAACCTGCTCTAGTGCTGGACAAGTCTGGTCTTGAAAGGGCTCACATTTGGTGCCGTCACAGTTTTCTGGACTTGTGGCTTTTTCAACCTTGAGCTGTGACACCTTGTGGGGCGGGCTTCCGCTAGTTCCAGGTATGAACACTCGAGTGAGTAGTGCTCTCTGAGATGTTTATGTACTTCAATTAGGTCGCCCCTTGCCCATCTGTAGTATAAGCTAGGCAGTTGCAGGTGTTCTTATCTCTCTGGGTAGTTGAGGTACTGTAGTGCAGGCACCAGTCTGGTGGCCCTTCTTTGGACACTTTCAACCAACTGACTGTCTCTAGCATATCCCGAATACAAGATGGGGTGACAGTACTCCAGCAGGGAAGACCTACTTGCTTAGTTGATTGATTCACCTTCTCACAATGGTCTGAGAACTTCAGTTCATTCTCAACATACACACTTAAGTCCTTTTAACATTCGGTCTCTATTAATGAAGTTTCTTCGTCCCGTTGGGACATGTGATACGCCTCCTTCCTATTGGTACGACCTAGGTGCATCCTTTTGCACTTTATGACATTGAATCTTAGCAGCCATTTCTTCAACCACTCTTGAAGCTCACAGAGATCTTTCTGTAGCTCTTCATAGTCTGGTTGATCTTGTCATTGTTCGCTTACATTTGTATGGAGGAGTGTATAGCTTCTGGCATGTCATTTATGAAACAAACAAACAAATAACAGGCCCAATACACTACCCTGTGGTACCCCGCTTGTCACGGGTACACATGACAATTTCATGTCATTAATCACCACACACTGCTTGCAATCATGATGAAAGTCTCCAATCCACAGGGCGGTAACATCAACAATATATACTACCTAGATTTTGCCAAAGCTTTCAACAGCGTACTGCATGAAAGGCTGAGAATTAAACTGGAAGGGTACAGGATTCAGGGAAGCGCCATAACAGTACAGTAGATTGCCTATGCAGTATCAATCATAACAAAGTGTTGTTGTAAAGTGTATAAAATTTATTAATGCTCGACAAGATAGAATTAAATAACTATTTTAATCAATATTATTTATTAGTACAGGTACTATTAATCATAATAACGATACTACAGTATAAATGTCAGCAGTGATCCGTTATCATTGTCATTATTATATGAACAATATCACGTTTATAGATTTACCTATCAATATTACCACTACTACGGTATTATTATCATTATTGGTAGTATTAGCAGCATACTACAGTACTTCATGATTATTTCTATTGTAATTACGTAGTGTAAATAACTTATATGAATAATAACAGTCATCATATAATCATTAATATCATTATTATTGTAGAAAACTTATATGAATATCACATTTTTTAACCCAGGACGATGAAGACTCGCTCTCACCGCTGGAGAGGATGGTCGCGCAGGTCAGACAATTTCTGTGGAACGTCTTCATTTTGTGTTCAGTTTGCTATGTTCTCACCACCCTCTACTAAACTTTTGAATAAGTCTTCTAAGGTATTCAAAGTGTTGTCAGAATAATGTTATTGGAACCTGTATGGATATAAAATACTGTATGTCTGTTAAGATGCTTATGGTGTGTACACACACACACACACACACACACACACTTTTCAGAGTTGAACTTAAAAATATAATTATCAGTTGGACTTATGGAAATGTAACTGTCTAATAAAATTAATTTTGAAAGTGTGAATTTTACATGAATAAAAAACAAAAACATTATTCGTCAGCTGAACTTGTGGGAATATAATTTTCTGATGAAATGAATTTGGAAATACTGTACAGCACTACCGTATATGAGACTGTTATATGAACTTGAAAAGGTGTAATCATCTGATGAGCTTGTGGAAATGTATGTCAGGTGAATTTAAGGAAATTGAATTGTTAGATGAATTTAAGGAAACATAAAATTTACACATCTGTGATTAGTAGCATTCATGTTGTTGAAAATATGTAATTTTTTAAGATAAAGGAACTGTAAAAACTGTGTTAAATTTTTGAAAAGCATTAGTTAATCTCAAACTAAGTTAACTGACATCACTATTATATACCACTAAATAAATTTGGCAAAAAGTTTCTGATACATAAATATTCTAATAATTACCACAGACAATATTATAGACTTTGTTAGGCTTACCAATACTGTGTAATTTGCTTTCTTGTTGAAGATAGTGCCTCACTGACTTATTAAAGTAAATTCAGCTGTATTTCTAGAATACTTACTGTATAAACAAACTTAATGCATTTTGTGACATTATTGTTCTAGTAGCAGTAAAACTGCTAGTATTAACCCATAGGCCCCGGGTGACGTTCCAGAACGTCCGCCTATTCCCACCACTTTTTTTTTTAAAGTTGATTTTTTCTCGATTTATCTCCGCGGGGGGTACTGCCAGCAGCACCCTAACCCGGGGCTTAAGGGTTAAAAATATACCACAAGAAGGACCGCTATATTATGTTTTGTTTATTTTTGAGAACAGGAAACACGTACCTTATAAACCTAAAATGAATCAATTAAAAAACTTGCCCTAGGATTAAATGTTTGGGCGAGTTTGGTATCAGGCTAGGCTACTATTTCTTGTACAGTATAGACGAAAAACCAAGGATTCCTGTTCGTGGTATGTTTTTAAAATGATATGCTTTTGACACCATGCTCCCAAATAAAATATAAAACTGTTCCTGCTTATCTAGAACTACTATAGATAAAACAATAGTGTATGGTTTTAATAAAAAGTTGCAATACATACGAGCCGTTTTTCTACATCCATATTTGTGTTCTCTACTTTAATGGTATGTAAGAGATTGGAGATGGGGATGGAAAAGGTGGGACGGGAAGGCCCAAGAACTTCAGCTCATTGTCAACATCCACACCTACCGGTAGGTCCTTCTCACATTCGGTCTCAAATAGTGCAGTTTCTTCATCCCGTTGGGACATATGATACGCCTCCTTATCGTTGGTACGCCCCAGTGCATCCTCTTACACTTCTTGACATTGAATCTCAGCAGCCATTTCTTCGACCATTCTTGGAGCCCACAGAGGTCCTCCTGCAGCTCTTCACAGTCCGCTTGGTTCTTGATTTCCCGAAATAACTTGGCATCATCGGCAAATATTTGTATGGAGGAGTGTACAACGTCAGGCATGTCATTTATGAAACAAACAAACAGCAACGGGCCCAAAACACTGCCCTGTGGTACCTCACTTGCGACAAGTACGGATGATGATTTCATGCCATTAATCACCACACACTGCTTGTGGTCATGCAGAAAGTCTTCTATCCACGCTAGGACATTTCCCCAAATTCCGTACCCTTCCAGTTTGATTTTCAGCCTTTCGTGGGGTACACTGTCAAAAGCCTTGGCAAAATCTAGGTAAATATTGTCGATATTACCACCCCGTTTCAGAATATGGGTCCAAATATCCAATACCTTGAGCAATTGTGTTAAGCAGGAGCGCCCCGGCATAATATCTCTTACACATATGAATTAATAGGATAATCAAAATAGAGAAATAACAAAAACAAGTTTATTCCTCCCCCCTTACAGGTGGTGATGGTGGTGGATGTGGTAGGGTGGAGAGGGATGGTGTTGGTAGCAGAGGTGTGAGTGCGGTGGTGATGCTAGAGGGTGTGGTGGAGGATGATGTAGTCTGGGAGAAACAGAGAATACCTGGATTTGTCGGCCAGACAAAGTATTTTTGACTCATTCTATATAATTTGAGGGTGCTAAATCCAATTCTGTTGGGTGCCATTTTGTCACCCTTGTGGAAAATAAAATATTCAAGATGGCGTCCAAGATGGCCACCGAATACATCAAGTTTGATATTTCAACCCCTAAGCATCATAGAACAACTATATTTTGGTTGATTCATGGGTTTTCGGGGTCAAAGAATGCAACACAGATAATTCAAAAACACCATTTGAAATATGTACAACTGTAGTTAAGATGACGTCCGAAATGGCTGCCAAAACGATTGTGGGAGACATTTCTGCTCTCATTCATAAGAGAAAGTGATGATTTAGTGACTCAGACTAATTACATACTCTGGAAACAGAAATATTTGCATATGATCTTAATCTTATATACACTAAAGGGTTACTCCATCTTATTCCAGACTCTGTAAAGATCCACAATATCATAAATTATAGGACTGTATTTTTCTAATATATTTATACACTCAAATATTTGACACTAATCAACACTGTCATCATTGCTTTCATCATCTTCCTCATTAACATCAAGAGTTGTCATGGTTCTTTCATTGTGGCTCACATTTTCTGCATGACAACAACAGAACATGGAGCATGATAACATGGCAGTAACCAACTACATCGAGCAGTTGAACATGGCCGATTGGCTGAACAGCTGCACTTGATCAGTTTCTGGATAATGTCTGGTACTGGTAACACATCTGAAAGCAATGGAACTGGAAGCAGATCGGGCGCCTGATCACTTGACCATCCGTACTGCCTTGGGTCATGGTTTGGTGGACCAACTTCTAAGGCTGTTCTCCAAATCATGGTCTGGTAGAGTGTCCTGAGCACATGTAGTTCAAATGCTGCAGTTGTTGGAGGCAAGCATCTCAGCTCAGGAGCTGAAGTCAGCCTTTTTCTGGACATTTTGGATGTCCAAACATCAAATCGTACAGTAGACATATCATGGATGACCTTCGAGTCATAACATGCTGCTACAAATCTGGTGGCTAGAGACAACCTCTGTTATCTCAGCAACAATTTTCCCAAGTTTGTCAAGGCGATGACCAGATTTCAATGTCTGCATGGCGGTAACCTTGCCAATACCATAGAGATGAGCGACGGTGTCACATTCAGAGAGCGTGTGCTGCCATTATGTCATCAACAAAATCCCTGTGCTTTTCAACTGTGGCCTTGATGTCAATGGTAGATCTTGAAGGACTAGTCCCCTCAATGAATATCTTGCAGGTTAATTTCTGTGATGAGTAGTAATGCATCAGCAGCACAAACACATCAGTGTCATCGCAAATGACTTTGATGCAATCAACACCACTTGAGGCAAGAAACAACACCTGTTTTGCTATATTCACATCCGCTTGTTCGTGAAGCGTTTTCATGTTTGGTTTACACAAGACATTGCCGTTTACACATGTGTTATACTTTTTTACTTTTATCCTCTTCGCCACTGATCGACTTGTTAGCCGCTTGGGCGATCGGTCACGTCTCTTTTCATTTATATTCTTCACCAAAACATCGGCTCGCTAGCCGCCCGGGCGATCGGTCACGTTTCTGTCACACACTGTTGGCAAATACTGGGCATGCACCGGCTCCTGAATGTACCTGAACCCGCTCCAGTGTTGGTCAAGTCTTCTCTTGAAAGAGCTCACACTCGGTGCTGTCACAACACTCTCTGGTAGATTGTTCCAAGAGTTTACAACTCTCACTCCGAAAAAGTTTGCCCTCACGGTTTTCTGGACTTGCGGCTTCTTCAATCTTGAGCTGTGACCCCTTGTGGGGCGAGCGTCCGCCATCTCCAAGTAAGGACACTCAACTGAGTAGTGCCCCCTGAGAAGCTTATACACCTTAACTAGGTCCCCCCTTGCCCGTCTGTAGTATAAGCAAGGCAAGTTCAGGCGCTCCAATCTCTCAGGTTATATATATGTATGTTTATATGCTGCCTTTATTGAATATATATATATATATATATATATATATATATATATATATATATATATATATATATATATATATATATATATATATATATATATATATACATATATATATATATATATATATATATATATATATATATATACATATATATATATATATATATATATATATATATATATATTATATATTATGTTACTTCTTACCAAAGTCAGAAAGTGTTTAGGCTTGTGTAAACACGAAATGTGTTAGGCACGCGGTAACCAACAATAGAGAATAAACGCCCAGCCAGATCGACCATGTGCTTGTCATTCTCCCATTAAATAACGCAAGATACTACAACATGACATTACCGTTTACACATGGCATTACCCAACTGAATATCTTTGGGTACTGAGTCTCGGCCAGTAGTGATGAGCTTTCTACCATTCTGTGGAAGAAGTTCGGCATTCTCCTGTACATACTGACAGACAAGATCTATCAGTTTCACTTTATTCTCTTTGACTGTCAGCACAACTTTCTGAGGGGGTAATCTTCTTTCACCTCATATCTCATGACTCCAAAGCCAAAGGTCATTCTACTCAACGCTCTCAAACGGACAGGACCTCCTCTCAACAAGCTCCTCACCACACAGCAACTCCACTGCATTGTGTGTGTATATATATATATATATATATATATATATATATATATATATATATATATATATATATATATATATATATATATAACGCCATTGTGAGTTTCCTTTCTCACCTCCATCCTTAGTGCGAGATCTCCTACAGGTACGTATGTTTGTGAGCCGAACAGAGAGAAACTAGACAACTGGCCACATACCCCAAGCTACAAGATATTGTTACCTTAAAGTTGGAACTCAACATGTGGTCACTCTGTTGGGCTGTCCCTGAATTTACAATGGTAATACATACAGTTACGAACATTTAAGTTCAAATGTAAAGATACATAAATATGGATAAATGAAATCAATAAAGATACAGATACAAAGATAGAACAAGAGATAAGAGATTAATAGGTAGATATAGAGATCAAAAGATAAATAGGTAAACAGATCGACAGGCAGACTGATTGGCAAATATATAGATAAATACTGTAGTGCGGTAACCATCGCCATGACTAAACTATCATTACACAACATGTGCATGTAAAAGCTGTGAATATTGTTTATCTCTATTTCGTCCTGCATAACCCACAGCAGCTCCCTATTAGTAACTTCCTCTTCGACTTTTATTATTTATTTTAACACATTTCCTCCAATACACGAACTACAAAGATAAATTACACCACACTTCCGCTTTCACCATCACCATCCTGCCAACCCGCCGAAAGTGACGTCAGCATCTTCATGAGAAAATAAACTTTAAATTAAAATTCGTTCGCCTTGTCGTCAGATTGAATTTATATTCCCAATATGAACAAAATTACGTGTTTTACATGACTTCTCTGGAGGTGTGAAATTTAACCCAGGATGAAACACGAGCTGGTTTTGTTTCCGGGAATAACAATATTTTTACCTCCCTTGAGGCTTCGTGAACTTTTAATGCCAGTAAGCACACACGAAAGCCGTGTCCACATCCAACTATTACATTTATAATAATAATTTCAGATTTCATATCATCCCAATAACGCGGTTTTTACTTTTGTGGTAAAATTTCCATACAGTGGCGAACAGGATAAAGGTAAAGTAAAAAGCTTGGGGCAGTGTGGGCAAATTTGTAACGTTGTACGCAACAGCTTTCACTTTCCCACAACAGACTAAAGAGCCAATCAGAGGCGAAGAGGATAAAGTAAAGTAACCAACCACTTATTGCTGGGTGATCCGAGCCCTTGACTCCCACGTAAGGAGCTAGGACAAGAGGGAAATGCTCTATCCAGGCTACCACAACCCTCTGTGATTACAATCTTCATAAATCCAACAGCGGACATTAACGTATTTACATTATTTACTGTCTTGGTATGATTGACTTTACGACAGTAAAAAAGAGGTGTTATCAATTTCTGAGAAACCACATTATAATGGGCGGGGCATAAGCACGACACTGATAAGGGGTAAATAAAGTTGACTTGGCACCTCAGTAAATATCGTCACGTCAGTCTTACATTGTCTCCCTGATAATACATACACACAAAGAACTACCTGTGACAAAATAGCTGTCGGCAATAAAAGAGAGGAAATAGTACAGGCATCTAAGATCTGTGAATTCGACGAGCAAAGGTTTCTCCTTTCGGAAGAAAGTGCAGACCAGACATTGCATTTTCAAGACACGATTTTCCAGATTGAAAGAGGGATAACGCGGTATGTATTCATCGACTTACATATGCTTGGTGACACCATTTCCTTTGTATTATTGTTGCTGTTACTCGTAGTTCTATTGCTAATCCTCCTATCATTACCGTTCTCACAATGTTACTACTGTTGTCTCTATTTCTGGTTTCTAAGACGGCTGCAGCTTGTAATTCTGCTACTTCTGCTGCTGCTGCTTTTATTTATTTTTTTACAGGATTAGCCCATCAGGGCACAGGTCAATGACCCACATCAGGGCCTGGGGGCGAAAATGTAATAATAATAATAATAATAATAATAATAATAATAATAATAATAATAATAATAATAATAATAATAATAATAATAATAATAATAATAATAATAATAATAATAATAATAAATAAAAATTATATAAAATATTAAATAATAATATAATAATAATAATATTTATATTATTATTAATAAAGGCCCATAATACAGTACAAAAAATTTAAAAAAAGATCAATAGTGAGAAACGATATGTTATGTTGTCAAAGTAAGAGACAATTGAAACCCTGCAAGCGTTGTGTGAATGAGGCAGAAAGTGAGTCACAATTTTTGTGATGCCATATGGCAGCACGGTCTGCCGTTAGACAATACATGATGCTTCCAATATCTTCCCAGGCGGTAGTACCTCCTTGTTTGATAGCTGCCTACTACATACTATTACTGTGCTGCAAGTACATACATTATACTGTTTTTCATCTCATGCTGCTCTGCTGCCACTAAACCACAGGCACCACCACCACTACTACTACTTCTACTATTACTATTACTACTTATAACAATACATCAACCACCTTATAAACTACTACCACAGCACTAAGTAAGGTACTCATACAATTAACACAAAGTTTCATAACAAAACAAGCTATGAAGTTTTAACCCCTTCACTATGGGGACGCCACTTTCAGTATTTTATTTGGCTAACGATAGAAGATTTTATTCAGCTCAAAGGTGATCCCGTACACAAGGGTTAGGGGATTATCACACTTGTGCATTTTCCCTCCAACCTTCGGTCAAGGGAAGGTTTCCTCCAACCTCCAGCTTGTTTTCTGAAGGTTGAAAAAACTTCCGTACATTAGGATTTGCTCCAGCTACGATGGGCGCTCAGTATGACCGTGTTTATATGAAAATTTAATAACTGATTTTAAAGAAAATGTTTGATAATTTTTGTCTTTAATCTCGTATAATTGGTAAGCAATAAGGATTATGTTGAATATTAACGGTTTAATTATTATTTACTTATGATTAATAATAGGTGTATTGTTTTAACACCACAGTTTCCCTCATCTTCACAGTCCTGCCCACTTTAGGGAAACCAATGTCGTTGATTGTGTAAGTGGTCATATTTCCATAATTATCCGTCTGGTTATTAATCGTTTTTATCCCAATAGGTATTTCGGATTTTTTACCATTATCACTAGGATTCTTTTTTTTAGTTACGAATCGATTTTCTTCCATGGCAATGCAATAGTAGGTTACGTTAGGTTAGGTCGCCCGGTTAATATTCGTTTTTATCCCAATAGGGATAAAAGGAATTTTAACTCATACACGGTTTAGGCTGTGCCATAAGCACTACCTCAGTACAGCACTATAGTTAAACAGACAAGGTAGCGATGCTTCCTGTGGATATTTAAAACGTTATTCTAACAAGTTCGTACGCTTTTGTTGCTTTCTATGATATTCACATTTTATGCACTGAAACATGTCCCTGGTTATATATCGTCGACGTAGCTCTAACATTGGGGGGGTGAACGTAAATAAAGTCACAGGAAAAAAGTCAGAAAGTCAAAATTTTGGTTAGGAAAAAGGTAAAATTTTATTTAAATATCATTAACATATAAAGCAACAAAACAAAAAATATTTTGAGTCACATTAACTGACAATACATGACTTGTACACATTGACAACACAATTTCTATATGATGGCATAACACACAGGTTAGGTTAGGTTTTTTCTGTGATTTTTTGTGACCTTTTTCCTATGACTTTTTCTTGTTACTTTATTCCTGGATTCGTTCCTGGGTTTAGGACATCGTTGGTGTTCTGCACTACCATACAATATTGACATTAGCCTTTTGACTTAAGATTTTTTCATATGATAATGCTGTTGTAGTGGATACGTAACCACTACACTGTATACTTGAACGAATGTTTGAATATATTTTTACCATGGATGAACTTCAAAGATTAGTTATGCTGGATTTATCGTTTGAATACGTGCAAGGCAAAATAGAGAGCCACTAGACAACTGTCAATAAGGCTTGCAGTCGATTTACACTAAAACCAGGGACTATCCTCCTATGTCAAGGCTCTATTGACGAAGCCTTAAACTTAGGGACGCACCAGTCACAGGATTCAATCTATGTAGCCACAATAATCAAAGAAATAAAGAAATGAATTAGTAATCTCCTTTACCTTCACACCACTGAATGAGTCGCCTGGGAGACTTGACAACAGGCTGAAAGTTGACATTGGCGTACCATTAAGTTTACTGTTGAATTATCTTTTTCACTTTACTTCACATTAGTAGTTGGCTCAAGGCATATTATAAGTGTTCCCTTCTTTACCAAGTCCCCATAGTCTTGCAATATACACTATCACGAGCAAACTCGCCCTACGCCCGCAGGCCCGACACTGCACGTCATCCACAGTCTACACTCCTAATATTAGAATCTAAAACAAATTATTTTGTCATTAGTTTATTTAGTGGTAAACATCTTACATTACTATTCTTTTAAATTTATGCAAGTCGAATTAAGAAGTTACAGTATATAAATTAATGTTTCTTAGTTTGAAATTCTAAATGGAAACTTTACCTTTGCGATGACAACAAATCCTTGGATGTGACTTGTATTGGTGTTTACCCCAAACTGTCAATGATTTTGAGAAATGGGCGAAGCCAATATGTTGTTTCGAAGCTTAGTTTTCGGCGATGAATAATAATCTTGGGGGAAATATTTTTTGAACTTGTTTTAAAAATGCATGCTTTATTTGATCACACGCAGAACGTTTCATTTTATTATGTTTTCTTCTTTTACTTCAATTAGTATCTATTTGGTGTTATTTCCATTATAATTTATTTTTTATATAAATTTCCTAATAAGGATATTTCGGCATTCAACATGAATTTGAAATTATGAAAATATATTACAATTACAGAAGCGGCCGAGCGGGTTGTGTACTTACCTCCCTGCAGCAGTTACGTCTTTCTTGCATTGGTGAACGAGAAGCATACGGAAATTAAATTACATGTTTCTGTAACAATAAATTATTAAGAATATAAAGAAGAGTTACAGACGTGGAAGGATAGCTAAGGAACAAATATAGGATCCAGAGAAAGACTGCGGGCGTCTTTCAAGAGACGTAACATCATTAACACTCAACTTGCAGAAACAATCTCGGAGGGCGTGACTACAAAAGTTATACCCAAGAACACAATCTGAAAGGTTATATCTGAAACTACAGCGGTAAACGGGAAGATGTACCACTGTGACAGTTCTGAACATCCTCTCACACAGTATTGTCAGTGGCTGGCGCTGCTGACCCTACTGTTCAACGTCTCCATAGTACAAGGTACTGTTACTAGTAAATTTACATGGATTTTTGTTTGACTATTTAATCGTTGATTTAAATTAGGATTTAAATACATTAAACACAGTATTTGAATGTTCAAATGTTTGGTATGGAGTAATGAATATTTTTGTTTTTAACTTCGTAATTATACTTTACTGAAATTAGAGTAAAAAAAAGTGGACTGGGCTTTAGGCCAGCGGTGCTCATTTTGGGTACTACTACATTGCTGTCAATCTAATTGTCGACAAAACTAGTCACTGAAAACCAAAGTTGTGGCAAATAGGCGGAGGTAAAGGGTTGAAGAAAGTTTTTCCTGAAGTTCTAAGGTTGAAAAGTTCATTGAGTAATGCCCATGTAAAGACTATACTTATGGTACAACGTTTGGGACCAATAACTAGAACTATAGACTGAAAGTAAAGTACAATATTTGTATTGTCGTGGGAAGTGGCATGTATAGATAGAGAATGAGAGGTGACTCTTCGCTGGAACACAGGAAGTGCTGGCGTAATAGGAGAGGTGAGCTATTTCTTCGAAACAACTTACAAACGAGTTCTACCTGCTTGACTAATCAGACTTCGGTTAGGTGCACGGAAGCGTTGAGAATTAAATAAATGTTTGTATTATATTCTCTCCAAGATAGGATATTCATTAATCAATAAGTACATTACAAAGCTAGAGGATCATGTAACCTATACATATAGAAATGTAAAAAGAAGTATTATTCAGATCAACAAACAGAGTCGTCCATAAACGGTTCAAACAGTACTTATTCTGTATCCATCTCAAATATAATCAGGTAGAGTCAATAGACATTCATCAAAGCTTTGGGATATTCGAAGTGGCCCCTCCATGAATAATGTGTTAATGAAGGACACAAAATCTGGGCCACCCATACGTAAAACTTATTCAAAGTTAGCTAAATCATTTTTGTTTTCATCAAGGGGTTTGTCTGTTGGTGAGAGATAAGAGTGTTGTAAAGATAAGGGCGGGCAAGGCTACCACCAGATGACTCACCGTTTGTTGAGTCACATCGTTGTTTGGTAAGGCTTGTGAACGAGACAAGGGAGAAAAATAAAATAGACATACTGTAAATTATAAACTAAAACAAAAAAAATATTGAAGACATTCATCAGGAAGTAAAAATAAGACCGGAAAGTATTACATTTTTGTGTGTGTACTAGTAATCTAATGCATATGCGTGACTGTCCCATTGTTTTATAGCAAATTCTTTGGTGAAATATGAGAAAGATACTTGCTATTTAGTTTTTTTATTAGTTGAAAGTCTCGATTATGTAAATTTGTCAGTTTCCGCTACCTGTAATATCCGTTACGCAATGAAGGAAATATACGCCAGTATGGTTACTACACAATTGTGTCTTCATTATGCTAATGTTCAGTGTCCCAGCTGTCTTCGCTAAAGCACATTTTACATTCAACTGATCATTTCTTATTATCGTGAATTTGACCTTTTTCAGGCACGACTTACGATACGAAGAAGCTTGAAAAAATAGAAGCTATCACGGAGAAAAGTATTCAGCTATGTGTGACCGCCCTTAACGACAGCACGAAGCTGGAGGTGCGACTGGTGGCATATTCTTCCAGATTAAATGTCACCGTCGGCAAGGCTGTCATCAAGAAGAAAGCATTTACGGTCGATGTCAGTCAGCCCCTCTTTATACAACACAACAAAGACGGTAATAATAAGGTAAGGAGGTTACAAAATATACCTCATGGTTGGAATTCTTATGCTAATTATTACAACAACTTTACATATTAGGCCAAAATCGGACGGATAAAGATGCACTAGTAATTTTAACAATTACATTTACCGTATTTATTAATTTCTCTGTTGGTTAGTATTCAAGTGGTAGGCACGATAGTCATTAAAGACCAGTGTCCATCAGGGCACAGGTCACTGACCCACATCGGAGCCTGGGGGACGAAAATGTAATTATAATAATAATAATAATAATAATAATAATAATAATAATAATAATAATAATAATAATAATAATAATAATAATAATAATAATAATAATAATAATAATAATAATAGAGAAATACAAAAATGAAAAAAAGATCATCATTGAGAAATTATATACAGTACTGTATGTATGTTGCGTTGCCAATAGTAAGAGAAACAATTGAGACCCTGCAATTGTGTGTAAATGAGGCAGAAAGTCAGATCAGCAACCTGGGACTTGGTCAATTTTTGTGATGCCATATGGCAGCAGGGTCTACTATTAGGCAATACATTATGCTTCCAATTTTTTCCCAGGCGGTAGTACCTCCCTGTTTGGTAGCTGCCTACTACCTACTACCTACATTGAAATGACAAATAATATACAAGATAGAGTGTCTATCTAAGCTAAGGATATACCCGGGTAGGTATGTTCGTCTGAGGATGTTTTGACAAGGAAAGGCTTCCATGTTAAGTTGACCTATAAAGAGAAAAATATGGCACAGGCTAACCTGTGTGTGTGTGTAAACTATGTTTTCAGTTTACACATTACACTGTCTTCACTATACGCAGTAAACTGTCTTCACTATACGCAGTAAACACCGCTTATTACATCCATTGCACAGTTGACTAGATAATTTTACAATTTAGTAGAGTTCAACATCAAGCTGCTTTTATAAAGAAATTGTTATCTTCATGATAATCGACGGCACCAGTGACACACGGGTCATGGGCTGACGTAGGAGGCAAGAAATTGCTGCTTTGTATGAGTGTACACATATCATCGACTAAAATATAGTTATCAAGTGTTGTCTTTACAACAAATATTTAGGTGAATCCCTAGAGGTTAGATAATCAGTCTATGTTATACAATTAAAAAGATATGCATATTTATTTGACAGAGCATAGTAGACATGGCAAGAGGCGTCACTGGCTACAGGATATTACATCATTATTACCTGCACTGGATTGAATATCAGGCAACTTTTTTATTATTATTGATCTTGTGACGTCATTAGATAAAGGGATATCCACTTATCAATAACTGTCAAGAGTCGCTGCCACTGTCTGCCTGCCAGTGGTGCTACGACCTCCCTCACACCATCTATCACCATGAATCTAGTCTGGTACTATTTACTGCCTAGTCTGGTACTATTTACTGCCTAGTCTGGTACTACCATTTAGTCCCAAATAACACATTGCGATAATTCACTAGTACAATTCCTGCCAGGTAATTTTGTACTTTACTCCCTCTAGAACTTGAATATTACCATCGCAACCTAATTAATTACCTTACACTGCAGTGGTCCCCAACCTTTTGCAGACTCTGGGCCACATTTATTATTGTAAATATAGTGAAGGGCGCCAAAACTTTGGAGCTACATTCAAGAAAATAAAATCATATATACTGTGCAGTTATATGCAGTTTTACACCTAATTGCTACCAGTTACATACTTTTTGCATTAACCCTTGTGGGCTCCATAGTATGGTTCCGTGGGCGCCAACTACAGGTTGGGGACCACTGCCTTACAGTCACGACAGTGTTGATGCGACTTTATTTCTTTTCGTGAACAAACGGGTAATATTTCCCAACACAACGATTAACATTCTCAACTATAATAAAAAAAAAATATGTTGACAAAATCAATAGGTTATTTGACATTTGATAAATTACCATACACTCAGCAGCACCAGAAATAATCAAGGACTTGAGAGATAAACTTTCGAGAGGAAATACAAATCATGATATACAGTACAATATATCACTCATTTTCAGAAGGGGCCGCAGCTACCCCCTTCCTGGCTACCCCCAACTTCCGGCGCCTACACACACACACTTATCGTATATACCATTCGCTGACACTACTGTGACTTTTTTTTCACATAAAAAGGTGAAACATTAAATTTAAACGTACAAGGTTCTCACAAATAACTGAACCGTACTAAATATGACTAGAAATTAAGCCAGCCGTCTGCGTGTATGTGTGTGTTGTGTTTTAAGAAGGATTGCGGCAAATTGATGATTTCAACATCTCTGATTTTTTTCTAAAAAAAAAAAAAATCGAACTGGTTGGTACCTAAGAACAAGCATAAAATCTACATAGAACACACCAATAAATTAAAAGTTAAATCCTCATTGTTTTTAGGAATCACTTCTTTTTATGGCTTAATCGGACGATCAGCCCTAAATTGTGTGACATGACTGAAAGTTTGTATGTAAATCAGGATCCATCTAAGTTTCTGTTAAGTAATTATCCACTTAAGTGTAAAGTGACGTCCACCATTTTCCTTCACAGCACAGTCTAGAAGTTCTCTTCAACGGCCAGCAGCAACGCTACAAGACTATCGCCTCTACCGTCCACTCTGACCACCACTATTCCGTCTTCGAAATTTCTTTGCTTCTGAAAGTAAGATGAGTTTGTTTTTCGAAGATATATTTTGGTCCTACTTTTAAGAAAAAAGGGTCAAAGGTCAACTAGGTTCAACTTAAGACTGAATCATGTGTTTGTGGTTGAAGAGTAGATGTGACATAATTTCCTATTAATGAATATTATAATATAATATCACAAGATAGTAATATCATGTTTAAAGGTTGTATTCTAATCAAGCCCTTTTTGTTCTACAGGGTAAGGCTAGAATTGAATCATGTCCAGAGGAAGACCTGCCCTCCTCTCAACCCACCACTTTGTCAACAAACCCATTGACTAAACCAGTAATTGACATTAATAAGATTCCTCCTGCAACAGTAAAAGATTCTCCTCCTGAAGAAGATGAGGTGAAGGCAAGGAAAACGGTGGAGCTTAGAGAGGAGCCGCCGATATTCAAAACCTCCACACCATCGTCAGCAGACACCATCAGCCCCGGAATGTACAATACCACGGAAGGGAAAGGTAGGTTGAAAGGCGTACCACAACTAACATGAGTAGGACCTGATGTATTTATTGCGCAAATGCATGATATACATTGCACAATTAATACGATTTATTCCCGTCAGCAGTCTCGTTTGCCGGCAGCCCCATTATATTCTATTTATACTTAATTTTTAAATAAATCACTATGAAGACACAGTTGATACTTGAAAACTTTGGTACCAGGGAAAATACAGGCTAGTTCAGTTCTGGTAGTGTCATAATACATCATCAGCGAGATTTTCTGTCACAAGCTCACACTACAGCAGGATCTGTCGTGTCATAAACTCACGCTACAGTAGGATCTGTTGAGTCATAATATCACAGAGACTGAGAACGTGTTATTAAGCTAGAGATAACGCCAATAAGGAAAGCAATTGATTGATTGTAGTAATTACATCCCTGGCGACGCAAAAGCTTAGGTCATACAGTATGTCACCGAATTAAAGTATCGGCTTAAAAGACTGAAATCATATAATGCAAGGTAAAAAACATAACTAACAAATGACAGAGCTTTCGTAAAAATCATTTAAACGTTATAGATAAATCTCAAAGCTTGTGTAGAAGGCCGGCTTCCTCCACGAAGACAGGGACGTTCCCTGCCGCCCCCTTCCCGGCACTGGGAGAGGTGTTACGACGATTTCTGAGACTTGGGTCACTCCACCAGGCGTCGAACAGTCAGTGGGACCAAGGAGTTATCACGATGGGGAGGGGCGCTTGAGTATAACATAACAAAGCAGAGATTCTTAAACTGAGCTTAATGAAAATGTTTACATATTGTTTTACTTCTTCGGCAGAACCTGAGGATGGAGAGGAGTTCATATGGCTGCTGGGGCAGGTGGGTTCCGTCCCTGTGCTAGTGCTGGTGGTGCTGCTGGCGCTGGTGGTAGGCGTCGTGTTGGGGATCGTCATGATGTCCCTCTATAAATGTTGCCGCAGGAAGCTAGTCCGCAGGAGTGTGAGTATTAGCCTTCGAGGTGGTACCCTGCACGCAGACACTATCAGGGACAAGAGAGTGGATGGGTGGACGGCCAACAGCGCTTGGGTAGACGGGAAAAATTCGAGCGGTTTCAACAGCATGGCCAGCCGCACCCACACCAGCTATAACACAGCTGAGCGTAAACATGGCAGTTTCATCAGTACCAATGACCACAACTTCAGCAACAGCACCCACAGCTCAATCGACCGCGCCAATAATACCTCAACCACCCGCAGCCAAAACAGCACGATAATAATAGCAACACTTAAAAATTGGTGAAACCGTTCATGTTTAAGTAGCAATGAATCTTATAACTTGGAGGAAACAGAAGACTGATAATCCGTTTTTGGGAGATCGCTTGCTTACGATCTGACGGATGTGGTGGTGGTGGTAAGGTTTGGCAGAAAGATCTGGTGCGGATACTCGTCTGGTGGAGGCCCCTTGGTGGGGGTCCTTTACGGTTTTTTTAGTTGATTAATTACACCCAAAGGGTAGTATATTCATGAAATTATATGCTTTTGGGGGCAGTAGAACAACTTACTTTACGAATACTAGTATTTCACTCAATATTCTACCTTTAAGTGATCGTTTGTCTCAGTGTTCTTTTAATAAAATATGTAATCAATAGTTAACCTTCATATTAATTTTCATTAAAATTTTATTAATAAACAAAAAGAATGATGAAGTTTGATTGTTTTTATAAAAAAATACAAATGAAAAATTATTTTCACATAGAAGTAAATTTGTTCTACAGAGTAACATTATGATATGACGCTGAGCAAAACCAGAGGTTAGGCTCCAAAGTTTCTCTCTGAATTGAATGTTATTTTATTTGAAACTCTATTTTATCTCTGTTCCACTGTTTACATATCATAGAACGATTTTTATTACCTCCGTGTACAATGGTTTAAGGATGTGCTGGTCAAGTTGATGCAGTGCTCGTCTCCTGTCCTAAAAATCACCGGTTCGTTCTCGGGGCACTGTGATCTCCGGTGTGTCCAGTTATAAATGGATACCTCATCTTTGTAGTTGGCGAAGTGAAGGCGGTCGAGCGCAGTGCCGGTCATGTTTCCTCCTTGTGTGCTGTATTCACACTTTACTTAACCGGCCGTCAAGTTTATGGGACTCACTTACATACGGTGATTATACGCTAGTATACAATCTCATTTGTCAAAGGATTTTTTCCAATAATCAATTCGGAAAACTTGGCGATTTTCACATAGGCAATCAATCAACCAATCAATCATTCAGAGTACCGTCCTCATATCTGAGGGTTGACGACCACAGTCCTCCACTCTAAACGTTCTCGGGCTGGTTTTATTAGTCCTCCAAGGTTTTGTATCTCTGGGGACCCAGTTTTTAATCTCATTCATCTATTCCAGTCTCTGCCTTCTCCTTGCCCTCCTACCCTCAACTTTGCCTATTATTATGCTATTATCCCTTCATCCCTAATTATATGACCAACGTACAATATCTCGTTTTCTTTTTCTATAAATTTTCAAGTATTTCTCTTGAAGATTTTACTAATTTTAGTACTTCTTCAGTTGTTTTCCTATCAGTGTAGCTTACTCTTACATTCGCCTGTAACACCACATTTCAAAGGCCTCGAACCTGTTTCTGGTGTCTGCTGTCGTCTCATACATCAGTCCTTGCCTTATATAGCCTTTCACCACCCTTTTTTTCTCAAATTGAACTTTAATGTCCCTTTTCATTGTGTCTTTTCGGTTATTATTAAATCCTGTTTATGTTTGACCTATTCTTGTTTTGATTACTTCCATACATCTACCATTACAGCGAATGCTACTTCCCAAATACACAAAATTTTCTACTTGTTTTAGTTCCCTGTTTGCCTACCATAATTGTTATTTTAGGGTTTATTTCAAATTTGGAAATAACCATTACTTTAGTCTTTATATCATTAACTCTTAAACCATATTTTTCACCCTTTCCACCAATCTGGTAACGAGTTTATGGAATGCCTCTTCACTACCTGTGATGAGAACAGTATCATCTGCATAGCAGATATTACTTTACCTTTAACTTTTAGTCCTTCTTTATTACTTGTAACTTCTTTCATTAAGAATTCTGATTATATATTATAAAAAGTTGGAGATAGAACACAGACTTGTCTTCCTGTCAAGCTGTGAACCAATTAGTAAGTTTATTCTTTACTAACACTGCAGCCTCCTATTGCCAGTAAAGATTATTTAAAATTCTAATATCGCCTTCATTAATGCCAATATTATTCCCAAGATACAACTGATCGCCTAAGAATAAATATTTTACGAATGATGATGAAACCCTTTAAATATGATGTCGTCCCAATTATGACAAAAAAATTTTTCTTTGTGTACAATGATTTAGTCTCTGGTTAAGGTTGATGCTTAGATAATTTGACACACAATTTGTCACTTGGAGTACGACGACTTGACAGGTAACGGTAGCTTAATATCATTTAATACGATAACTAAACATGGCGAAATATATGAGTTTGGTTTTTCATATTATACCTAGTCGGGTTAAAACGTCCGTGGCAAAGACGTCGGCATACTTACTGTTTATCACCATGCCTACATTCCTGATTAGATACGCTGGAACATGCAGACGTCGTATGATAATGTTAACTGTGTTTGTTCCTTGTAGATGAAGCGTTGTTATGGCTATATCAGCAGACAGTGTGGCCAATTGTAACAGTAACAGTGCAGCCTAGTCTTAGCATAAACCACAACAATGATTACAACTTTCAATAGCTGCTGCATGTAACAGTGATAATGATGCAACATGAAAGTGTAATCTAGTCATTCTAGTCTAGTTAATTATGTATTAGTCCTAGAATAGTGATTTTAAAAGTAATTGCTGCTGCATATTGTTTCTCTCTTGATTGTTTTTTCATTTTTGTATTTCTTTATTATTATTATTATTATTATTATTATTATTATTATTATTATTATTATTATTATTATTGCCCCCTAGGCCCCGATGTGGGTCAGTGACCTGTGCCCAGGTGGGCTAATCCCCGTAAAAAAAATAGTGCAGTGAAAACAGTATTACCAATGATGTCGACTGCCTGTAGGAATAACACATTGTCAGTAAAGAATTCTAATAACTTACAACCATCTTCATAATTACGTCACATGTAAGGAGTATCCTTGCAGAGCGTTCCTACTATCTATGATTAACAAATCAGTATTATTGAATGTGAAATTTGTCGGTGTTGTAATTACAATTTAGTGTCTTCTAGGCTTGCGAAGGGGAGCGATATGAATCTTGTAATGATTACAATATAGGTCTACTGTATATGGAAGTTCACGTGTATGTGGACCGTTGATAAATGTACACACGCACATATATATATATATATATATATATATATATATATATATATATATATATATATATATATATATATATATATATATATATTTCATGTAGATCCACAATAAAAACATGGGTAAGATAAATCTTGATAAAATCACACAGGAAAAGGGGAAACTTAACATGACTAGTTACGTCGCCCTTTCTTTTAAGCTCCTTTGTGTGTGTGGTAGTGTTGGTGTGCGGATTAGTGGATGTCGTATTTATGACCTGACCTCATGTTTAGTAAGGTCACCCTGTGTACTTAAGCCTCTCTCGGTCCTTGTAATTCAGTTGCCTCTGAAGATGTCTTGAATAAAGACGACAGCTAAGGTGCTCCATTGTTTCCCTTTTATATGTGATTTTATCAATATATATATATATATATATATATATATATATATATATATATATATATATATATATATATATATATATATATATATATATACCCTAAGGAAAGAAAAAGAAAAACAGAAGTTCCCAAGCGCTTTCGTGTAATTCACATCTTCAGGGGTGAGTCTGAACTAGAGAGTAATACAAATCCAAGGTATATATATACAGAGAGGTGAGACCAGGTCCACAATGGTCAGGTATTAGGTAATAGCCTTACTAATCTTTAAATGCCGTTACTCAAATACTCACCCTCCTCTGTATATACACCTTGATTTGTATTACTCTCTAGTCTGTACTCACCCTGAAGGTGAATTACGAAAGCCTTGGGAACTTGTTTCTTCTTTCATATGATATATATATATATATATATATATATATATATATATATATATATATATATATATATATATATATATATATATATATATATATATATATATATACGTTTATGCTTGAACGCTAAAACCAATGAAATAAATGTTTATTTTAAGAAGTTTCATTACCAATAAACTAAAATTTACAATTGTAGCTTGAAAACTGAGTTATTACTATCAAAAGAACAAGGTCAATTCTTTCCTTACAGTACTACATACATCATGTAAATTATTTTTTCCTTTTATGTGTAACCAAAGTCTACGGATGAAATTTATATGAATAATCTCTCCCACAATATATATATATATATATATATATATATATATATATATATATATATATATATATATATATATATATATATATATATATATATATATATATATATATATATATATATATATATATATATATCACCATCGCTGCTGTAATAATCATTCCCTCATCATCAGTAATTAAAATACTATACCATTAAAAAATATGAATTAATTTCCTCTTCAACTTATTGATCGTCCCAAAATGAAGGTTTGAGTGGATAGATAATATTGACTTTGGCCCCAATGACTCCCTCTGCCCGGGCTAAGAATCACTGATAACGGTATAGGTTCTGAAATACGAGTTACATACTCTGTTATAACAAAACATTCATTCAAGGTGAAATTATTTATTGGGGGGGACATAAGACGATGATCGAAGATGTAATAAGAATGACATTCTCTTGGTCTCATGTACGATCTAGTGATACGGAATTCTGTTCTTATCCGTCCCCTACTTCCGTCAATAACCAAGCTCACATATATCAGCAGCCATCTGAGGTTCCGGCTATGATAACCAAACTTTTATCAGCTAGGAAACTTCGCGGGAAGTAACCGTCCCTTCATATACTGTACAGGTAATACTTGACGTCCTCCTTTTTCTGTTCTCAATAGCCGCCTTCTTATCTTCATTATTAAACCTCCAGTATCCCTAAGTAGCTCTCTTGTGAAACGCGAGAGTTGATGAATTAATAACGTACTCAATGCCACCAGACCCTATACGGTGGGAAGAGATAAGCTTATTTATACGACCATACTTACCCTTATCAAGTGAGAGCAATTGATAAGAGTCAAGCATCGTAAACTCTTATTACTCGTACCAGTTGCCTGTTGGCTACGTCCTTTATGTGAGATCTCCACCTAGCTCTCCTACACGTCTGGTTTAAGGATCGGCGTTTTATATCTTGACGTCTTGTCCCAGAAAACGAGTGGCAAGACCTGACTGGGAGGTCGGCACTAAGCAGTCAGCGCGCCATCACTACCAAACCATCGTAAGCCACGGACCTGTCACCTTTCTCTAAGTTTAATGACGAAATGATTTGAATTTTAACAACAATCATATTTATGTTATTGATGAAATACTCAACAGATCATATTTGGCTGAAATTCCATTTTCCTGGTCTATTATATTAAGGAAAACTTTGTTAAACGTAAAATTAATTCAACCTTTGTTACAGAGACAACCCATTGAGGTTGAGTACAATGTTATTTTAGTTAAGAGATGCTTAAATCATCGTCCTAAGGAGTCAAGATGTGCTATAAAACGAACAGGGTGTCCAAAACTATACATGACACTGTTAATACTATATAATACATTTCACATTACGGAGGGTATATAATAACTAATACCCAAAGGAACTAATATTAGCGCATAAATTGTGATCACAACCACAGGGAAACGAAACGAAAAGACCCAAGAGATTTAGTGATTATTCACCTCATCAGAATATTATGCCTGTATAGTAGGAGTGATAAGTTGAGGATAATTTCCTATATGAGTTTCCTATTTGCAACATTCAGTCCTACATTATTTGAATCACTTATGCTCTTTGTGATTTTTGTACTAATATATACATGTATCTTTGGGAGCAAAAGAAGCTTATTAAACACTAAACGTATTTTTTTAATGAAAATATGGCGATGGTTGATCCTTTATCTCGACACAGGTACAGTACATATACACGTGAACAAGGTTGCATTGCATTATACAGTAAATGAGGACTTAATTAAAATATTTTTCCATTCTCCAGGAGCTGCCAAAGTCGCTGTTTTTGCTCAAATAATGTTGAAGAAGCTATTGTAACTGCTGTTGTAGAAACTTGGGTAGATGCAGAAGAGGCTGGTGGTAGTACTGTTGGAGACACTTTTGGACTAATATAGCTTGTAAAAGCTGTTTAAGAAAGCACTGTAGCTGCTAGGAAAGCCGAGGTTGCTGAAGGAGAAACTAATTAAGATGAACTATTTTGAAGTTGCCGTTATTACTGCAGTTGTAGAATCTATCCAAAAATGAGTGCCATGAAATCCAAAAGAGAAAGCTTTATCTACGAAAGAAGACGGTACTGTATATAATATAAGAATTGGTGAACGAGGTGCCGGGGAACCTTGACACAAGCTCTCAAGAAAGTTGTTGGTGAAGGTGTTGGTCTTGAAGAAACTGCTGAAGAACTCCATTTCAAAGTCCACTGGATATGACGTGACAACAGGAGTCGCTCTTGTGGAAGTTGCTAAATTAGCAGCCATTGGAATTTAGAGGTTTAAGTAGACTCTGCAGTAGCGGGATAGCTGGAGTAATGGAGGCTGTGGTCGCTCGAGGAAGAAATGGGAACATGAGATGTCAAAGATGTAGATCACCTCTTAAGCTCTACCTCTACATGCTACTACCTGTACTAATATTACTGCTACCTGCCTTGACCCAAGCTACAGGTAAGTGATGGATATTCACACCCCAGGTTGAAGTTTACATCAGTCTTTTGGCTAATGTATGTATGTATGTATGTATAAAATCTCCATTAGCCAGAATCCCTCTTCACTGGATGTCTCCGATAGCCGGATTGACATTTTCTCAGAAAATTGTTCCCAAAGCCAGAATTTTCCGGATAATTCCAGCTTTGGGGAGGATTTTTCCGAGGGGTACATTTTCTGGAAAATTACGAGAACAATTTCCCGGTACCCGGATAATTCCGTGGATGGGGGATTTTTATTCCTGGTTTGAGAGATGACGATCAGTGGCATTTTCCAGAAATTCTGAGAAAATTTATCCGGTACCCAGGAAATTCCGGAAAATTCTGGGGATGGGGATTTTTTCTGGAAATTTTAGAGAAAATTCCAGTATTGTACCTGAAAAAATTCCGGGGATGGGGGTATCTCTTTCCAGGTTCAAGAGACGATGTAAAGCAAAATTTCTGGAACTTCTGAAAAAAATTTCCCATTGCCCAGAAAATTCCGGGGATGAGGGATTTTTTCCCCGCTTTGAGAGTCTTCTCGTTACCCAGAAGTGCTCTGCACCAATTGTTCCGGCTAACGGAGATATCACTTGAATATGCACTCCTTGTCAATCAAGCTATGACTTTAGGCTATTTTTCAGTGTGATAACTTAACTTTTTATCCATCTGCCTGTATCTCCATCCATCTGTGTTGTTTATATACTGTAAGAATATTTTATCTATGCGTCTGTCTGTACTTAATACAGTAAGTATATAAACAGTACATATATCTTGTGTCTGTACATAATACAGTATATGTATATACAGTATATATCTTTCTCTCAGCTTAACTTTGAATGTTCAGTATGTATCTCCAAATTGACCAGTCTTTGTTCTGTGAGGTTCTGGCAGCAGTTTGTCAGATTCCAAAGGAATTTTTTTGTATTTGACCTCATTCTGTGTGAAAACATCAAGATAACGGAATAATGGTAAATAAGCAACATTCGTTGGACTTTCTTTGTCGTATCATAAGCTTACACCTCAGAAAGTCTATATACATAAGTCGAGTTCCTCATATGACACGTCACTCTTTGCAGTGTTGTAGTTCACGTCACTAACACTATATAATACCCATTATTTTGTCATGTAAACTCAATCTACTAATACTAGTCAATTTGAAAATATTTGTGCATTTTCACTGTTGATCTATAACTCATTGACCTGTTAAGCTCACAAGTCTGGGACTGAAATTTTATCTCATTTACTTTATCTTGTATTTTCAATTCAATGGCAAGGAAATGGTTTAGATATGCATGCTATTGTCTCGACATGTCTTCCACAATGCACTGTTGTGTCATATGCTCACATCAATAGGACTTGCATCTTATAGGTGAGATGATCAACAATTCAAGGTTGGGGCCAGTAAAATCCTTTAGGGAGACACTAGGAAAGATCTGCCTGAGGCCACTGGGAGACCAGAGCACAGAGGCAGCAATTCGGTTGGAAATCAAATCAACATTCAAAAACATTATTACTACAGCCGGCAATAGCACCATACCCCCTGACCAGTTAGCACCCGACACCTGGCATACCCTTAGGTTCCAGCACTCCATTGTCAACTACAGAGTAAGTCTTGAGTTTTATCCGAGTTTCTAATTTGTTTCCATACCAATGTCTATCAATCTGTAGACTACAGTCAATAACATCTAAAAGGTGTCTGAAAAACACCGTTATTAGCGAAAACGTTATTTGTGTGACATAAAAATACATGTAAAAAGGGTTTATTGGTGCTGCCGCCACAAGAATTCAAACTGAGAAACTCCATTGTTGTGATGAATGTTGGCAACTGGGGAGGTGAATGGCCTTTCAACCACCTTGTGGCCCCACAGATGCATTCACATAATATTTTTTATTATTATTGTAAAAATTTTTATTAAAATCACAATTATTTTTTAATTTTTGTAAAAATTTCAAAATTCCTTAAGGGTGAATATTTTTCATAACCCAAAATTCTGTAACCCGAGGATGCCTGTACATACTGTACTGTGCAATTATGTACTAATAAAAATGAAGAGTTATCTCTGTTTGGCAAAAATATAAATCAGTTATGCTTTCAGACTTAATAACATACCGGTAATTATTCCTATTTAATGAAGTTAGTGTAAGTACAGGGTGCTCAGAAAAAATTATACATATTTTCATGGAAACCTTGTGAATGCTTGTATTATAGCAGCAACATTGTCCAGTTTGTCCTCACTTGTGGGAGACCTCACAAATGACCAAGTGAGGACAATGTTTCTGTTGTAATACAGTACAGTACAGTACAAGCACTAACATGATCTCCACCAAAATTTGCAGGGCAGTGTACTGTATATACATTTTTCTAGATACCATATACAGAACTGTACTGTACAGTTTAACACTTTCTTGTACTTGCTACACCTTCAGCACTCCCTCGCACAACAATGTTGTTGTTGTAATATATTGTACTGTACAAACATTCATGCTATCTCTACAGAAATGTGTAAGGTAGTGTGCACAGGTGCACTACAGTATACAGTTTTTTTAGACACCCTGTATAACATTTTCTTGCCCTTGCCACCCTTCAGCACTCCCTCGATGTGGAGGTGGACAACCGCTCCATCATCTTTAAGAAGACCAACAACAAGATGTTTACCTCTTCCTACAACTTCGACCAGGTCAGACTATTCCTCAAGGTGAGGTTCTACAGGGTTCCATTTAAGTATGGTAGTACAGTAGCAGGATCAAATCATGCATAGATGCCATATTCTTTTGGTATAGTTCTACTGGTTGTCAGGTTGAAGTTGCTTAGAAGTTTCTTGTCCTTATGTGAAGCCGTTGTCTCAGTAGTTGAGGTAAATACAATACTGTACGTTTAGTACAGGAGGGCTGTATACACTCGATCACTTAAGGATACAATACCATAATATACTGTCTGGGTACTACAGGTGGTTAGTTGATATAAACATAGCTAAAGTTAGACACTGCTTCATCTTACTTTAGTAATTTTTAATTTTGGTTAAATTTCATATTTTATATGCAATATTTTTATAATTCATAGTGCCACAGCTCATGTTCTGTTGAGTGATAGCTGCATACAGCATTTCAGTTTTCTTCTCTGTAAAGTATAGGGCTGCAAGTTAAGTAAACTCTTCAGTAACAGAACTTGCATAAACTGAGCATGTACAGTATATAGGACTCTATTTACTGTATAATACAGTTCAGTACTTTATTTGCAGGGACGGGTGGAAGTAAGCGATTGTTCACCCACAGAAGACCCAACAGTCACTACCATCACCACTACTACTACTACTACCACATCTACAACCACTACAATGATGACTACCTCCACTTCTGCCACCACAACTGAGCAGCAACCGACCTCAGGTATATTATGTGTTGCTTCACATCCAGTTCCTCAACTCGTTTAACTCTGATTGAATCATAGCTTGGTTTATAGCCTTCCAATCATATTCTGCAACTGGGAATCCCATAACCAGGAGCGAGCTAAGAATTGGAGCAATTCAAAGCACTGATTCAGATCAGTATTGACTTCATTCATCTGCAGTTTAGTGAATCATATGAGGTAAAAGGGACATAAAGTACAGTAATTCCCAATAAGTATGCTTATTCTTTTCACAATGCACGATAACAGATACTATACAGTATATACCATTCAGTGAGGTAAATGTAAAATGAAGGTATTTAAATCTTGTTATTTCCACTGGGCATTTTCCTGAGAGAGAGAGACTTGGAGTTGCTCTTACATATGAGACCAGAGGGTAGGGACACACTTCTTGGAGAATGTACCGGTAACCCAGATTTAGGGAAGACTAGGATATTGTACCCAATACTGGAACTCTAATTAAAAATGTAACTCCATGCCTCCAGTTAACAGACCTTCTGGTGGGTTCTTCCATGTTATACGATAAAACACAAAAAATTTCACAATAAATTTTAAAAAGACATTATGTTACTGTTATTTTACTAGCCAGATCTATCTTGAGACAGTGTACAGTGAGAGCCCTCCATAATCCTCTTCCAAAATACCATGTTATATACTGTACTACTCTGACAAACACCAATACAGCAAGTTCCTTTTAAGAACCTCAGGCCAAATTGGATAGACATGGCATAGGTGATGTGACTTCTTGAACACCAACTGTACTCTACTCATGTTGTTAGCAAAGCAAAACATTTGCAAATCAATGTACAAGATGTTAAAAACTCACATTACAGCAACACAGAGTGAATAACTGAATAAATCACATTAAAGCCCATCTCAGTGCTCCATAACAACAAAGACCAAACAATGAGCATCTCTAAATGAAAGTGGATTTGGCACGTCTACACCTGAACCTGGATAAGTGGCTGGCTAGAGAGAAGTGGGAGTAATTCTGCAATTTTGCTCTTTAGCTGAGTCTGTCAAGGGAAGAGCAGGTTGTGCACTGCTGTGTGGCTTCACTTTTTACCCCTCAGACTGCAGTGGCAACTGGTTTTAATACCCCTTTTTCAGGGCTAAAGTTGCCATGAAAGGGTTGCCTGATCATCAGATTAGCCCCAGACACCTTAGTTTAGAGTTCCTTGGGTTCCTAACCCGTAAAGTTTGAAGACATACATGATGTTCTCAAAAAATGGTATTAGGTCATAAAAAAGGTGAACAACCTAAGGAATAGTTAGGTGCAGACTAAGAATGTCAGCAGTGTTTAACTCCCGGGTGTGACAAAGAATGTTACCGGTAGTTCTATTTCTTATAATCTTGATACATGGTAAATCTATACCAAAATTAAAGGCTTTTAGAGATACCCTTAAAAATATAATGTGATTTTATAAGCAATATCTAAATGTCAGTATCACTAGTCGTCTTTGTGACCTTGAATTTTGACTGATCAGAACCATGGGCACTAGATTTCCAGAGATAGCCTTCATGAATTTGGTACAGTAATTAAAATATTATTGCTCAAAGGAATTAGGAACCAGATAGGTGGTTAATCTTTGATTACCTCAGGGAATAGTGATGCTGCCTTGCCAGCTAAGAGGGCACTAAAAATTCATTCATACAATGCCCAGCTCCTGCTCTGTTCAAGTGAGTTTGTAATAAGAAGAGCATCAGGCTTAGGATCCTGCCTGGTGGCAACTGAAACACCACGCCATCAGGTAATCACAGCTAACCCACACAAGTGTGGAAAAAGGTCCTGAAAGTAATGATGATGATGATGATGACCAGCAGACAAACAATTAAGCAATATGTATGAACTGTACATGCAATTGGCTTAAAAAACAAAGATGGAGTACATCAAAATTTTTCTGACTTTTGCTTTTCAAAATATAGTATAGAATTTAGTTTGTGTGACTGATCCAGACTAATGACTAATAAGACCCATTTACAAAAGACTGAAGTAATAGTTTACAACTGCATGAATCATCTTTAACCTTCAACTTTCACTAACGTTAATCCCCCCAGAAATACACTGTAACTAGAAATAAATATCAGAATTGACTACTGCACATTACTGTAGCTCAAGATGCCTGTCACCCCGAGCTTTAAAAAATAAATACACCTGTATTGACATATACAGTATGATGAATTTTGCATGGAATATGTCAATACAAGCTGGTGAGGGATCCTTGTTAATCCAAGGAATATCTTTAGGAAGCAACATAAGTGGCCTTGAACAAGGCACCACTCATGTCACCACTGGCACAATGCAGGTCACCATTGACACCATAAAGAGTGACACTGGCTCAGAACCAGTAATTTCTGGACCCAAGCCAGTCATTACAGGCCCTCCTCAGATGGCTACTTACCAGGTCCCTACCACCACCAAGGAAGGTAATGGGGGAGTCCTGTATCAATCTCTTGAGTGTAGAGTTTAATAATTTATGGGGTATAGAGATGTGCTTGCCTCTAAGGTTTATATATGTGGTGTAGGGTGAGGATTATATGTGGTGTGGTGTGTGTGTGTGTGTGTGTGTGTGTGTGTGTGTGTGTGTGTGTGTGTGTATGTGTGTGCGTGTGCGTGTGTGTGTGGAGCTGAAATTATCTACAATGTTGCACGTATATCGAGCAGTGGTCCTCTCCACCCTGCTATATGGCAGCGAGACATAGGTTACATACATAAGGCACCTCAAGGCACTTAAAAACTTTCACCAGCGTAGTCTACGTTCCATCCTCCGAGTTCGCTGGGAAGACAAGAGAACAAATGCCAGTATTCTCGCTGACACCAACTGTAGAAGCATCGAGGCTACCATTATCCATGAACTACTACGTTGGACTGGCCAAGTTACCCACACGGATGACAGTAGACTGCCAAAGCAGCTACTGTACTTTAAAGTCACCTAACGAATAGTAAACGTAACACTGGCAGGCAACTGAAAAGGTATAAGGACAATTTTAAGACAAACCTGAAACGCTTGGAGAAGCACCATACAAGAAGGTGTCAATACATTTGAGTTAGCCCGACTGCATAACGAGGCAGAGAAGTGCCAATGCCGGAAATACGCTGCCGCCGCCCCTCCCGCACTAGATGTAGCCCCCCACATGTGCAACATCTATGATAGACCCTACTGGTCCCATATCGGCCTCTTTAGTCACCTCAGAACTCACCAACCTACTGCAGGTGACATCCTTAATAAATCATATCTTTGTATCATAGATGGATGATCCTCATACTCGATTATGAGTGACAGCTAAGTAGTGTGTTTGTGTGTGTGTGTGTGTGGTAGTCTCTGTGGGGAAGACTTGTGGTAATCTGCAGGGTATAAGTGTGTGGTAGTTTTTGTGGTGTAAATGTGTTAGATCATACACAGTATGTGATGTTTCTATGTGTGCATGTACAAGTATTTGTGTTTCTGTATGTATGTTTCTTTACATGTATTTGTACAGTATATGTTCCATTTCTATATGATTATACAGTACAAATGTAAAATTATTTGTATTTCTTATGACTACAGATGGAGCAATGAATTTTCCCATGCAATTCTTCTAATATGCTGGGGGTGGCCACTTACTGGCACCAGTTACTCCATATTGTATTTGCTCTTTTATGTGGCAGTAGTACTTGCTGAGGAAGAATTCTGTTAATAATCACTGCATCAAAAATTGGTACCTCTTAATTCACTGGCTAAAAGCCTCTTACTTTTACTATTCAACTAAATCTACCAAAATTGCTCCGTGATAGGAATGGCCCATACAGTAAGTAATTCCGAGATGAACAAAAAAATTGCATTCATTGATGAAAAACTGTATACAGATAACCATTGAATACCAAATAAATTAATGTTGCACTGTATTAATGGTTTCTACTCTTTTACAGATACAGTGATTGTGGGTGGTAATCCATGGTTACAGTCACTGGGGGATATAGGAGGTATGCCCATCGTGCTCATTATTCTGGTGATTGTCATTATCGTAGTCATTATCATTGTTGTAGTTCTGTGTTATCGCTGTAAGCAGAAGCAAAAGCAAGAGACGAATGGGAAGGATCAACGGACTGCTGTCGAGTTCCAGCCCAGTTTAGACAGTGAAACGCCTAAAGCAACCTACAGTAAGCTTCACCCAGCACAAAAGGACATGTTAACCACAATGACCTCACCAAGTTCTCCCAACAGCTACCAGGGTCCACCCGCATACACCAACCATACCACCACCTTCAAGCCCAGAAATCAAGTAAGCACTCCCAACTCACCAAACACCACCAATGGCAACACAGCTGAAAATATCAATACTCCCGTAAATAGCGTCTCCCCCAGCACGTCCCCTAACACTCCAACATATAGCTTCCCCAATGACACCGTCTATCCTACCATGTCTGAATACCAAACAAGGCTCCAAAACTGATATCTATTTATCTATTCAAATCACTTTTACCACTGTGGTAAAGAAGTGACAGGCTAACAAAAACTCCCTAGCAGAGTATATTACACGATGCAGGTCAAGTATAAGTCATTCTCTTGAGTCTTACAAAATTATATTCTCAATAAAAATAACAATACAAGAAAAAAAATTCTTAGGTGTTTGTAGACATATGTAATGTTGATAATTTTATCATCCAGAAAACACAAAAGGCACTCATCTACAGTGACACCTCTCTTGATGTAAGTTGTATTGTACTTGTAATATGTATTGTGAAGAAATGTGTACAGTAATATTCTCTGTATGTTAAAGTTCACATGGTCTGAATTTCTATGCAGGTATAAAATGCATGAGAATTCACCGCATTTACCTAATGCAATCACTGCATCAATCACTGACCACTAAATAGCTCTATTCAACTGTGTTCTGTTGTGCTGTTGCCAATTCCTATTTTTCAGTAAATTGGTTATGAATATTTAAAATTATTTACAGTGCATGACAACACTGTTAAGCTTATTGATATGTCTCAAACCAATTAATATATTTAGTCTTCAAAATTCTTTTGGTGAATTTTGTTGTTAACTTGAAAGATTCACCAAATCTAAAATTAAATCATACAGTATTCAGCAGAGAAAAAATAGCTGTAAAAATTTATACCAAACTTATCCACTTGATAAAAATTTTTAATCTGTCTACTGTACTATTTATTGTTTACTGTATGTGTACATCTCTCTCAACTGTGTGTGTAATGGATCAAGAGATACAAAGGGTCATAGGACAAGAGAATGACACAAGACAAATGTAATGGATGACAAGCTTATCTCTAGTGAAGTTTATTTTGGCTTGAAAGGATTGATTTATTGGTTTAAGACCACTAATACAAAGTAGACCGGGTTGGGGTTGTGTTGGGATAAGGTTGGTTGTTTCTTTACACTCAACTACTAAATTTTACCAAAACAAAATTGTTGCTTCATAGTTAACTCAATGAGGATTATTATGCTCAATTTGCTTGAGTGAAGGGTAGCTGGGTTAGTTTCTTTGGGTGACATTAGGTTAGCTGGGTACATTTAGCTAAGGCAAGGTTAGTGGGGCTAAGTTGCTGTGCTGAGGTTGTATGTACAGTACATGTTAAATTTGCTCCTGGAAGCCTGAGTCAAACAATGCCATTTGGGCTCACTACAAATCAAATTTTGAAGACATTAAAACAATAAGTGCTGCTGTGTTGTGAGGTGGTATTACAAGAGGGCAGGACAGTATGGAAGATACCTCTTAGTGTATGTCTCCAAGATCCTCATCTTAACACATTCATCCAGTGCTTGTACAGTATCATTTATTTTATTTTCAGTTGCAGGATTGATACAATTGTGTACAACACAAACTTTCCCTAAATCTTTGTAACTCATTCTTTCTACCTTGTATCATTCAAAATACTGTACAATAAATTATGTAAGATAAGTAATTAGAAAGTGAAAATCTTGTTTTGTTACTCCACAGAAACAAATTAACAGCAGCTGTTGATTCTGTACTGTAAAATGCTATATGCAGTACAGTACAGTATCTTTATTGGGCAATATAACATTTTGACATTTAGACCAAATATTTACTAAAGTTGCCATAATGTAACCTGACTTAGAAAACACTTTATACTGTACAGTACATCAAATTATAATCGAAATGTTTGGTTTGGTTGTCAGAAATCTTGTACCATAAAATACTTATTGGAAAACAGATTGCAATATTAAACTAAAATGTGACAAACATTAGTCTGAAGTGGTTTCTTTTTCTCAGCACCATTTTGTCACCTGTTTAAATTCTTGTACAGTATATTTCTGCTTGCTATATTGAGTAATGAATGAAAGTGTTTTTATGATGATTGAATCCCTCAAGTTCAGTTTATCCCATAAGTTCTTAAATCTGTCAACTTGATCCCTGTAACACCTATTACCTACATCTTGAATATAGGGCCTTGTTCCATCTTATTCACAAGGCTATATTACATTAAGTGTTGGATGAGATGTCAGGAGAAGTAGGGAATGGTTTAAAAATATAATGATCCCATACCGAAGATGACATCAAATTTGTAGTCATCCAGGTCGAGGTTACGGGTTCAAGTCATACTTGCCTTATCTACTTCTTAGGGTTAGAACAATCTCTGTAACATTAAGGCTAAATTACTTTAAGTGTTCTGTGTTAGACTTAAAAGATTATCGTAATAAATACTGTATACAGCTTAAAGTAAGAAACATTTGCAATATTCTTATTATTTTAGATCATCCTCATGCTGAGCACTTGGTATAAGTATCAGTTGTTTGTAGTTTGTAGTCAGATAAATGTTTTGTAAAACTATTTTAATCTTTCATATGATGTGGGAAGATTTTCAGTGGCAGACACTTAGAACATAACTCAGAAATGTATACAGGTTATACAGTATGAACTTACAACATTAAAGAGTGTAATGTATTTAGCAATACAGATTTAAATATCTTTCATCACCTGACCAAATTCCCCCAATTATTTCCATTTATCTATCCATTACCAGCTTATTTTTTTCATCTCCCACTTTTTGTTGAATGGATGAAGGCCCGATAATGATAACAAAAATAATAATAACAATAATAGCTGGTCTTTTGTTTCCCAAAAGCACCAGTTTTTCTAAAGAATTCACTAGTGCTCAAAACACTACAAAGTCAAAGACCTGAGAATAAAAAGAAATACTGTACACTGTACTGTACTACAATAAAATATCACAAAAAGTGACAACTCGACTTGTATCATTCATATACCCTTAAGTTTTAATACTTCCTAAACCCTGTAATTCTCCACTACCATGCCCTGTTTGGGATCTTAAGCTTTCAAAAAAAGTTAAGATCTTAAGTTGACAAAAGTCAGCTGCTTCATGGATGCAGGCAACAGATTGTACAATCTGGGTGCAGTATGGGAAAAGGATCGAACCGCAAATGAACATTCCCGCACCGCTCTAGGCTCCTCAAGGTGTGAAGTATCATCACTACTTCGCAAAATCATTTCAGAATGTGTAGTCAGTGGAATTGCACACTTTGACAATCACCTTTGATCAAAAATAATGTTAAATGAAAGGAAAATGCATCTTTGGTGTAAAAACATGGACAGAGCCACAAGAAAAATATTCATCTCATTACCAAGGGAAAAGAAAAAAGTAAGACGTGGTGTATATATTGTTCATATCTCTCTCTTTCTCTTCTGCTGTCTTTAATGGGGATAGTGCTCTCTAACCAGATTTGATACAAGTATAATGAGCGCTAATAGATAAGAGATGATACTTTATGTGGGGCTGGCCGTTGCCACTACCGCAAGTAAATTTTTATTTTTATTATTATTCCAAAATTATGAGTTAAAAATACTTTATACCTTATGATAATCACTGGTATTTCTTTAATTATTATTTTTTGCATGTGCTGTATGCAAGATTGAGTGTGTATGTAGTTAAATAAACAAAATTAAGAAAATTACATGCAATTTATCTATGCAAAATTACAAGTTAAAAAATAACCATAACATAACATAAGAGCTCACAGGTGGGACAAGTAGAAAATAGAACTTATGGGCGAGTATCAGTAAAGTTGAAGTTCCATAACCCAGAGAGTGCCTGCATATAAACTATGCAACTGCAGAAAATAATCTACTTAATCAAAATTTTCCTTCTGTTCAGTTGTTGTCTCGAGTGAATCGTGAGGTAAAGAAATTTCCCAGTCATTCCTACACCTTAAGTAGCATCTGTAAAGCAGAGTTAACTGAAATATCATGGCCAGTACTCTATAAGCAGCCAACCTTAATCTTTCCAACATTACCCCCCCCCCCTTGGCTCTTCCATACTTTCATCTAATACCTATTTTCCACATACATATTGCCATCACCTTTTGCATGCTGAAGAGATGAGAACCTACAGTACATAGTTCACTTTAATGACATTCACATTATGATTTATCACAATAACGACAGTGATGAAATGCAACACCTCTGCAAATTAACGATACATTTCAACACAATAACGAACAGTAGCGCAAGTTGATAGTCACTCTGGGTGGTTTGCTTTGATCCGAGTGTGTGAACAAGAGGTGTGGAGTACCCTACTCACATACCTGTGACCGTGTTGTGTAACCTCTTTACCTGTTGATGATAATGTTCAAGATTTACTGAAGGATCAGTTGGTGGTGGTGCTGGGGAAGCAGTGCAGTGTGAGAGTGTGGGGCACTAACACCACTCCCCTGCCTCAAATAACAGCAAACACTCTCATTAAGCAGTTCAATGAGTGTCTAAAAGTTAGTTATTAACTCTACATGCAGTATTAATGTGTGTGAATAAGTGGTTGTAATTTTGTGTGGGGTTTATAGGGGGTGAAAGGGTCTGAGGGCTGTTACCAATTGACCCATAAACTATATTCGCCACATTAACGATTTCCACTTTAATGACCGTTTTCATGGTACTAATTAGCCATTAAAGTGAAGTATGGACTGTATTGAAAATGAAACGAGTCACTCAAGAGAGAATGAATATCCAAAACTTTCATTTCAATTCTTTTACAGCAGTTAGAGAATGAATGACACCAAATGAGGGTTGTGTGCATTAATCCTTATTCTGCCCACCCAGTGCAATAGCACAAAACCTTACAAAATTGGAATAAAAAATAAAGAAAATTCCCAAGTAACCTTCCTTACAAGAATATAAAATACCACAAATCTAAGTTCAGCATTTTATTAGGTACTATTGCCTTTACTTCACAAATAACATGAAAGGTAAAATCACTATGTATAACAGTAATGGAATTTACGAAATGGAAGAACTGAAAACTGAGAACAGAACTGAAGTACAATTGTGCCGAAGTAGTGAGTCTGTTGAGTACCATCCACTATTAAACAAGTTATTATTAGCCCTTGACTACATACACAAATTATAGTCATGTTTGTGTCTGGTGACCCTTCCCTTAAGTTTCTTTCACTACTTGTAGTTTCTCTAAGATAATAAGCTACATTCACTCACAAATTTGTACATATTATTGTAAATATATGTTAGAATTTCATCAGGTGAAAAATTATAAATGTGCAAAAGGGAACCAAACTAGATGATGGCAACTTAGTCGGGGTTATGATAATGATCTTAGTACTGGATGTTTGTACGGTGATATCCTAAAAATACTGAACAACATTTAACACAGAATGAAATTAGATTCACTCTGGATAAAATATTCTGCAAAAACTATAAATATTTCATAAAATCACAGAAATTAAATTTCTTTCAATGTCAAAGACATGAATTGAAATGCTTTAAAGAAATGTGGTCACCAGTAACCAGTGACATTGAAAAGGGCATCATTAAAATGGAGTTTAAGGTATCAATGAAAAAAATCTCTCTGTATGCCAGTTAAAATACTTATAATGTTTACAATTCAATAAAAGTCCAAGGAAGAACTGTTTTCCTCTAAGACATGAGTCTTGTACAGTATATAACTGACTACAACACATCTAAGTCTCAGAGCTGGGAATAAATTTCACTACTGACAGGATTTATGAGCACATGAATAACATCAACTTTGCTTAAACATATAACATACAACATGAATACAGTATTTGTTTAAATATATATTTCTCTAATTCAACATCAGACAGTTAAGTCTATTACCTAAGACACTGGTCATCAATAAAATGCATACAGTAACTCTTGAGTACAACTTTGTCAGATGATAAAATTTCTAATTCACTATTATAAATAACACTTCACTTTCAGAAGGCCCACCTTTAAATGTAGAAATTGATCTTAAATTATTACTCAGCTAAATATCATTACCTATGAAAGGGAGTAAATGTGTCATGATACTGCATAACTATTGTCTTAGCCCTGGAAATCATTCATCAATCAAACCTCCAAGATCTCATCATTCAAAATGTTGGTCTTTGATGCATAGAGGCAAGTACATGAAGGGTATAAAATGGATGGACACATGACATTGTCAATGAGGATCCCTGGTCCCTCGTAAGGTATAAAGTACTGACTGGGTTACAGAAGGCACGGGATAAGGCTAAACAATTCCCCAGCTAGCAGTTCACAAAAGCAATTTTTGGGGGTGAAGTAGACAACCATTAGGAGCAAACACTACATAATTCTACGTGAGATTTTTTTTAATATACCAAATACAGTAAAAGATATATATCATATCTCCTTTCATATATTCTTCTGTGCTACTCTGCTTGAGTGTAACAATGCATAAAATATATACTGTATATATAAACAGTTGCTTTTGTGGCTAGTTTGTGACTGGAAACCTTAAAAACATCTGACTCAAGCCTGCAACCTATCGAGTACCAAGGAGAACCAACTATAGATAAGGGTACTGTACTGTACAAAAGCAGGCGCAACCTTAACAACTCCTCACTAGCTGGGGCACTGTACAAGGTCACATGACAACAAAGAGTCATTTCTAAGTCTCTCTTGGATAAGGTTTGTATTGGCAAGACAAGGTATTGGGTTTTATAAAATAGTTCTCATTAAATTAAATTAGGATGATAACAAAAGTAATCAAATGGCAAAATAGATCTTTCAATCTTGATGGCAGTTTGGAATGCTTGGCATATACAAATAAAGATTTCATTTTCTGTGTGCATTTCGTCCACAATGGAATGAGAGGATAGTTAAGTCAGATAATGGCACCTCCATGATGAAGAAACTATTTTCACTGTCTACCTGAGTGATTTGCACCTAGTACCTATTTTATGTGTACATATCTCATGTGTACCTATTTCACATGTGTGCCAAGCTCACATGTATACTGTACCTATTCCATGTGTGTATCAAGGCCATGTGTACCAAGTTTGTCTACCTATTTCGTATGTTCACTTATTTTAAATACTGCATGTACCTAATTTAAATGTGTAGCTTACTTCATACATGATTTCTTTTACAAAAAATATAATTTGTAATAATGTGATTCTGTAATAATAGAGTACCTATTACAAACTTCTTGTCTGTCCAATTCACCTACTTTTCAACAACATGGCAATGAGCACTCAATATTTTTATTCCTTCAAAATTTTAAATGTACTTTCTCTCGTGATGAAAGTAAAGACAAAGTTTAACACTTATTCCAATGACTAACAACTAATGAAATGCATCAAGTTCACCAAAAAATCTAAAGTACTTCCAAATAATATGGAATGGTAACTGTGCAAGGCAAATTTGGTTCACTATCAGGACAGATTTGTTACACAGCAGGACCAATATATATAATGTAGAAAGATCTGAGAACTATAACCTAACAGATCAGCCTTCCATCTGTAATCGTAAGTTCAACAACTTCACCTCCTCTTCTAATTAACATTACATCAAATAATTAAATATATTACACAAGAACTCTTACTCCAACACAAAGAGGTTGATTAACGGGGTTACTTACAATCTTACATATATTCAGTATTTGTACAAAGTGTAAGGAGACATTAACCCGGCCTTAACCATTAAAATGACACTAACTCCAGGCGAGAAAGCACCCAAAGCACGACCAAACCCAAACTTAATTGCCCATGGAAGAAATATGGTTTAAGGTAAGGTATGCCGAGATCTACGCTGAGTAAAATATACCATACCCTCCTCTGAACAACACTGCAGGGTAAATTACCCGAGAATGCGACAAGCACGTTGAGTTTACCATGGGAGCTACAAACCATTTGTGAGATTTATGAGAATCCAACTAGCACTAAAATCAGTTCTTCAGAAATACCCAAAGAACTCATGAAGATTAAAATTTAGTTAAATCATAATTTTTTTTCCATTTGTGCAGTAAGTTGACATCTGTCCATTTACTGAGGACTAGTACTGTACAGGTATAGATTTATTGTGCTTACTCTCTTGTAGTTTTAGTCAACTTTGTGATAGTACAATTTGTCTTAGTACTTTAACAGCTTGAGCACATATTACTAGATTACATCAATTTTATAGTGTATAAAACAGGATATATACTCAGATCTATGAAGTATGAGATACAAGCTCATTTTATGACAATATTTCTCTCAAATATTTGTATAGAGAAATATATTTCAGATCTATGGGGTATAAGATGCAACCTTCTCAACTTTCACACACTCTGGACTTAGAAATAAATGCTGGTGGAAGTAGTAGTTAACAAGGAAGAACTGGGTCCTACTAACCTTACTGAAGTACACGAGCTTTGAGTCACAAGACGAGCCAACAAGATGTCTGACCTGAATATAAGGAGCACCATGGACATGAGACAGCACAGGCTAAAACACCTCCTATATGGCAAGACCTAAATCTTCCAATTTTGTAACACAAAGAAGTTGATCCCGAGCCCAGTTTGCGCGGAAAAACTTTTCATTTTCAGCTTTCTGCTATGTCATACTTTCTCTGAAAAAAAAATTAAAGAAGAATCAAGTACAATCCACAGTACTGGCTTATCACTTGTTTATAAGTCATTCTATAATAAAGGATGTATAAAGCAATCTAATATTCCATCCAACTTTCCTCACTACACTTGTTTCTGTCCTGTCCTTGTCTTTCTCTGCCCATCTGTCTTTACCTCTGCCATGTCTGTTTCTATCACTATCCTGTCTTTGTCCCTCTCTGTCCTTCTGTACTGCCTCTACAGTATATCTCTGTCTTATCTGTCTCTGTATATCTGCCATTATACGTCTTTATGCCACTATTAATCATTCCCAGATTTTATCCTAGCTATTTCTCATTACATAGGACATCTTCCTTGATATTTGTTGTCTTTAAAAGTCTAAATTGAGCTTCAGAAAACAAAAGAACCTGTACTGTACTGTACTGTACACAAGTTTCTGCTAGTGTTCCTACACACTTATAATTTTGAGTAAAAAATAATAGAAATCAGTCTTCTAACTTTGACAAATTTATTACACGACCAAAACTCCAAAAAATTACTTTGATATTTTATAATATTTTATACTGTATATCACATAAAAAACAAAAAAGCGAACATACTTATGTTCTTTGCACCGGTACGACCGTCATCATGTGGTTGTGTGGTAGAGCCTCTTCATAACCTCCTTTGCTCTTCATTTGGGACTGTAGTTGAACCAACTGGTTATTGCCCATCTGAACATCACTTGAGCCAATATGTCCTGTGTGGACAAAGTTGGTTGGCTCTCCAATCATTGTGCGGTCTATGCGTCGACGTCGACGCTGCAACAAGAAAAACAAATTATTATTATTTTTTTTTGTCTGATTACAGACTAAAATACTTCTCCAAACTAATAACATCCACATACTGTACTAGCACCAGTCATCCACACAATCCATCAATATCCTGAGTCTCCATCTACCTCTCCTCCTTATTGCTCTATAACTGTATAGCACTGTACACTTGTTTCAACATGCAGCTTTAATTCATTCTCCCCACATACAGGCATTGCTACTGTGCCACAACTTCTCTTAACACATGTCCATGCCAACTAATTTAATGAACAAATATTACATCAAAAGGACAGTATGGGAGTACAGTACTGAAGTACCCCATACTTCAGTACTGTACTCTCATACTTAAGAGCTTTCCACTTCACTTGTCTAGACCAAGTAACCACTCTCTCCACAGGTTGGTGCCATATAAGCACCTAAGCAAATTAAAAATTCTTTTTCATAATATTCTTACAGCTTTTTGAGACCTTATGCAAACTGGAGATGTATTACTGTACTTTTTTAATAAGTAAACATTCTTTTCACAAAGAATGCAGTGTTTTTGCAGTCAATATCAGATGATGTATTGTACCATGATATTTTTGATAAGGGATTACTGTAACTTACTCTCTAAAAGATAAAGGGAAAAAAAGAAAACATTGAGTATATTATGGATATTTTTTACAAAATATATTTTTATGCAAGTTAAGCATACTGTATACGGATTAAAGGAGTGTGTGTGTGTGTGTGTGTGTGTGTGTGTGCAAGCAGGGGCAGATCCAGGAATATCAAAGGGAGGAGGGGGGAGGGTCCAAGAAGCTGTTGTTGGGGAACATGGCAAGTGCAGCAAGCCCACCTAGTTGGGGGATTTTAGGGGGTGTTGTAAGGCCTCCCCCCCCCCAAATTTATTTATTTAAATTTGACCAATATCATTGGCATTTTGAAGTCATGTACACTTGATGTTAGGAGATATTCTGAGGTTAATAGTAATTATTTTTTATTATAAAAAATGCCTGAGTACAATAATGTACTGCATTAAAGAAAAAGTATTGGAATTTTCTGATGAAAAGGAGGGGTCCGGACCCCCAGGACCCCCTGCTGGATCCGCCCCTGCCAAGTGTGTGTGCATGTGTGCACAGGTTGGTGTATTGAGTCTAGTGTGGCAGCAATATGTTAGTGTTAAAGTGCAAGCACTGCTTGCTCTCTCTCGCTTTCAGCTACCACCGCTGGCTAGCCCTCACGACGAACAGGGAAGCAACTTGCACAAGTCTTCCCCTGCCAGTAAACAGCCTCTTCATCATCAGGACTCCTGCTGTGTCTCCTAATGGCAACACACAGTAACTGGGTGCCTCGTGTACCCAGACTAGACTAACAGTGGGCCCCAGAGGGACGGCACATAGGCCCACTGGCATGTGGAAACGTCCTGGTACCTATCAACCACTGCCACGCTGCCTTGCGGATTAGCCTTGGTAGGTATAAGGCTACGGGAGTAAACCCCTTCGAAAAATCTGCGGTGGAGCCCCGCATCAGGCAGACATGCTTACAGAGCTCCAACAAGGCCCCAATGGCAGTATAGGCAGAAGAGGTGACCCATGAGAACCTAACCACTACACCAGCGGATGAAAGCAATGCATGATGGACAGGCTACCGAGGCGAAACCCATCAAGCTGGGCTATCGGCAGTCCATTGCAACTCTCCCTCTTCCCAGTCATTTGAACACTTGCACCACTGGATCAGGAAAAGGGAGAGCCAAGATGTGTGGTTGCAGCCTGCGCTCCTACCTCACCACATAAATCAACACCTGTGCAGCCATCATCCATCTCATCATACTTATCATCATCATCAAAAATCTATACAGTATCCCCAAAATTCCTATGGTGACGGACTAGTAGCGACGGGGACAGGCAGAGATGACTGCCGGAGTCTCTAGTCACAACTCTGCACATGGGCGGCATAGATAAGATGATTGTTTATGCACTGGGATCTAGGCAGCAGTGCAATATGGTCATGTTTTAACACTAGCATCCAGAGGATCCAGCGGTAGCACATGCCTTCAGAGAGCAGCTTGAACATGGGCTGATAAACAACCCAACTACAAATAACCCAAACCCCAGTGCCGAATAGAGTATTTTTGAAACTATTAAGACAAAAAACTGCAGAAAAGACCCTCGGCCAGATCGAAATACACTAGGACTGGTTTGAGGAGGAAAATGATCCTGATCACCTACGCAGATGCTTATGCACACTTTGGCCTGGTTCTGTCATACCTCCACCATTAACGGTACTACCCTCATTCATGTTGCCCACTTTCAGTATCTCGGCTCCCACCGGTCCACCACCGCGGACATTGATGAAAAAATTCAACATCGGATCAGATGTGCATCTCGAGCCTTTGGCAGACTCCGTACCTGTGTCTTCAGTTGTAGGAAGCTGAAATTATCTACAAAACTGCACGTATAATGAGAGTGGTCCTCCCCACCCTGCTATATGGCAGCAAGATATGGGTCACATGCAGGAGGCACCTCAAGGCACTTAAAAACTTTCACCAACGTAGTCTACGTTCCATCCTCCGAGTTCTCTGGGAAGACAAGAGAACAAATGCCAGTATTCTCGCTGACACCAACTGTAGAAGCATCGAGGCTACCATTATCCATGAACAACTACGTTGGACTGGCTTATCCACATGGACAGCAGTAGACTGCCAAAGCAGCTACTTTACAGTCACCTAACGAATAGTAAAAGTAACCCCGGTGGGCAACTGAAAAGGTATAAGAATAGTCTTACGACGAACCTGAAAAAGTGCCAAATCGACCCTCACCTGGGAGAGGATTACTCCACACCGTAACACTTGGAGGAGCACCACACCAGAAGATGTCAATACTTTCGAGTTAATCCGACTGCATAACGAGGCAGACAAGCGCCAACGCCGGAAAGATGCTGCCGCCACCCATCCTGCACTATATGCAGCCCCCCACATGTGCAACTTCTGTGATCGACTCTGCCGGTCCTGTATCGGCCTCTTTGGTCACCTCAGAACTCATCAACAAAGGTGACAACTTTAATAACTCATATCATTGTATCATAGCTGGATGATCGTCATACTCGATTCTGGGTGACAGCAAAGTAGTAGTAGTACCTGTAGTAGTAATAGTTAGTGTGTGTGTGTGTGTGTATGTGTGTAGAATACCTACTTGCTGTTTCAGTACTTTCCTGTCACTCTTTATACTGTCTTTACAGAACTTTCCTGACATATTTCTGTAATCCTTAAATTACTAGAGAAAGATCAATAAGAATATCTGAAGCTCACCTGTGGTGGCTGTTGAGTGATGCAGCAAGTAAACCATTGGCCCCACACATCACCAGCCATTGTTGATGAATAGATGGGCATTGGATCTTTGGGAGGTGCACGTAGGCAAATGTAGGCACGGAGATTTGCCGAGGTGAAAGGGCGAACCTCCGAATCCCTCACCAAAGGGCTAGTTTTCCTCCATGTTCTGTGAAAAAAACCAAAAAATCTATATTTGGGAATCTTTCTGGTTAATAAAAGTAAGGACTTGGTAAAAGGAGATTGGTTAATAGACTGTACATACAGCAGTTCATATTTGTAATGTTGAGTGTGCAGAGGCGTCATTTGGGGGGGCTGGGGGGCACTCTCCCCCACAGACCTGGCTTGCCCCTCCCAAGGGCTGTCTTGCTCTCCAAGGAGGTGAGCTTCATGTGGGATTTTCAAAATGGAAGGACTGTTCAGAATTATTTGAAAAACATGCTCGAAGTGAAAGGCTTGAAAGCTGTAACTAGCAAAAAAGACGCTTCGATCAAGAATAAACTTTGTGCCAACAAGACAAATGAAATTAAGGAGAATAGAGAACATGTGAGATGTTTGTTACGAGCTTGCTTGGCAGACAAGGTTTGCCATTCCGTGGTCATGATGAAAGTGAAACGTCTGCAAATAAAGGAAATTTTGTTGATACACTAGATATGTTAGCAGACACCAATGATATTTTGCAGAAAATGATGCAAAATAATATTGGGTTTATTTATCACAGCCCTTTTACTATACAGGGGCCCCCCCCCCAAGTTAGCAAATTTTTATTTCGTGGTCCCCTATTAGTTGCGGATGACACCCTGGATGTACCCAAGAATGTCTGTGGGTAGTTTTAAAGTTGCCGGTATTTTCGAGGCTGGAACAGGGAGCCATTCATTCTAGAGACAGTAATTTCCTTAACCTGTATTGTAAATATGTATGTGTGTGTGTGTGTGTGTGTGTGTGTGTGTGTAGACACACACATATACAATACAGTGTACAGGTAAAAGAAATAATTGTCTAAAGGGCAAACACAAAGGGAATATACATTTCTTTGTACACAAGTAAAAATGCCCCCTGCTGAGGAGGTGTTTGGCTTAGTCTTGCGTCTTATCCACATTATATTGTACCATCAGTCCCACAGGAACTCACTAATATTTTTAGTCATGCTAATCTGATTAATTTAGGAAATACAGTTATGTGTCATGGAAATAATTAATACCTGAAAGTGATTTTTTGTTATGGAAGTCAGTTTTTGTCAACGGGGAAAGTTATTGACTGAAGATGGTATTGTCCCAGTCCCTCTGAACTGTCGATCATTCCCCGCACCAGCCACTCTGTGACTTCACTGCATGACAACACGTGACTCGGCCAGCCAATGACCATTCAGTACATGATACATGATGTGATTTAGCCAGCTAATGACAATGAAAGTAAGGTTAAGTTATCATAAGTAAGATAAGGTAAAGTAGGGTTGGTTTGTTAGGTAGGTAGGTAGGTAGGTAGGTAGGTAGGTTAGAAATTGGAGGATCTGGGGCTGATCCTCCCAGTTATGCACCCAGGTAAGAACTGGCAACAATTTCGGTTTCAGTTTCCTCAATATTTGTTGCTTTTCAATGGAAAAAGGTCACAATAACGTAAAAGTTTTTTTTAGCATTTTGATTCTCGTCGGAAGTTGAAAAAAAATTAGCGTTTCCACAATAAAAGACTATCTCCACTGCATTAAACATCAATTATTGAGGAAAATGGGTCCAAAATTGTATGCCAAACTAGCAACAAAGTCCAAATATTCACCAAATAAACTTCCTGGGAAAGAATTGGAGCTCCTTAGTTATTACTGTACCACAATCTTAGTTTTAAATTGAAGAACGAAAATCCAATGAGAGAAAAGGGAGAAAATTAATAATTTCAGTGAAAATCGTATAAAAAGTTCTAACGTGTTACTTTGGTGTTAATAAAAATTTCTCTGGGGTCAATTGTGGCAGTCAACACATCAAAACATTAACAGTGGTTAAGACTCATACACAATGGACATTGTTAACAAGATGGTGAGACTTGATAGGAATATTTTAAGCTTTATCTCTACAAGTTAATGCTTTTTTGTTCCCTCCTCCTTAACTAGCCTTACATTGTCCTGAATATGAATATAAATCAACACAGTAGCTCCTGGCGACAGCATACGGTATTAAGATAATTTGTTACCTTAATACCGTATATAATTTAACGTAGACAAGATGAACCAACCAAACCTACCTATCCTGGGGTGGAAGTATACTATTTTAGGTTAGGTTTGGTAGATTAATTTACAAAAGTTAGGTAGATAAAAGACAAATAAAGACCACCAATATGTATCAGGAAATATGGTGGTGACCCTCAGTCTTCAACAGTAATATTATCAAGCAGTGTCCTCTAAACTCCAGGCAGTCTGACTTACACTTATGTTCTGATAGATAACTTATATATTACTTAAAGAACCAATAATATGCATTAGATAATAGGGTTTGGATGGAGACTACTCACCCAAATAGTATCCCCCTCTATACCTCAATTCCCATACGCTAAAGGATTAACTCACAGCATCTACATATACACAAATTACACGGTATAAATTCACTGTAAGATAAGAGGATTAATATCTTATAAACTTACGGTAGTTTGGTGAAATATGTCACAGCCCGAGCCAGGCGTCAAGACAGATGGACCGATCTCTCCCTCCTCACTCTAACTAGTCATTAAAACCTAACCAGGGTATTTGTTAATGATTCTCCACAAGTTAAATGTGTATCTAGTGAGCTAAAGGATACACCACTTATGATAAACATGAAGTTCTATGAAGACCAACACCTCAGTGTCTCCATTACTCAGGAGTGTGTCCGAACGCTTGCTGTCTGGAGGTCCTGGTACATGAAAATACCCCTGTAATATCATTCAAGAACTAACCAATTATTACCCTCAAAAATAAGTTATTATATTTTATAAGTGTATATATAATTGTGTATTTTTCCTAAAGTTCCATAATATAATCTTGGGTAGTAATGGAAGTCAGTTGCATGGATTGGAACACTGTGACACTAACATTCACGAAGGAAAAGTAATTTAATTCGTAACTTTTTAGAGTTAAATAATAAACTTTATATTCTTTTTTCGTCAATATATATATTTGGTTAAAATATTTAATATATTAACCAATATACATTTCTTAGATTGGTTTATAGGTTATAGAACTGTTCTTGCATGTTAACTCTAAGCGGCGTTTGTTCTTCTTTTCACTAATCGATAAACTCTTCTTCAACTTATTCTGACACACATTACAACTAGAAAAACTATTGAATATATAGAAAATTACTATTAAAACAAAGCTATAGGCAGTTTCAATGGAATCAAGAGGAACGATCAAGGAGGTCATTGTGTTATTACCTATTGAAACACGCCAGGCACCGGGAAATGATTATTGTGTTTTTTACTTTTCATATATGTGTGTGAGTGAGTGATTAATGTGTATTTATTTAAGAAAATGTATGTGCGCGTATTACATACTTGTGTAGGTGCGTATGCGTGTACATGATGATAGAAGCGTGTACGGTAATCAAGGGTGGATGCAGGGGGGCCCTTTGGGTCCACTACACCCCCTTTTCACATTTTTTTTCTTTAATGCGGTATTGAATCCAGGCGTTCTTTGTATAGTAAAAATTAATTATTATTGAGTTTGTAGTGGATTTAATCCACTACAAGTTGACCTCGGAATATCACCTATTATCAAGAGCACATGGCTTCAAAATGGCCTTAAGATGCCCATGATATTGGTCAGATTTAAACAATTCTGGGGGCTCACCCCCGAAACCCCTAGCTGGGTAGGCTTGTGGGGTACAGGTTATTGGTTCACAATCAGGATGGGATGGAGAAAGGAAACTCACAATGTGCTCTCTGTGCACATGTTGTATTGGATGTACAGTGCAGCTTGGTGCTGGGAAGGCAGCGTGGTTACAAGCGTGATGTAGGGAGAGCTGGTTGGTGAGGATGCTCAGAGGAGGACCAGCTTGTGGGTCGCCATGCTCGCCGGCGGGAGCGAGGACCGCCAGGCAGGAGTAGAGGAGGAGGTGTTACTTGAAGACTGGCTGTAGGTAGAAAGAGAGTGTCACCACGAGGTCAGGTCTTATATAGCGGAGGTAGGCGTGGCTTAATAGTTGACCTCCGTCATGTAAGGCGGTGCTGGTTGACCTAGACCACGAGGCTTACACTGGGGAATTCGCGGGGTCGGCTACTCAGCGACAAGCGTTTGTAGGGGAGGATCCACTACAGGCTCTCTGTGCTCACCATGTAGGTATAAAGGAAGGAGAGAAAGTGTGTGTATTTGTATGCTCATGCTGAAAATATGATATATAGTATATTCATTGAAATTTATTGATTATTAAGAAAAATAATAGTGACGACGTGACGTTATAAAATGTAACAAGAAAAGAACTGTACAATATCACATTATTTACTATTACACAATATTAAGATAGACGAATAAAAATTATAAACAATAAATATGTAATATTTGACAAAGCAAGAAAGTCCCTTATCTTCCTGTAACATGAAATATAATGCATTCCAGTAAACACGGAGTCATTGTTCTATAACAACACTCAGCTGTGGTCGAGTCGCTGAAAATCTATACAGTATATCACTTTTCTTATTTACTATGAAGGAATACTCGGCAATCAGTAGGGAGAGAAGGAATAGCCTAATTAGAAGTAGGTCGGTGGCTAGGTACTGTAGCCCAGTCAGCCTACAGTACCTCCAGTCTCAGCGGATTTCCGCTCTGCCCAAGGCTTACATTAATCTCTCTCTGGCTCTGACTGTTTGTCGGTCTCTGTTTTTTTCAGTAAGTCTGTCGGTCTGTTTACGACCTTCCTTTTTTCGTCTATCTCCCTTTTCTTTGAATTTAACATTATATTTTTATGCCGAAGCATATTTTGGTATTAATTTTTTTTGTGGACTGGGTGTTTTGATTATTTTCTATTCCAAGCAGCAGTTATTTTGGCATGTTTAGGGAGATTTTCTTGTATATATTGATGTATATTACCTATGTAAGAATTTTCTAGAATGTATTGCATCATTTTTGTTAACATTTACTTACGTGTTTACTTTTTCAATTTCAATTTCAATACTGTAGTTTATTCCTTGATAGAGGAAGTGGGATCCTAGTGCTGTCACTAGGTACCCCTGTACAATAACACCAGAAGCATCTGGCAAGTGTCACAAGTATATACAGTACAGTATAAATATTATAGAGGTTTACTTTTTACTTTTTCTTTTACTTATCCTCTTCACCACTGATCGGTTCTTTAACCACTTGGGCGATCGGTCACGTCTCTGTTACGCACTGTTGGCAAGTATAGGGCTGCGGCATACACTGGCTCCTGAATGTACAGTATCTGAACCTGCTCCACTGCTGATCAAGTCTGGTCTTGAAACAGCTCACACTCGATGCCGTCACAACGTGTGAATATGTTTATGTATGTAAATCAAGCTGATGAAAATAACAAAGCCACAGGGCCTGATGGAGTCCTAGACGAGGTGTATAAAGCAGGAGAACCTCTGCTTACCAGCTGTCTCTACTCTCTCTTGGAGAATATATGCGAAAAGGAGGAAATCCCCCAAGATCTTAAAGATGCCTCCATCATCAATATTTATAAGAGCAACTGTGGCAACTACAGTGGGATCTCACTGTTGTCTGTAGCTGCCAAGATTATTGTTCGAGTCCTTCTAAACAGACTACTTCCTGAGGTAGAAAACTTCCTCCCAGAATCTCAATGTGGCATTAGACCATCACATGGCACTACTAGCATGATCTTTGCTGCCCACCAGATACAGGAAAAGTGCAGAGAATAGTGTCATGATTTGTACATGGCCTTCATTGACCTTACTAAAGCTTACGACTTGGTCAACAGGGAAGCCCTATGGCAGACTCTCATTCGTTTTGGTTGCCCACCAAAATTCGTCAGCATTGTGAGGCAGCTTCACGATGGCATGAACGGCAGTGTCCTGCACAATGGCATCCACCCAAACAAAAGAAAAACAAGAATGTGCACTGGCACCAATACTCTTTTCTATTTTCTTGGCTGCCTTTTTTACTCGTGCCAGTGCCAATTTAGCTAGCAGGGTGAACATCCAGTATCACGCAGCTTCCATCAATGAACTTCAGTATGCAGATGACCTCTCCCTTGTCGCTCACACAAGAGATCCTGAACATCTACACAGATGCGTATGCACACGTCGGCTCGGCTCTGAGGTGATTGTGCGTAAAACTCAGATTCATTTTCAGCCTGCCCCTGGTTCACCCACACCACCATCCATCCAGCTTAACAGTATTACCCTCTCTAATGTTTCCCACTCCCAGTATTTCGGCACCCACCTGCCCACCACCGTGAACATCAATGAAGAGATTCAACATGGGATCAGCTGTGCATCTCAAGCCTTTGGCAGACGCTGTACCTGTGTCTTCAGCTGTATGGAGCTGAAATTATCTACAGAGCTGCACGTATATCAAGCAGTGGTCCAACCCACACTGCTTTATGGCAGCGAGACATGGGTTACATACAGGAGGCACCTCAAGGCGTGAGAAAACTTTCACCAGCGTAGTCTATGTTCCATCTTCCGAGTTCTCTGGGAAGACAAGAGAACAAATGCCAGTATTCTCGCTGACACCACTTGTAGGAGCATCGAGGCTACCATTATCCATGAACAACTACACTGGAATGGCCATGTTACTCTCATGAACGACAGTAGACTGCCAAAACAGCTACTGTACTTTACAGTCACCTAACAAATGGTAAACTAAATGCTGGTGGGCAAAGGAAAAGGTATAAGGTTATTCTTAACACAAACCAGAAAAGTGACAAATCGACCCCCTCACCTGGGAGATGATCACTCCACACCGTAACACTTGGAGGAGCACCACACGAGAAGGTGTCAATACTTTTGAAATAGCCCGACTGCACAAGTGCCATCATTGGAAACACGTTGCCGCCGACCCTCACACTAGATGTAGCCCTCCACATGTGTAACTTCCATGGATGGCCCTGCCGGTCCCGTATTGGCCTCTCAAGTCACCTCAGGGCTCACCAACGAAGGTGATATCTATAATAACTCATATCATTGTATCATAGCTGGATGATCGTTACAGCATACAGTACTGTATTTGATTACAAATGATAGCAAAGTACAGTAATACTGTAGTAAGTAGTGTGTGTGTATGTGTGCGAAGTGTATATGTGTATGTGTGTACAGGGGGTATATGCCATGTGTATGTGTATATGGTGGTGTGTATATGTTAATTCAAATGTGCATATAGGCCAGTGTGTGTGTGTGCACATGTGTGACAGACGAGTGGATACAGTGCTCACCTCCTGTTCCGGGGGGTCAATGATTCACTTCCTGGGCGCTCCTAGTTCACCCAGCTGTAAATGGGTACTGTACAGTCACTCCAAATGGTATCTTTATGGAGGGGTCCGATGAGTTTCAAAATGAACACTGTGACTCCTGTTGTCTCGGTAGGGTTGTCAAAATCGTGTCTTATTGTCACACACAAAATCGTAAAGGTACCTTTTGGAGTGACTGTGCTTCAGTTAACATTTTGGGAAAGTGAATACTGTCAAGTGCAGTACCGACCATGCTGCTTCCTTGTGTACCGAAAATTTACTACACAGTGTGCTGTATCCACACATTCCCTAATAGGCAGTCATGTCTATGGAACCCACATTTCGTGTATGTGTGTATTGACGAAAATGTGTGTGCATTTGTGTGTATTTACACAAAAACTGTGGTCAGGGTTATATATGTATTGCATAAAATATCATTTTACATCATATGACATAATTTTGGAAGGCCAAATATTTTTTCAGTATTCTTCACAAAGGGGATTCAGCTATGTGTTTGGAATTCACATCAAAAGAATCAAATTACACTTTCCCCTTCTATACAGTATATATTAGGCAGGTGAAGACACTCTCATATTAACTGATAAGTGAGGTTTCTGAGTGGCCCTCCTTCAGACATTCTCAATTATTTGGCAGCCTTGGTGTATTACAGAGACCAAACAGAATTACAGTACTCCAAGTGAAGGAGCACTACACTTTTGAGAGAGGGACCACCAAAGTATGTGTAGGATACTTGTTTAATTTCCAGTATTTTATTTAGCAAGGTTCGCCTTCTCACAATGGTCTGAGAACTTCAAATGGTTATCAACATAAACAACCAGATCTTCTCACATTTAGTTTCATATCTTGACATCGCCCATGGCAAATGCAAAGGAGTTGAAAGGTTATACAGTGGTCCCTCGCTTAATGAGCGCCTCGGTTAACGAGTTGCCTTCCATAAGATTCTTAACTTCGGTTAACGAGCAATCCCTCGATTAACGAGTTTCTTACGAGCCAACCTGAACATGATTTCGCTTGCATTTGGCGGTCCACCAGCTGTAGTATTAGTCCGCCAATACAGTAATCGGTTCTAGGGCTTAAATTCCTTACCATTTTAGCAAATATCAAGAAGTTTATACTATTCAATAATTTTAAAAGTTTAATATTAAATTTTTTACTCATTTTAACAATTATTGAACATAATTGAAGGTAATGAAACTAGTTTTATGCGTGCCATCCAGCCTCTCAACACACCATACAGGCGCCAGTCTTTGTATCTTTTCAGTGGAGGTAACATCTTGCTTGAGACCCTCTTCAACTAAATGCCTTTTTTCTGTTTTTGCAAGCAAATTATTGGTCATTTTGAAATTTATTTTACATATTGACAATATATAATGCAGTGCAGTGTTGATTTAAAGAAAATAATCTTGAATTGCACCAAGAGGACTAAAATTTCATGTGTGAAATGGCGCCATGGGGTGACTTCTCTTCCACCCCAATGCCTTCTCTTCTCCCTTCTCCACCCCCATTCTAATTCCCATCATCATCATCCAGGAGCCTTCTACATACACACCTCAAAGTAAGTGTACTTTTCTACCTTTTTTGTTGAATTTAGGCAATTTACGGTGAGCTGGAACCAATTACCTACCCAAAAGCCCATTGAAACAATGGTTTCGGTTAACGAGCAACCTTCTAGAACGGATTGTGCTCGTTAACCGAGGGACCACTGTATAATCATCGTGAGAGGAGAGGGGCCATTCCTCGCAAGATACAATACAAGCCTTAGTAGGTCTCAATAATGGTGAACAGAGTAAAAATCAATTTTATTTATTACTGTATTACAAGTTACTTTAGAACATGCATGTATTACAGAAGAAGCATAAACTTATGCTAATATCATACAATATTTATGCTTTCTTAAAATCTAAATATCAATATCACAAACCACCTTCACTGCCATCTTAAGAGGTGGACGACTTTAAATTAAATTACAGTATAAGAAGAAAAAGGAAATCACACATAGAAGTTGTTTACCAAAAAATTTTGTTTCAGTAGTAGTACAGAAACCCCTGTATTGTAACTACAGTAATGTGAGAATAAGATATGTTCTATTTGAAAAAAAATAAAAGTCAACTATTTTCAAGAGAATGATCACTATCATTTCATATCAAAGGAAATGGCTCCTCTTATTGATGGCAAGCAAAATTGTCAGCTCCTCAAATACAGTTTATATCACACCCAAATCTCATATTACTTAAGATTTCTCATTCAGTACTTGTAACAAGTGCATCATTTTATTCATGTGATGAAATACAAACATTACTTAGTTAAAACAAATCCATATGATCTGTCAGCAACCATGATTTGAGGCGTTGCCTAAAACGGGCAAAAGTGCCAAATGTGCGAATTTGAGATAAGGGTTTTCCCATTTTCTATTTTCAATTCTATGTCGATTGGTATACGTATTTACACAAAGCTTACACCATAGCATGTCGCAGCTGCATGTGTAGGGCCCTCTTGTGCCTGCAAGTGGCGATGTTTTGAGAAGATCAGAGAGGCAGACATCAAAATGATGTTCAATGATTTTTGGAAACCATGTACCAGGTAACTACAATCTGCAGAATTCTCATCTCCACAAGGCAAAGCATTTACGCCCCTTTTATGCCAAAGGTCACATACGCTTGATTTTTAATTGTTGATACCACAAAATGCCAGATTGGTACTTTCGCTCTTGCTTTAGGTGATGCCTCATTTACAGACAACCAATACATATGATTCTCCCTCAAGAAGTGTGGCTCAAAAATGACTTAAATTATTCACACAATAAAAACATATGAAAACTTACATAATTGAAGCAGCTGTCATCACAATTTCTATCAGCCATATCATTACATATCTGGTAGTCCCAACATAATCAGCAAGGATAATTTCCTATTGACACCAATTAGTAATGGTCATACAGTACACACAGTTTCAGTAGCCACCAAAATGTTTCTTCCTACTCAGAATGCATTACCTACTTTTTCCTTCTGTTTAAGATTGGTATATATCCAAGGCAAGAATTTTATGAGTAAAATAACCTTTGTATCCATTGAAAATGTTCTCCCTCAAGTTAAAAATTTCATGAAGTGGACCAAAATGGAAGCAACTATAGTGTTGTCCATGAATACTGAAGTGGTTGTGGAGTGACAAATGAATCTATAATATTGCTGACTACATATGCTGGCGGTTCTGTGAGTGTGTGTATGAACAATACTTGTAGGCTGGAGTGTGTGTATGAACAATACTTGTAGATTACAGTGTGTGTGTGTAATTGTGTACAAAGAAAACTTGTAGATTAGTCAATGTGTGTAATATATGTAAACAGAACTTGTAGATTAGTGTGTGTGTGTATGAACAATGCTTGTAGATTGCAGTGTCATTGTGTTTGTTGGGTGGCCTGGAGTGTGTTTATATGTATAAATACTTGTGGGGTGACCTGGCAAGTATTTGTATGCATAAATGTTTATGGGGTGACCTGGTCTGTGTTCATATGTATGAATGTTTGTGGGGTGACCTGGCATGTGTTTGCATGTACTGTATAAATATTTGTGGGTGACCTGGCACATGTTTCTATGTATGAATGTTTGTAGGTGACCTGGAATTTGTATGCATAAATGTTATGGGTGACCTGGTGTATAGTGTATGAATGTTGTTTTGGCAAGTATTTGTATGCATAAATGTTTATGGGGTGACCTGGTCTGTGTTCATATGTATGAATGTTTGTGGGGTGACCTGGCATGTGTTTGCATGTACTGTATAAATATTTGTGGGTGACCTGGCACATGTTTCTATGTATGAATGTTTGTGGGGTGACCCAGTGTGTTTGTATAACCAAACAGCTTTGAGGTGGCCTGTCATTGTGGGGATGTCGTAGTCTTCGGGGTCCGGGGCCAGTGAGGGGTTTTGTGAAGCCCTGCAACTGTATGGTAGTTTTATTTTGAATCTCAAATATTTGGACAGTATTTCCTGTTACATGTTAACCCTGTATATCATGATGAGGAGCCCTTGTTAGACAGGTAATGTTAACCATCAGGAACAACAAAAGCCTGACCTTACAGCTTCCTGGTAAAATGCTCACTGTCCTATGCTGCTTAATTCCTGTGCCTTGTGTAAAATTTCTCTATGTATATAAATCAATTTATCTTTCTTTATTGTTTATGTTTTATTGCTTATATTCATCAAATAATGGGTATTAAGTAAAGAAGAAATAACATGAGTGACCAATGAGCCATTTTTCATTATTTACACATCATATTAATTTTACCAACTGAGTCCTGTATAGTGAAATAAGTTATAGACATGATCACATTAACTGTGTTTGAGAATCATTAGTGAGAATGATGTATGTACAAGTTTTACTTTAGGTGATTGTAGAAAAGCTTTTCCACTTTGTTCACCATGAAAAAGTATTAGTCAAGTAATATACAGCAAACTTAAATAACTCTCTGTCTGTTGACATTATAATTTACCAATAAAAAGTACTGTATTGTACTTTAAACTACTGTATTTTACATTTGGTCGAGTCAATTTGTTCTATATTTCACAATTTAAAACTAAAAAAAAGGCAAGGGTTGGCACATTCTGTACTGCAGGTCAGTGGTTTAAAATTTTTATATACCTGTACTGGAATGAAAATCTGCAGATTAGGCAGGATCTACTGTAACTCAATCCACAGCTGTGTCTAACGGTAACATATTAAATACAGTACTGTAACTTGTACAGGTATCCCTTGCTTAATGAATGGGCTAGGTTCCTGAAAAAAACAAAACATTCATTACCAGGGTAAGTGAATTTTGTATCATGAATATCAGAACAAAAGAGAAAAATAAGGTTTAGTTCAAGAAAACCCCAATATTATAGCCTAAATACATAAAATTGGTTCATGAACAAAAACCTACCTAAGAAAGATAGTACAGTACACAACTACTGTAATTTACTACCTAACATAATAAAAACAAACAAATAAGATACAGTACAGGTTGAAGCTTCCATATCTGGATATAGGAAATTATCATTATTTAGAAAGCTCTTCAGTATTTCTTATGTACTGTATTTGTAACAGGTTACCGATATACTGTATGTGTACCTGTACACTATATAACAATTGTGCAACTTCAAACAACAGATGTAAACTAGATTAAAATATGCAGCGAAAACCATTAAGGAAAAGCTAAATGAAAGTTTACCACAACCGGCATTTGCATAAGATGCTGGCTGCGTGGTCTCAAAGTTTGCCATAGCAATGCAGCCTCTGCCAACCCTTAGCAACGGGGCTCCCAACTCCTCTTCCCCACTCCGTGTGCTAACTCTCACACACAAAATTTTTTTTATTCCCTTTGTTTTGACCTTATGATAGTTATTTGTTATACTTCTTTGCACATTATGTATGAAGGATTGTGTGTACATGTAACTGAGTAAAAAAAAAAAGAGAAAAAAGAAAAGAAAGTTAAGTTTATCTACCCGAAATTACAAGTTGAAAAATAACTGTAACATAGCTTATAGCTCGGCCTGGTAGGGAGAGAGTTAGGGGATAGCTACAGTGACACTTCTAACTTGACAACAATGCCCACAGCAATACTGAGTGTAACACTTAAAAATAAACACAGCACCACTCTCAACTGTGTATTCAAACAAATCAACTGAATGGCAAGAAAAATTACCTTAAGGGAAGGCAGTCAGGGAACACAAGGGGTGAGGAATGGAGGAACGAAAGCTCTGGGCAAATTTTTTTATCTCGAACATTCCTAAAGCAAGGGATACCTATACATGGATATTTCTAAGTCAGTTTTATACCAAGGAAGTTTATATTAAAAGCACACAGCAAAATGTAACCAGTCATCATGTTTTTTAGGATTATTACCATAGTTATCTTCATTACCAAAATATAAAATTTTACAATATTCAGATCATCGCTGATTACCTTTAAACCCTCGCTTATATATATTTCTATATCTTAATATTTTTTTTTAATTTAAATCTTTATACTGCATGTAGATGGTTATTTAACATACTAGAGTGTACATGATAACTGCTAACAGTAGCCCACATCACACACAAGGACGTCTAATTGACATTTTTACCCCGAGTCTGACTGGGACACTTACAGGAACCAACCAGCAGGGCTGAGGGTCAAACATGGGTCAGCAGAATGAAAGGCTCTTGTACAAACTGCTCTGCTACCAGTCACATAATTGGATTATATCTATTACTGAACTTATCCAAAACTTCGCCCCAGTATTCTGGTCATTTCAAGAAAGTTGCTCAATTGATTCAAGAGTTACCAGGTTCATACAAAGGGCAGGTAATAGTAAAACCTTGCTGTAGATTTAATAACATTATATTCTTTTAACTCATTTGGGGATGTAATTACAGGCTCATAAGACTTTTTACTTTAGTTACATCAACTATAAAGTAAGTGAAACCTCACTAATCTGGACCCCGCTGGTCTGAACTTGGGTTAATCTGGAATAGGTCTAGCCTGGGAAACCCACCTGGTATGGGTTGTTTATCTTTGGAGTGGTACACAGATGTGGCTCAACTTTTTTCTTCTAACTTTTAGTACCCTCTAAAGCATTTAAAATGGGTCCAAAGAGAGAAAAAAAATGAAAGACATGTCTATACAGTAACTGCTGAAGAAAAGTTAAAAATAGAAAAGTAAAAATCGGTGCAGCTGGAACAAGGGCAGTGGAATTCACTATATCTTGACAACCAATGCCTCATGTCATGTAAAAACAAAGACAAAAAGAATTTTGCTTTACAGTTTGATGTCAATGTTGGTAGTACAGGTACTGTGCCTGTACCAACAAGATTGACTTTCAAACAAGTGAAAGATACATCACAGGAAGAAGCTGTTAAGCAACAGCATTGTTCAAGTGATGTTGGATGTTCATTGTGTAGAACTTCAGTCTGTCACTCAAAAGCTTGCTAAACTATTTGGTGTTCCCAATTTTGTTGCTACCATTGGCCGATTGTGGTGTTAATACAAATAAATATTCTGAATGTTTTAAATTTATTTTACTTCATTTACAAGTGTAATACATTTTTTTCAATAAATTTTGGATAGTCCAGACTTTCAGTCAATCTGGACTCCATTTAATCAGGACTAGGAGGTTTCACTGTTACCCCGTTCTCTCCACCAATACCGCATTGTGCATAAAAACTTGAATAAACTTTCTTCAACAGTTTCCAGTTCGAGTCTTATTAAATATTAAAGTCTAATGTTCTCTTGGAAAATTTATGATGCAACGATTATTATATAAACTGAGAGCTGCACCAGTATGATGAATGATAAAGCCCTCAATCATCACAACTGTTATAATCAACAATATATATTCTACAACAACAGAGTCAGTTGTTGGTTGTAGTGGTGAGGGAAGAATCTGTATTATCCTAGAAATAAGAAAATATATATCTACTGTACTGTATACATGTATAAAGATATCAGATACTAGTGGTAGCATCTAAAGCTTTCAGTGAAGATCTAATTCCTATTGAGGAAAACAGTACAGTACAATGATCACCAAAGGGGGTTAAAAGGGAGGAGAACTTAACACTGGCATGAGAAATGTAGTTTATTATATGTTCCAGCATGTCAGTGTTATCTCTGATTCCTAGTAACATTCCTGGGGTCTTTCAGACCTACTTACTGCAGTACACAGCATCTCCCCCCTATCATGAGCAATATGTACAGTATTATGGACTATGATGACCTACCAAACACACATTATCAGCTTACTGATTGTTAACAATACTTCTCCGGAAGAATCTCACTTACCAACCACACACTGTCATTTAACAAGCCACTGGCAATGATGTGTCCTTGCGTTTACCAGTCACAAAGTGTAGCTTGCATCTTCTAATTAACCTGTAAGACCAATCACAGCTTAAATTCAGGTGTAGACTCAAAAGCAAGCATATTTAGACTTACATCTTAGGCATGGAACAATACGAGTCTGAAGAGTTACAAGTTGGCCTCAAAATCCTAGGACTGACACCATGTGCTTAACTTGAATAGTTACAACATACAGTACACCTCTCTCGCCTTGGGTACTTCATCTTAAACTGTACCTATTAAAGGCATTAAGTGGTTGTAACATGTTAATACAGGTTATGTAATTTTTGCATTCCCTCTCAGAGGAGTGAAATATATGTTAGTAGCCACAAGTTGAATGCTCATATGCAGCCACTGAAATCTGCTAAAGTTATTCATCATTTTTGAAAGGAGTGAATGCATATATTCCATCAAGGATTCAAGAAGTTATGTTTGTTAATGACAAAATGAAACCCTGCAACAACATTTTTTTTTGCCTCATGAGTAACTTTAGAAATAAAAATAGCACATTACTGTATAAGGAAAGTTTCTTTTGCATCATTTACTTAATCCAAAACTAAAGCTGTAGCTGTCTTTCCTTATAATTCTTTTACCTTGTATACAATTAGTCTTCTTACAGAATAAAAATAAAAATCTAAGTAAGTTTAAAAGGTGTAGTGCCTCTCAAACCCTGAGAGCAACATAAACATAAGCTATAAACACAAAGGTTCCTCACAGCCCAGGTGAAGCATACAGTAAGGGGTGACGTTTAATTTGCTGGTGCAAACACATAGTAGAGTCTTCGGAGAAGAATGACAGCAGAGGTGACATGATCTACATAGGAAGGCTGGTAGTAAGGCTGTCAGGGGATCCCAAATGGAACCACTAAATCTTCTTTATGGTCCACTTTAATATGTGACAGTGCTGCCACCACCTTCTGGGCTGAGCTCATCATCTGGGGATCATATTACATCATTAGAGAAACATAAAATGTACACACGTTTCATACACCACGTCCCTCCCCTTCTCCAAAATTCCTTTTGTCCACATCTGCACATAAAAAATACCGCAGTTTGCTGGAACCTTCTTTACCCGAAAAATAAAATTTTAGCATTCCAAGAAAAGTCTCTCCATTCCAAGTATTAAAATGAATTTCTGAGCGATTGCATCTAGTGTCGACACATGCCGAACATGAGGGTGGGTAGGCTCAGAGTGCCCGTGCGTTATTATTACCCGGTAGGTGCTAAATAATACAATACTGTACCTTCGGGGTTTAAATGGCAATTATTCATCTTCTAAATACTGGGGGAAAATTAACAAGAAACATTTATTTAAGCATGTAGTTTATCTCCTTCATTTCACAATATGATAATACAAATATAAGGGAAGTACATAGTAAAATAAAAAAATAAAATAAAAATATACAGGTAAACCCCAATAACTGACATCCCATTGACCACTGATGCACATAACCGATGATAGGGGACGCCCATGTCTGCCTTTGTCTATTTTCTTTATTTATGTACAGTACCATGTTTATTTATTTATTGGCATAATAGTGTCACCCCGGAGAATGTTTATAAGAAGGAAAAGAGCTGTTTATGTAATACAGTACGTATAGAACTTCTTTTTTGTATCTCCAACTAATTTTTTTTAATTATATCTTTTTAGGGATTGAACCAGGAACTATTGCATCATCTTTCCTTGGTTCCCACTTTTGTGAAGGACAAAGTGAAGAGAAACCCCAGAAAGGATGACAGAATAGGAGTGTGGTGTGAGTAACACATGTAAAATATTCTGATTTGTGTAAGTGGGCTCAGTAGGCCTGATGGTCCATTAAAGCCTTTTTCATCATAAGGCATTGTAGTGAGCCATGCATTAAACCCCCCAGCACCCCTCCAATTGTAAAGACAGGCACCCCTTTACACTTGGGTTACTCTTACGAGAGGAAATGAGTACTGTAGTCACTTGGTCATTGCACCCTATTTCAGATTTGTACTTTAAGGTATAAAGAAGTTACGGTTTCCTGCAACAAAACATTGTAGCTACAGTACTTACCAAATTGAAATCTGCGAATGATATTGGTTGAGCAGACAAGATCCTTTCTGCAGCTGAAACATCACAGAGCAACTGGGCTTCATGGTGAGCTCTGTTGGGAATCTAGCAAGATAAATATGCAGGTTATTAGAAACCTTTATAATTCTTTGTTTATTGAAAGTTTTAATATATATTTTTTCCTGCAAGTCAAACACAGTTTAGGTATTTTTTCGAAAAGGCATACAAGACAAGTAATAAGTATAACCTGTAATACAGTACAGTGGTCCCTTGGTTAATGAACACAATTCGTTCCAGAAGGTCGTTCGTTAACCGAAACCATTGTTTCAATGGGATTTTGGGTAATTGGTTCCAGCTCACCGAGAATTACATACAAAGTAAAAATAAATGCTAAAGTACACTTACTTTGAGGTGTGCATGTTGAAGGCTTCTGGTTGATGAGGATGGGAATTAGAAGTGGGGGTGGAGGAGAAGGGAGAAGAGAAGAAAGTGGGGGTGGAAGAGAATCACCCCATGTTTCATGCCGTCATTTCAACCATAAAATTTTAAGTTCACTGGGTGTAATTCAAGATTATTTTCTTTAAATCAACACTGCACTGCACTATATATTGTCAATATGTAAAGTAAATTTCAGAATGACCAATAATTGTACTGTAAAAACGTAAAAATAGTTTATGTTCAAGAGAGCCGCAAGCAAGATGTTTCCTCCACTGAACAGAGATACAAACTGAGGCCTTGGTGGGTGAGTGAAGTGGCTGATTGGCGCACCAAAAACTAGTTTTCCGTGCTGCAATTATGTTAAATAAGTGTTAAAATGACTAAAAATTTTAATATAAAACTTTGAAAATTATTGAATAGTACAACCTTTTTATATTTACCCAAATGGGAACGAATTTAAGCCCTAGAACCGATTACTGTACTGGCGGACTAATATTCCAGCTGGTGAGCAAGCGAAAACATGTTGTCATGATTTCGTAAGAATTTCGTTAACTGAATTTTTGTTCGTGAACCGAATTGAAGATTCTTATGGAAGGTAATTTGTTAACCGAAATTTCGTTAACCGAGGCGTTCGTTAAGCGAGGGATCACTGTATTTGGTTATTTGATCACTAACATGAAATATGATAGGTGTACACACACATAAATATACAATACAGGTAAAAGAAACAATTGTCTTAAGGGCAAACACATAAAGGGAATGAGCCGATCAGTGGTGAAGAGGATAAAAATAAAACAATAAAAAAATCAGCAAATGATATTCGCTGATTTGGCTATTCGTGGGCATTTTGAGACCAAAACCCCCGCGAATTTTAAGGGCATGCTGTACTATCTATTATACTATACAGTAGTATAAAACCCCTTTCCGGAATTTTCCAGTTATTGTGAAAATGTTCTCAGAATTTTCCAGAAAATGTGCCCTTGGAAAATCAATCCCAAAGCCAGAATTTTCCAGAAAAACCCGGCCTTGGGAACGATTTTCCGAGAAAATTTCAATTCCGGATATCAGAGAGTTCCGGTTAAGAGGGATTCCAGCTAATGGAGATTTAACTCAAAGACTAAATACAAACCTTTTCTTTCCATCATGGAGGGTAGCTGGACAGGTGTAATCTTTTGATTGTTAACATCCAGCAGTTAGTGGTCACTCCACCAGGAGGCCAGTCCACCAAAAACTTGTTCTAATATCAATAAACCCACCCAGTGGTGTACCTGCACTCATTTACTTCTAAGCACAAATAAGAAGAAAACCCAATCCTTCAATAGAATCATTAATTGATGCTCTGGTCATTTTCTAATTCTAGGAAAGGTCTACCAACTGAGCTAAGGAACCACCGTAAGAGATTGATCGTGTGAAAATTATATAAGCTCTCATTTTGATGAGATAAAGAGAAACAAACATAAGTGAGAAGAGTAGTGTACCTTTTGTGGTGGTACAGTGTTGAGGCGCTGGTTATAAGTTCGCACCCTCTCTATGTACTCATGTTGCTCTAGGGTGTGATACTCCAGTGCTCCCACGTCAATAATGTTGCTGCAAGATGAGTTTAATATTAAGACCAGTAAGAAATATGGGGAGGTAGATATTATAAGTAAACAATTTGGATAATTCAAAGACATCTGTGAATAAACAGGGAAAGCTCTCACAATCACTGAACAGTTCCAAGACATGAAATGTGTGCATCATCATGTCATTTAAAACAAAAAATATACTGTATATAACTTATGACTTAGGTCAAATGTTATACAAAAACAATATAGATATTTCAATATAAATAAAATTACTATAATGTGATAGCTAAGTGGAAAGAAGGTACAGTACACTTTATTGTACTGTAGTATATTAAACCCTCTCAAGAACAGACTTCTCATTACAGGTAGTCATTAAATGGACATTTTCAATAACAGACGTCCTTTTGTCCGGCAGACTGGACCAGTAAGATCCAGTAGCGGGAACACTGTCCACTAACATATGTACATTGCAGTTAAACATGTATACCATATTTACAATAAACTATAATAAGTGTTGGTGGTATAGAGGGAATACCTGTATCTCTCATCATTATGTCATGGTTGGAGTCCTGTGTGGCCTGGAGAAGGGTGTTATTGAGTGTGACCCTCACTACCAAACACCAGAGGTTTCCTAAGGGTACAACACCTTCCACCTCTGCTAACATTGGACAAACCAACCACCTTAATGGCTACTAAGCTGATAAGTGATGAAATGATGTATGGGTATAAAATGATGTTTGGGGCATAAATAAATATACAGTATATTCACTAACCTGGCTGTCTGCTGCAGAATTCTATTAAGTGCTGTCTGTTCATCAGATTTTTTTGTGGCTGAACTTGAATAGTGGTTTCCATAGTCACTGGGGCTGTAGCACAATGTCAGTTAATTTAGTGTCTATTTCAAATAATTTAAAAAATAAAATTAAAATTTTAAATAATTTTGCATATACATACTGTAATATAAATTTAAAAAATAAGAATTAAGAAATATAAAGACAAACCAATTTATTTCACTATTTATACAAGAGACAAACATGAGCAACTGTAGAGTACTGGAAGTGTGTTTATTGCTACTGTACAGTACAGGGTTGTATTTTGCTTTACAGTAACATCATTACGAAAGTGAACTCAATAAATTCTTTCCTTTGTAAATTTTTGTTCTAGCACTACAATTCACTAATATACTGCACAGAAAAAGTTTTGTAGAAATACTTTATAGAATTTAAAAAATGTGCACAAGTCTGATAATACCTGCACAGTACTTGGAAGCTACTTTACCTGGCAGTGACCTGGTAGGTGCTGCTCACTGGATCATTTAGCAGACGAGTCCTCTCATTGGCTTCACCATCCTAGAGACAAAATTATTCTTAGTTCTCTCAAAAACGTCTGTAATAGGGAATAGAAAGATGCTGTACCTCTACTGTACCAATATTACAAAATAACAAACCTGCAGTGTAGCACAACATAAATTATGATATTTTTTCACAATTGAAAAATGGAGAACCAAGGCATTGAATTACAAATTGTGGCCAAGAGGACATGAAAGACACACTGCCTCTGTTAGCCAAGGAACAGGTAGCACCTAACGGCAAAATGACACAATGATTTACGTTGTCCCTTTTTATGATTTCAGTAAAAAAAAAAGAAAAAAAAAAAAAAAAAGGATTCGGTGCTTTGCTATTTGAAAGACTTTCACCGCCCTCCCCCCTAAAGAAGGAGCATGAGCAGATACTGACGTGCTGAAACAGACATTTGGGGGCATTATACAGCTACTGAACCTGAGGCCGTATTCAAGATTGTTTAGCTTGAGATCTCCCTATGGGGACTGCCCACATTTTGCATTCAAGAAGCGTGGGGAATCCTTAAGGCATAAGCAATGCCCACGGATATTACTGGAATTTTCGAGAGAAGGAAGTGGGCGCCCTAAGCAATCCCTAAGGACAAATCAATGTTGACTATTAACATAATTGCAAACCCTCAATAACTCGTGTGATAACTCAGAATTTCATATAACTCGGCATGGATATGGTCTCAGAATGTATTATAGTATAACTCGGGAAATGCCAAGATACATAAAATTATCTGGGAAAATCTTGGCATGTATGGCCACCTGCGTCACCTAACATACCTCTGTGTCACCTACCATATTTCTGTGTCACTTACCATGCCTCTGTGTCACCTACTATGCTTCATTCTTTGCCTGCAGTGCTGGTGTTACTTTTTTACATTTAGTAATTACATGTACACATATATGGGTCAATAATTTTTTATTGTTGTATTTTGTAGGAGGGAGGAAAGTGCCTCGATAAGTTGGAATTTGGTATAACTCGGCAAGGCCAGAGCCCCGCATGTGCCGAGTTATCAAGGGCTTACTGTATGTTGCAATGCATTTAGTATAGTTGAAACAATAATAATCATACATATATGATGAATTTTGATGATGGATAAGGATGGATATGATGTTTAGAAATTCATTCTCTACCCCCCAAAATTTGATACAGTATTTCACATTTGTCTTTAGGCATACCCTAATCTAACAGTACTTCTAGATTAAATTTTTGCACATAATATATACCGGGTAATTCTCTGAAGGGAAAAGTACTGTCCTCTGATTGGTTAAAGCTGATCACGTGAAACTCATGTAAGAGACTTGAATATACTGTACAGTACTGTCCTGCAAAGTGTTTTTAATTAACTTAAAATATGTCAATAATGCTATATCCTCATCCTGTCTACAGTGTATCATGTACAAAAGAAGTAAACATATCAGGTGGTGTACAAAACCATGTTCACAGAATTATTTCATGCTCCTCCATCAATTAAATAAGGTATTATTGTAAAAAAAAAATAGGTAATAATTTAAGATAGGTCAGGTTCTCAAAAGTTTGATGAGTGTTTATATTTGTTTTTTCGAATAATGACTGTCTGCATTTTCATTGAAAATGGGTTTAAAAATACCAAATTTCATGGATTTTAGTAGGGGATACTGTACTGTGTTGGGAAAAAAAATGGCTGAAATTATTTGCTAACCTAACCACACCTGACCTTATCTAACTTAACCTATATCTTAACTCGCCTATATCTAGAAAACTAAGCATTTACACAAGAAAATGAATAGAAGTGAAAGTAATCAGCATACAAAACTGTGTCTCAAAACACCCTCCATAATTACCAAACAGCTGACGGTCACTAGTCTTACATTAGCTTTATTTTATAGGTTCGTATTATTACAGTTTCAGCCACAACTCGGTTATAGCAATTTTGTGTTTACCATGAATTATATCTTGTCAGTAGGGAAACCTTTTTCTAATACCACTTCCGTCGTAAATTGATATTGTCCGAGAAAGTAAATTCATCATAAGAAATCAACGTACAGGGTGTATCTGCAGTCATTGAGTGTCGTCTGTTGTTTACGGCTGACCCGTTCAGTTTGAGGCTTACAGTCCACAAAAAATTTAAAATTACACCATGATGCTTCAACAAAGCTGTTTTCATTGTTACCAGATATCAATATAAGTACTTTGTTTAATATAGAGGGAATGGCTAAGAAGTTACATCAGGTTAGGTAGGTTTCTTTGGTTGGTCAGGTCAAGTTGTCGGGGGAAGGGGGGTCAAATTCGAATTTATCACACAAAATACCACGAGGAAAACACAAATTTGTGGTCGAGCACTAGTTCGACCCACTGCCCACTTTGTAAGAAAACATTGTCATTGGCAGTGGTAGTGAGTCATAACTTCATAAATAAATATCAGCTATGAAAATAAATGTCATATTCTTTCAAATCTCACTCAAACACATGAACAACTATCTTTGTTATTAATTTACCACTATGGTCAGTAAGGAACTCTTACCTACATTTATCGCAGCAGTATTATACATATAGGTAACAACACAATAAAAAGTTAAGAAAAATACAAATACAACATAGTAAAATAATACTAGTTGGTTCCTTCCTGTTTCAATAAAGATAATTGGAAACTTTACCTAAAAAAAACAATAATTCAAGAATGACAGCAGATAAACATAATGTAATGACCTCTTGACATGAGAACCCCCACAGTACATTAGAACTCGTTAAATGGATAAGGTTGTAGGTCCACCCTCACCCTGGTCCACCCTCACCCTGGTCCACCCTCACCCTGGTCCACCCTCAACCTGGTCCATCACCCTGGTCCACCCTCACCCTGGTCCATCACCCTGGTCCACCCTCACCCTGGTCCATCACCCTGGTCCAGTATTAATGTTAACCCCGTTACAATAATACCTCATTACCTGAGAAAGAGTCTCTGGCTCAGTACTGCAGCAACATCCCATTGAGGCGAGGAGTTGAGAGTCACTTTTTATCGGATTTGAGTCATATGACGGACACCATCCAGCTGAGATAGACTCCACCAATCACAGTGAAGCACAGATCTCTCTCAGCCAATCACGACACTGAAACATCCAGCTGAGATAGACTCCACCAATCACAGTGAAGCACAACTCTCTCTCAGCCAATCACGACACGTCCAACCTACAACACTGAGGGATCACAAATATAAAGAGAAACAAAAGTGGAATTTTATAAACTGATATTAAATAAACTTTATTAACTATTATTTATGTGTTATTTAATAGTTGATTAAAACTTAAGTTCCTTTTTTTAGGTCCACGTGCTTATTTAATGTGTAGTTATATTACGATTTTACTCAATGTGGAATTATATATATTTAATCTATCAATTTATCTCTATATGTGTTTATATATCTATCTACCTATTTATATATCTGTATCAGCCTATTATAAATCTATCGACCTAAATACCTTCCCGTCTGTCTATTGGTGTATCTATCTATCTGTCTGTCTATTGGTGTATCTATCTATCTTTCTGTCTATTGGTGTATCTATCTATCTGTCTGTCTATTGGTGTATCTGTCTGTCTGTCTGTCTATTGGTGTATCTGTCTGTCTGTCTCTCACGGGTTAACCACAGTACGACAGTGAGGAAGTTAATCAACAGTAGCCTTAATGTACGATGTCCGGACTGTGTTGTTGTTGTTGTTCAGAGTTCACAAGTTACGGTAGTTCATAACTGACCTTTGAACACGAGATGTTTGTGGCTAAAAGCGTGAACGCTGAACACAAAGATCTTATTCATGATGTGTCTTTTGATTTCTATGGTAAACGTATGGCGACATGTTCCAGTGATCAGAGTGTTAAGGTGAGTTGTGAGGACGGGTTGGGAATCTTGATTGGTCTTGGTAGTTTTCTCAAGGGGTAATTGGGAACTCAGTACTATTCTCTATACCATATTGTAAAACTGGTAGATCGTTCTATAGGTCTACCACCACCACTACTTGGGCTGGTAGATCGTTCCATAGGTCTACCACCACCACTACTTGGGCTGGTAGACCATCCCATAGGTCTACCACCACCACTACTTGGGCTGGTAGACCATCCCATAGGTCTACCACCACCACTACTTGGGCTGGTAGACCATTCCTTATATATAATGCCCTGTATATAGTATATTTTTTTACTTTTGCCTCAGCTATCATAAGTGCTGTAGATTCTGTGATCTTGCTAAGAAATTTAGAAAACAAAATATTCACTACAACCATGTGACTTTATTTGCTGTAGTTAAACATACAGTACAATATACTGTACAGTACTATCCTAAATGTCAATGTTTAGTGGTGATTTCTTATTGGTCTAAAATGAAAGTAGCAGTTTATAATAAAGTACTTTATAGTATTTTTGTTTCATGAACAGATCTGGGACCTGAATGAAGATGGGGAGTGGGTGTGCACTGCCTCTTGGAAGACCCACTGTGGTTCTGTGTGGAAGGTGACCTGGGCCCATCCAGAATTTGGTCAGATCATTGCAACTTGTTCATTTGATCGGACAGCAGCTATATGGGAAGAAAGTGGTGAGTATATACTGTATATATATATCAAGATTTATCTTATCCACGTTTTCATTGTGGATCTACATGAAATATATATATATATATATATATATATATATATATATATATATATATATATATATATATATATATATATATATATATATATATATATATATATATATATATATATATATATATATATATATTAGGTCCTTGCCATTTGGTGGTTTGTGATTTGTGATTTTAACGATTTGCAGTAAGCAGATGGTGGCTAGCTTGCGAGCCTTTTCCCACGGCACAACACTTTAGTGTTTCTGTGTGAAGTGGCCCCTAAAAGGCTGCCTAGTGTCAGTGCTAGTGGAGTGAAATGTAAAAGGCAGAAGTCGGTGATGACCCTGACAAAGAAAGTTGAATTATTAGATAAGTTAAAAGAGGGGATGAGTGCTGCTGGTGCTGGTTGGTTGCTTGGTATAGATATACAGTAGTACACTAAGGTAGCTTAAGTTGCTGTTCACAGTTTTGCCTATTCATGCCATTCCTTGGAACCTAACCCCCGTGAATAACAAGGGTTTACTGTGTGTGTGTATATGTATATGTAATGGTCAGCATTCTTGCCTCGCAAGCGAGCGTACCCGGGTTCAATCCCCCGGCAGGGTGAAACTATGGGCAAGTTTCTTTACGCCATTTGCCCCTGTTTACCTAGCAGTAATTGGGGACCTGGATGTTAATCAATTTGTGGATCGTATTCCGGGGTATTGGTTAGCCAGTGCAGTTGGCGAGTTGTCCGGTCTTCTCGGACTATTCCTTGACACTGGGTCATGTAACGAGTTAACTTAGTGTGTGGTTGTTGTGTTGGCGACAGCTTCTACACCTTGAACAAATTCACGCCTAGGTGGCCTTTGGGCCGGCCAACCTCGTTACATGAGGGGCAGCCATTATTATTATTATACTGTAGTAAAGAGAATTGATTGTCCTTTTCAGTAAATAGAGCCACATTCACTTTCCATATACTGTACTGTATGGTACTGTACTGTACTACTTTTAAATTTATGAAAATATTAATGTTTTACATTATTCTACATTACATTAAGGTCAATTTTCTGTATCACTAATGTTGGTTTTTTTAAGATTTTTGGGGGTTGCTGCTCTTGCACTGTTAATGAACATGGCTTAACATAAGCACTATGTCAGTTTGTAATTAAATAGTGTTTACAGCAAGAAAAAGGAATATAGCCAAATTTGGCTGTTTTTCCACACAATCTGTGTTATGTACATGAAAGTTGTGATGCTCCCACAGTGTTTTGTCATAGATGTGCATTTTTTTATTCATAAAGTTCTCTGATAGTGATTTGCAGCCAAATGTGTCAGGCTAATGTAGTAAGAGACAGAAATATTATACAGTATGTGGAACTGTAACCAGGGTGAAAATAATGCTGTTTTGTATATTATAATGGATGGCTTCAAGTACTGTACTGTAGTAGAAGTACATATTATTCCGTTGTCTCAGCAGTAGACTATTGACTTGGATGCAAAGGTCCACACAGTTAGTTAAAAGTCGCCTTTAACACGTCTTTATATTATTGGTCATATAATCTCTTAGTAATATAAGTTTTTCGACAGTGAGCGGCTCAGGAAATGGTATTCACAGCACTTGGATAAAGCGGGCTGGCTTGGTGGACTCACGAACCTCCGTAATGGATGTCAAGTTTGCCCCCAAGATTCAAGGATTGCAATTAGCTACTTGTTCAGCTGGTGGGGTGGTGAGTCTCAAGTACTGTATAGTGGTTTATTTTTTGTAGTTATGCTTTAGTGTTTGGTAGCAAGTACAAAATTTTGAACATGACTCATGGAAAGAGCCTTTGTGTTTTGACCTTCAGTAAAGAATGTCAGCCGAAAATTTATTTGACGAAAGATTTGAGCATTATAAATATGAAATTTAAGATTATAGAATAACTCTTTTATTTAATTTTCCACATAGTCATCCCTCAATACCTATATGGAAGGGTTGGATTCCATACAGTCCTGAACATAAACACTCACAATACAGTAATGCAGAAATTAAACCAATGGAAGAGAGACAGGAGGTGTGTGTGTGTGTGTAATAAATCCCCGTAACACATCGCCAGTCAAGTGTGAAATGGCTGCGCATGTTCCCATTGTTGTGTAATGAAAATATAAAAGTTGTGGAACAATCATTTCAATGATGTACTCTAATGTGACTTTGAAATAAAAAATATATTTTATATTAAACTATGAAATAAGAATAATAAAGAGTATGAATGTGTATTCATAATCTTTATTTTTCTTATTTCATAGTTTAATATCATATATGTTTTTTATTTCAAAATCATATTAGAGTACATCAAGCTAGGTGGCTGGTATAGCTATGTGGTTACCTCTTGACATCACCCAGAGGATGGCTTGAGGGGTGGAAAGAGCTATTTTTTGTACTAGAATACAGTACAGTATTGTTAAGGTTCATTTTGGCAATTTTTTGTGTTTAAGAACAAAATGCAGAATCATGTACAATAATGAGTAGCACATACACACCCTTTCATTATCTTTTTCTCATGCAGGTACGTATCTACGAAGCTCCCGATGTTATGAATCTTAATCAGTGGTCACCACATTATGAGATCAATTGTAAACTACAATGTTCCTGCATCTCCTGGAACCCTTCACCATCTCGGTAGGTGGGAATGTTATACAAGTTGAACCTCACTAATTCGACAAGCTTGGAACCAGACCGGTGCCAGACTATTGAAAATTCTGAACCACTGAAGCTTTGATTAAAAAATGGAAAAATAATGTGTAAGTTGTACTGATACAACTTACGTAAGTATACACCTAGTCCACGATTATTGGACCACATTATAACGTAGTGTTAGTGCCCTGTTCTGTATTTTACGGCATATAAGACGCATTTTTTTGTTTGATAAATAGCTTTAAAAAAAATGCAGCCTTCTTCCTATATGCTGTCTCCCATGGGCTAATGAATCCCCAAGTTGCTGTCTCCAGTAGGCTAAATTTTATCAAGCCCAACTCCAGAATTAAAGCTATTATTGCTTACTAAAGCACAGTATTATTACTTTTAATTAATTAAAACAAGAATTATTGTAAATATAAAACCTAGATTTATGACTACTGATGATGATAACTTGAGATGATTAGCTTCCATATGGCAGGCATCCAAACTGTACTAATGTGTGTCATTTGCTAGCACAGAGTACTGTACTGTATGTGTAATAGTGTGTGCTGGGTGTAGATGTCTCCCTCGTGTCCTTCACTAAATTATGTAGCAGAGATGAAATGTGTGCCAAAGACCTGTTGCAGCAACACTGGGCCACCACCATCATTACACTGTTTTCTCAGTTCTGATTTAATTTCACTATATATGGTGAATACTGTACTGTAACATAAGATATTGAGAAAATTGGATTTGTTACATGCAATTTTTTGGGAACTGAATCCCTCTGTATATGGAGGAAAAGCTATACCTGCTTTATCTTTAATATGTAGTGCATGATTTTGGAAGGAAATACAGTACAGTAGAGTACTGTAATTGGTTATTCATGCCTATACTTAGTTTAGCTTCAAACCTCATAGCCAGGAAGTTTGAGTCATTAGATTATTTCAGACTGAGGAGAATTTGAATAGGGAGTGAGGTACAATATCATTCCTGTGGACAGATAGAGTGACTGGGAGTGGTGGATGGGTGAGGTTTGTTGGCAGGATGAAATGTTCTCTCATATTATTGTTTGGTCATGTAGCATGGATCTCTGACAAGAGTTTGGTTATTTGTGTATAAACAGTAGAGTTAATGTCAAAGGTATTTATTAGACTCAAGAAATGTATTAAAGAGTAGATACAGTGTGGTGTTACCAAGACATTAGTCAATAAGGTATTGAAATGTTTGGGTGGTATGAGTATGTTAAGTGGAAAGATGTAACGGAACAACCAAAACACTTATAGTTGAGTGATATTGTTATATGCCTGTGATCCTGATGGTCTGTTCTATACTGTACAGTACAAGCTAATGCTACATGTTAACACTGGCATAATACCTCACTTATATGGTGTATGCCAGTAGCTTATACATGGGCCCCCCAAATTCGCGTGGGTTAGGTTCCCTAAATGGCCGCGAATCGTCAAATCAGCGGATAACATTTGCGGACCTGGAGGGTGGGTGGGGGGTGTACATTTTTACTTGTGTACAAATAAATGTATATTCCCTTTATGTGTTTGCCCTTAGGACAATTATTTCTTTTACCTGTATTGTATATACTGTATGTGCATGTGTGTGTGTGGAGACACACACACAAAACACATACAAATAAATAATAATTGGAAAATCCTCTCACAAATAATCAGAAACAAATTTATTAACAATGTGAGTCTACCCTCAAGTCCGTGCTTTATTATAAAGTAATAAAGCACGGACTTGAGGGTAGACTGTCACATTTATAATAAATTTGTTCCTGACTATTTGTGAGAGGATTTTCCAATTATTATTTATTTGTATGTGTTTTGTGTGTGTGTGCCTTCACACACACACATATTTACAATACTGTACAGGTAAAGGAAATTACTGTCTCTAGAATAAATGGCTCCCTGTCCCAGCCGCAAAAATGCCGGCAACTTTAAAACTACCCACAGACATTCTTGGGTACATCCAGGGTGTCATCTGTGAATAATAGAGAACCGCGAAATAAAAATCCGCGAACTTGGGGGCCCCCCTGTACCTGCATGTAAGAACATTATAACCTGGAGTTAAGTCTTAATCCCAGCTTGTTTTAAGTAATCATTGATAGGAGTTGGCGAGTAATAAGACAATTAGTTCATTGGAGTTTACTGAAAGAGTATCAGTACTGTACAGAGGCAAGAGCTCGGGACAGACATCTCTGTATGGACAGACAGGTAAGACTGCCTGGTGAGCCGCCAGACCTACCCATGCTGATATGGTTTACTACCCTGCCGTTAGTTTGGGTGGTATGGTAGTTTGCCAGCTGTTGGACAATATAACAATAAAAAATAATGGTAACTGTACATACATAGAATATGCATATATGCTGTACATATGGACCTATATAACTGATACAACATACATAGGCTTTATACATATACACCTAGCTAACTGAAAACTCTCCAATTATAATCTCTGTAATGTTAACCATGATGCCATTATTTTCAGGCTTCATGCACCCATGATTGCAGTAGGCAGTGATGACCCAAATTCAGGCTCAGGTGGGAAAGTGTTTATTTATGAGTTCTCTGCAAACACTCACAAATGGACCAAAGTGGAGACATTGTTGACTGTGACAGAGCCTGTCCACGACCTGTCCTTCGCTCCCAATCTTGGTCGTTCGTATCATCTCTTGGGTATTGCTACCAAGGATGTCAGGATCATTACCCTAAAACCCACCAAGTGAGTTGTGGTTGTTTTTATTATACCGTGCTGAGAGAATTGGCATTTGGTGTTATGAATGGGGGAACTGGAGGTGTGGATGGTTCAGATGGTGCTTAAAGAGAGGTCACCAGAGTAGAATGAGAAACGTTTGAAGAGTTAGAGGCAGGAATGAGCCTTAGGGAAGTACATTACAGTTATAATCCCATAGAAAATACCAAAAATACCATAAAATATTTGCAATTTGAGATGATTTTCAGATGTCAAGGAAAATTTTTACTGCAATATGGCACCATCTGTTTTTAAAAGCCCACAGCACATGCTCAGAAGTGTTGCCAAATCTCAAATATCAATTCTGGGCTACAAAATCTTGCTTATTTGATGGTCACTGCAACAATAGTTACATTGATATTTTATAAGTAAAGAGGGTTAATGTTAACTTATTTTATTTATACTTGGCTGCTCTCCTTGACATAACGTCGGGGAAATGTGATGCCGAATAAACTGTTTTGTAATATTTGGCACTGTAAATTGACTCTTGGCATGTACATTCACCAGCCAATCAATTGCCGTGCTAGAAACTGACTTGAGGCCTCATTTGCCAAGTTAGAGTCAAAAGACCATACTTTTGACATTTGTTTTGTTTTAATCTTGTTTTCCCTACTGTCAACCCTTTCTTAGTATGTACACATTCTCATTGGTCTCTCCATTTCCTTTACCATCTCTTTCCCCAACTTCCTTATCATCATCATAGTCATCATCATCATCATCATCATCATCATCATCATCATAGTCATCATCATCATCATCATCATCATCATCATCATCATCATCATCACTACTATCTCTAACACTAAAGTTTTTATTAACCCCTTCACATCATCATTCAGCTGTGTCTTCAACAAAACAAGGAAGGGCATCAAAGTTCCTCTCACTCATCATATATTCCTCCTCATCACTGTTGTTGCTGTACGTCCTCAGGCTTGCACATCTTATTATTGTTTGTTACTTGTAATAAAATACATAAAGTTGGGATTACTGCACTAGCCTCATGTCAACAGGGAAGCATCAAGCCCCTGGCAGGTAACCTAGTCACATGTTCTTTCATATATATATAGTAAACTGTATCAAGAAAATTTAACTGCTAATTAAAATTTATTAGTCAAAGGAGAGTTTAGTGGCCTGCCATTGTGAGGCTTGAAAGATTATTGGAAAATAAAGGTGATTAAGATATTGCAAAGGGAGCTCTAAATTTGTTCACTTATCACCCCAGTGTAGGAACCTTACCATTATTGGTAACTCCTTTCCCAGTTGTGTATTGTAGTTCAATTGAAGTGTTATATTGATACAGTATACTCTATCTTTCTCTGTTCTTTTCAGAGAAGACTCAACACAGAACCAGAGCAGTTTGTCAATATTTGAGGTGCGTCAAGCAGGACAATTTGACGACCACGGCTCCACAGTGTGGCGCGTCTGCTGGAACTTAACAGGCACTATCTTGGCCTCATCTGGAGATGATGGGTGTGTCCGACTCTGGAAAGGTACTGCATTCTGCGATCATTTTCCCAGTTGTGTTGGCAGCTAATATACTAATTACTGTATAATTATTGTCAGGTTTGACCTCACATTCACCTATAATTAATTGATTGGTTTAGGAAAACTAGAGTGATTATATATACAGTTGACCCTTATTATTCACAGGGGTTAGGTTCCATTGCCCCCTGGGAATTGTCAAAATCTGCGTATATTATTAGCAGCTGTAGTATTGTATGTCTGAGATACTTGAGTTGCCCATAAACACACCCTTACTGTATATGGTATTTCAGTGTGTTTTTCTTTAAATACATGTGAATTGATGAAAAGCATGAATAAAACAGTTAAATTACTTATTTTCTTACAACTATACAGGCCCCCCAAGTTTGCAGATTTTTATTTTACGTTCCTCTATTATTCGCGGATGACACCCTGAATGTACCCAAGAATGTCTGTGGGTAGCTTTAAAGTTGCTGGCATTTTTGCGGCAGGGACAGGGAGCCATTCATTCTAGAGTCCGTAATTTCCTTTACCTGTAAAGGTTGACAACCCTTTATCCGAAATTCCGAAAACCGAAAAGCTCTAAAAACCAAAAGTATTTTTTGTGGGGCAATTTTTTTTTTTTTAACAGGGATTAGCCCATCCGGGCATAGATCACTGACCCACATCAGGGCCTTGGGGGCGAAAATGTAATAGTAATAATAATTATAATAATTATTCATAGTAAATAAAATTTTTAATAAAAATACACGAAAATAAAATAATAATAATAATAATAATAATAATAATAATAATAATAATAATAATAATAAAAATAAAATATAATAATAATATTAATAATAATAACAATACTGTAATAATAAAATAATAATAATAATAATAAAGAAATACAAGAATGAAAAAATGATCAACAGTGAGAAACACGACCTAGACCTATGAATTATTATGATAATTATTATTATTATTATTATTATTATTATTATTATTATTATTATTATTATTATTATTATTATTATTATTATTATTATTACAGTATTATACTTTTTATTATATTTTCGCCCCCCAGACCCTGATGTGGGTCAGTGATCTATGTCTGGGTGGGCTAATACAAAAAAAAAAAACACTAACCATTCTGAAAACCGAAAAATTCCGAAATGCCTCTGGCTCCAAGGATTTCGGATAAGGGATTGTCAACCTGTATTGTAAATATGTGTGTGTGTGTGTGTGTGTGTAGATACACACATACACAAAACACATACAAATAAATAATAATTGGAAAATCCTCTCACAAATAATCAGAAACAAATTTATTTAAAATGTGAGTCTACCCTCAAGTCCGTGATTTATTACTTTATAATAAAGCACGGACTTGAGGGTAGACTCACACTTTAAATAAATTTGTTTCTGATTATTTGTGAGAGGATTTTCCAATTATTATTTATTTGTGCTATGTGTTTTGTGTGTGTGTGTATCTACACACACACACATATATACAGTATAGGTGAAAGAAATAATTGTCCTGAGGACTAACACATAAAGGGAATATATACCGGTACATTTCTTTGTACACAAGTAAAAAAATGTACCCCCCCCCCTCCCAGGTCCACAAATGTTATTTGTTGATTTGGCGATTCGCGGCCATTTTGAGAACCTAACCCCCGGTAATTTCGGGGGCCCTGTATATATAGTAAAAACTTCAAGTACGAGACCACCTGAGTAACAACACTGGCCATATGCTGAGTAGTATAGATGGTAAAAGCATTTACTTTGGCCATAAAAGAATTTACATAGAAGTTTCAGTTGCCAAACTTAGGTACAATATTGGGAAATTTGACAAAACTTAGAAATAAAATAAGTACAGATATAAATTTCGTAATAAATTTTGGATTCAGATAAATAGAAAGTGTTGGGAAAACTTTGTTTTGTGAATTGTAAATGTGACAGTGTATGTTGCTTCTCATTCACAGCCAATTATCTGGATATTTGGAAGTGTATTTCAACTCTCCGCGGTGAAGCCGTTGAAAATGTAACAGATGCCGGAACCACTGGGGGCTCCTTGCAACAGTCAGGGGCCACAGGTTCTGGACATAACACTGCAAGATACTTCAAGTTGGCCCCAACAGCACATCCAGCCCATGTACCTTGGCATTAATTTTAATAATGATACTGTATGTTCTTGTTTATTTTGTGGATAAAAATATAGTTATTTTGATAATGAATGTTCCCTGCTGCTTGGTTATCATGTATGTTGCTCAAATGTTCTTATTAAGTTTGAACATATTGGCTAAAATTATACAGAACAAGAAAAACCAAGTAGTGCTTATATGTTTACAGTATTAAGAAAGCATTAACATTTTACTTAATGCTTTCTTTACAATTTGCAATGAATCTGAGTGACAAATGCACAGTGAGGTGATCAGCAAAATATTTTGACCATGTTTGTTAATAAAAGAACCAAATTGTTTATTTGAAGTGTACATTTCCTTTTGAATAAATAATACTGTGGGTAAGGAAATTTTATGGTGAAGATCCAGAGAGTACTGTACTTTACTGTACTGCAAAAGGTAACAATACTTGTTCTTAATTCAAAGTTTGGGGCTGATTTAAGACTGAGCTGTAGTGGCCACTCATGATATTAAATTGTACTCAACACAAATGCTTTATGCTTGGGGTAGCACACATTATCAACTTCATTATATTAACCAATTAAGGTCACTCTAAACATCAAGTATTCGTTATGTTTTGCATGAAAACTTTTTGAACTATTATACTGTAAACTGTATCATCATGATGTCTTTAACCTCTTGTGTATAGGCTTCCCTCTGTGCTGAATAAAACTGTCTGGTGTTAACCAAAAAAATATGTCAAAAGTGGTTTCCCTGTGGAATGGAAAACCTGGCTGAGTTGTTAAAAGGCAAAGGTGATGTAAACAAAAACTGGATAGACTGCATATTCACTGATACATGACCATGTTGAGGGATAAAGCGGTCTGGGGTGGTTCTTCTTCTGTCCAACTGTTAGATAGGGTGGAATCAAAGGCATTCCGTCTTCTTAACTTCTCCTTTAGTCAATAATCTCTTCCCTTACTCTTCGCCACAATGTTGCTTCACTCTCTCTTTTACAGGTACTTTAACAGGCAATGTTCATTAGATTTGGCATCCTGTGTACCGCCAGCAAGGCAGTGGGCTCGTAACACTCGTCTTGCCCACGGTGCCCACCGTTTCTCTGTGGATGTCGGTCACACTAGTACATCCTTCTTTCCTCACATAACCAAACTGTGGAATGCTCTGCTTTCTTCTGTGTTTCCATACTCATACAATCTGTTTCACTTTAAAAAGCTGGTTTTCCAGCATCTTCGTGGTGTAGATTAATATAATCTTTTTTCCTCTAATTTTAATTTAAAAATTTTTTTACTCTTATTTTTTTGTCCCCCAGGCCCCGTTGTGGGTCGATGACCTGTACCTGGGTGGGCTTGTCCATGTTAAAAAAAAAGAAGCATTACTGTAGTTAGGATTAGCAAAGCAACCGAACACACTGCAAGGGCGGATCCAGCAGGGGGTCCTGGGGGTCCAGACCCCTCCTTTTCATCAGAAAATTCCAATACTTTTTTTTTAATGCAGTACTTTATTGTACTCAGGCATTTTTGTATAGTAAAAAGTAATTACTATTAACCTCAGAATATCTCCTAACATCAAGTGTACATGACTTCAAAATGCCAATGATATTGGTCAGATTAAAATATATAAATTCGCGGGGGGGGGGCTCACAGCGTCACCCCCAAAATCCCCCAGCTGGGTGGGCTCGCTTTGCTCACCATGGTCCTCCACCCACAACTTCTTGGACCCCCCCCCCTGATATTCCTGGAGCTGCCCCTGCACAGGGGAATGTTTATGGGAAATAATTCAGGTATCTCTTGAATTACAATAAGGTTGTATCTGTAAATTCTTGAAAATTTATCTGCCATACTGATCTTACTGATTCCATACATTTCTATTGTGAGAAAGATGTTTTATGCAAGTTATGTGAAGTTAGGCAGACAATGACCTGATTGGCTGTAGAATTTTGAGATCAACTGAAGATTAGGCATAAACTTATTTTACTTGGTGGGGTTAAATTAGGTTAGCAATATGGTAGTTAATATTCTTCAGGAGATCCGAGTTTTGTAATACAGTACTAATAATACCTGTAATATCGCAGCAACTCTCTTTGTAGAAACTCTGAGAGACAATTTCCTATTCCAACATGTTTTATCCGACACTACTATAAAAGGGAACTAACACCAAAACTACTGGGACCATGATCAGCTCTAGCCATCATTTGGATGTTTTCAGATTTAAGTGTCACTAGAGCAGACCATGGTTCAAATATTACAATGGTTATTACAATAGGATATGAGGGAGGCAATAAATGGGAATATCATCAATGATGCCATAAAATGTTTCCTATCATCCTTTATAGTTAAGTTACAAAATTCTGTAAGATTAATTTTGATTATATTAATTACCAAAATTGAATTTACAATTACAGAAGTAAAAAGTATTGCAAAAAAAGTTTAACATTGCAGTAAAAACTCGGACATATGGTGACAAGTTCCATGCACAACGGGTGCAGTGTGCAAGTCTTGGGCAGTGTGCTCATTATGAGACAAATTGCCCAGCATTTTGAAGCTTATGTTGCAAACAGCATGGGAATACACCAAAGTTTCCAGAGAAGAGAGTGAAAAAACGAAAACGAATTTATGAAGACGTTATAGATGGATGTCACTGACATACCCTGCTGGATTTTGTGGTCACAGAATCAGAAGGGGAATATGCATTCAAGATGAACATGTTTTATTCTATTTTAGATTTGTTAACAGTGATCAGAAGCACAGGAGTGAGGTAACAAGTCCAAATGTTCCATATGTAGACCAAGGCCTAATTGAGGTGTACAAACATCTCAGTCGAGTGTCCATACCTGGAGCTGGCGGACGCTCGCCCCAAAAGGGGTCACAGCTCAAGGTTGAAGAAGACACAAGTCCAGAAAACAGTGAGAGCAAACTTTTTCGGAGTGAGAATTGTGAATTCTTGGAACAACCTGCAAGAGTATTGTGACACCACTGAGTGTGAGCTCTTTCAAAATCAGACTTAACAAGCATTGGAGCAGGTACAGGTACATTCAGGACCTGGTACATGCCCAGTACTTGCCAACAGTGTAACAGACGTGACCGATCGTCCAAGCGGATAACGAGCTGATCAGTGGTGAAGAGGATAAAAGTAAAAAGTAAATATTATGTACTTGCAAAAGTTGACGGTTGTTTTAATATGGACTGTATTGCCAATTTTATAAGTTAACACGTCTTCCACATACCAAATGCCCCAATTGCAATATTAAACTTATTGTGGTACCTATAACGTGTTATCCTTCAGATGTAGAATTATTGAAGTATCAAAACTACAGTATATAGTCTATGATGCAACTACTGGAGAGGAGGGGAGGGGCCCAGATGCTTGATACAGAAACAGGCTCGCTGATATGGAAAACTACTGTATCGAGGCCAGGAGAGTCATGTTTGAGTACTGCTGATTACAGTAAAGCCCCCGTGAATGGAAAACTACTCTATTGATCCATCTCAGCCAAGACGCTCGCTAGAACGTCCCCCCCCCACTGTTTATTCTGAGAAAATTGTTATTATACGTTTAGTTGACGCTTAATGTTTAAATCATCCTCTACAGTGTATTTCAAGTTTAATAACGCCAAATCAGAAGTGTGTGAAAGAAGGGCAACGTTAAACAAGGGGGATAAAATTTAATACGATGTAACGTTTAGCATTCGGTCATTCACAGATATTGTAATCCTAATTGAAAATTAATCGAGTATATTGACATCAGATATACTTCCAACCAAAACAAACGTTCCAAAACGAATATTATATGAAATAAACAAAATTTAAATGACGCGAATAGTACACAGAAAATACGTTATAATTTGAAGTATCAAGAGACTAACTGCAACTATCCCAGCGGCCAGGAAGTAAAACGGAATGACGCGTCTGTTTCCTCCTCACTTGGTCGCTCACCTCTCGGCCGAGAAGACTGCTCGCGTGGTACACCTCTATCATCCGCCTTAGTGTTCCCTCTACTGTGTGTCAATGGTACGTGTGTGCATAGTTGTTTTGCAATATTTTTACGAAACTAATTAAATATATTTAAAGTAAACCATAAGCGTAATATATATATATATATATATATATATATATATATATATATATATATATATATATATATATATATATATATATATATATATATATATATATATATATATATGTATATATATATAATACTACAGTGATTGATTGAAAACATCATGTTGAGAGGAAAATATAGAATAATTAAAAGTTATGTGTTGTCTTGCGACGTTTTGTGGGACGTGTGATGGTAACCCGCAGAAACTATTTACAAGAGCGTGTATCTACCAGTGTTTCTTTACTTTTATTTCTTTTATGTTAACGCTTGACGCAATATGACAAACGGAAATGCTGTTTGCATTTAAACCCCAAATATTTATTACGGTACACTAAAAAGACATTCGAAAATATTATATTGATATTGTAACTGAAAATTGACTTGAGTTTTGTTTACACGAGTGCTGGAGAGAAACGTTGACGGGTGCGTCCAAAATAGAAAATGTATTGGCGCCACCCTCCACCATCCTTACACTACTCACAACACTGACAACTAAAGAGCAAAACCGACTGCAAAGAGCTACAGAAAGATATCTGTCGGCTTCAGGAGTGGTCAAGGAATGACTTTAAGATTCAATAACACGGTGGAAATGTAAGGTTCACCTTGGTCGTAACCAAGAGTAGGAGGCGTATCACATGACCCAACGGGACGAAGAAGTACCCGTAGCGTAAACGGAGACAAAAATGTGTAAAGAACCTGGGTGTGTCTGTTGACTATCTGAAATTCTCGGATCATTGACAGAAAAAAGTAACTAAGCGAGTATAGTAGGTCTTATAAGAAGGGCGTTCACCTACACAGATGGTGCTTCCCTGTTTGAAGTAGTTACCCCGCGATAAGCTAGACTGTCGATTGAAAACGACCTAAGGAAGTACAGTACTGTATTACGACGGGTCACCTTAGAGGACTGCACCATAATAGTTACTACACCCTAAGTGTTACTGCACCATAATAGTGTTACTGCACTGTAAGTGTTACTGCACCATAAGTGTTACTGCACCATAATTTATGTTCTAACTGTTACTGCACCATAAAAGTTACTGCACCGTAAGTGTTACAGAGTCAGCACTGCCCTTGCTCTTCACGGGCCTGGGCGAGGTTTCTCTGACCACACAAATTCAGAGATGACACCACTACAACTGCAGCTGAACCCCCACCAGACCAACGCATCCTTACTCATCACGGATGCCCAACGCGAGCGGGACACGCAGCGGTCAACCCCGTGGCGGATATGAGTGACGCCTTGTTTACAGCTAGGTGTGGATGTTGACAATGAGCTGAAGTTCTCGGGCCATTGCGAGAAGAAGGTAAATCCGGCAAATAAATTATTGGGTCTTATAAGAAGGTCATTCAGATATCTGTCACCCCTTCTGGTCCCCGAGATATGCTAGGGACTGTCAGTTGGTTGAAAATGTTCAAAGGAGGGCCACCAGACTGGTGCCTGCACCTCAACTACCCTGAGAGATTGGAGCGCCTGAACTTGCCTGGCTTATACTACAGACGGGCAAGGGGGGAGCTAATTGAGGTGTATAAGCGTCTCAAGGGGCACTACTCAGTCGAGTGTCCTTTTTTTATTATTTATTGGGCACCCCCCTACATCCTGTGCAAGGTGAAGTGCAGAAGCGCCTACAGCACCCAACTTACTTGGAGCTGGCGGACGCTCGCCCCACAAGGGGTCACAGCTCAAGATTGAAGAAGCCACAGGTCCAGAAAACTGTGAGGGCAAACTTTATCGGAGTGAGAGTTGTGATCTCTTGGAACAATCTACCAGAAAGTGTTGTGACGGCACCGAGTGTGAGCTCTTTCAAGACCAGACTTGACCAACACTGGAGCAGGTACAGATACATTCAGGAGCCAGTGCATGCCCAGTACTTGCCAATAGTGTGGAACAGAGACGTTACCGATCGTCCAAGCGGCTAACGAGCCGTGTCTGACAGGGTGGGTCCGATGCCTCCCGAAAATGCTACATGCAACTAGTGATGTCCCGGGAAGATTGGTATGTGTGGCTCTGTGGCATACCTGCAGGTGTAGGTATACAACGTAGATTACCTACATTATCTCCTCAAAAAAGAGTATCTTCCACATAGTGTTCAACATATGAGAGCACGGACATCTGTACAATTGTAACATTACCGAAATTGACAGTGAAATTGAATTGTACAGATGTCAATATTTCATAAATAAAACAGGCTGTAATCACGTGCCTTATAACCTTAAAAAATAATTATAATAAATGAAACAAATAGCGATGTGCCATACTATACCTTGTTCACGTGATCACTCTGTGATATGCGTCTGGCACCTGTGCTCAGTGTTGCCAGATGGTACGATATATCGTCAAGGTGAGAACATAACATGATCAGCTACTGTACTGTATATGACTTGAATTTGCGAATGTAAATGTATTGATCAATAAAATGGTAATAAAGTTTTTGTTAAGTTATTTATAAATGGGGACAACTTTCCCGCATAAATACTTGAGAAGTGTATAGTACGTCAGAGAGTACCGTAAACACCGAGGAAGTTATTTTAGTATATTACGTGCTCCTTGGTCAACACACAACACTGGCATGTAAACGTGGCAAGAATGGACTATTTAAGTATTTTTTGCAGACACAGTATAGTACAAGTACCAACATGGAAGGTTTATATTGAGAATACATTTGCATTTGGGATATCAATAGTAATTAATTCACGTAGGCATCGATTGTGCGATATTGTTATATTTTGGGAATATACAGTATACTTGTATATACTGTATATTTTTATATCGCATGATTAGTAACTTTGTTGAATCGTATGGGTTAGACTGAATACTAAACTACTGATAGTTCCTTTGTCGGTTTACTTGATAATATTAATTTCTGAATGTTACTGTTGATTTTGCTGCTTATATTTAGATATGTTTGTTGGGAACAATTAGCCATCATTAGCCTTTGTCTTTTGTCAATATTTTGTCAAAAAAAAATTAAGAACGAATAGATTTCAGGATTATAAGGAACCCTCGTATTGTAGTGGATTCATCCCCTACAAACGCCTTGTGTCGCTGACTAGCCGACCCCCGCGAATTCACCAGCCTGCACCTCGTGGGCAAGGTCAATTAACCAGCGCCCCCGAACAAAGCGGAGGTCAACAGTCAAGCCACGCCTACCCCCGCTATATAAGACCTCACCTGGCCGTGACCTGTCCTTCTTCTAGCTACAGCCGCAGCAAGCAACACCTCCTCTGAGCACCCTCACCAACCAGCTCTCCCTACTCACGCTTGTAACCACGCTGCCTCCTCCCAGCACCAGCCACCAAGCTGCATTGTACATCCAATATAAAATGTATACAGAGAGCACATTGTGAGTTTCCTTTCTCCATCCCATCCTGAGTGCTAACCAATATCTCATAACCCCACAGTATCTTGGTTTGGTTAAGTTAGTTTATTTTTATCCTCTTCACCACTGATCGGCTCGCTAGCCGCCCGGGCGATCGGTCACGTCTCTGTCACGCACTGTTGGCAAATACTGGGCATGCACCGGCTCCAGAATGTACCTGAACCCGCTCCAGTGTTGGTCAAGTCTTCTCTTGAAAGAGCTCACACTCGGTGCCGTCACAACACTCTCTGGTAGATTGTTCCAAAAGTTTACAACCCTCACTCCGAAAAAGTTTGCCCTCACGGTTTTCTGGACTTGCGGCTTCTTCAATCTTGAGCTGTGACCCCTTGTGGGGCGAGCGTCCGCCAGCTCCAAGTAAGGACACTCAACTGAGTAGTGCCCCCTGAGATGCTTACACACCTTAACTAGGTCCCCCCTTGCCCGTCTGTAGTATAAGCTAGGCAAGTTCAGGCGCTCCAATCTCTCAGGGTAGCTGAGGTGCCGAAGTGCAGGCACCAGCCTGGTGGCCCTCCTTTGAACATTTTCAACCAACTGACAGTCCCTAGCATATCTCGGGGACCAGATGGGGTGACAGTACTCCAGATGGGGAAGCACTTCACTCCTGAAGATCGTTACGAGGGACGGACCATCTAGATATCTGAACGACCTTCTTATAAGACCCAATAATTTATTTGCCTGATTTACCTTCTTCTCACAATGGCCCGAGAACTTCAGCTCATTGTCAACATACACACCTAGGTCCTTCTCACACACAGTCTCAACTAGTGCAGTTTCTTCATCCCGTTGGGACATATGATACGCCTCCTTACCGTTGGTACGCCCCAGGTGCATCCTCTTACATTTCGTGACATTGAATCTCAGCAGCCATTCCTTCGACCATTCCTGGAGCCCACAGAGGTCCTTCTGCAGCTCTTCACAGTCCGCTTGGTTCTTAATTTTCCGAAATAACTTGACGTCATCGGCAAACATTTGTATGGAGGAGTGTACAACGTCAGGCATGTCATTTATGAAACAAACAAACAACAGTGGGCCTAATACACTGCCCTGTGGTACCCCACATGTTACAGGTACAGATGACGATTTCGTGCCATTTATCACCACACACTGCTTGCGGTCATGTAGAAAGTCTTCTATCCACGCTAGGACATTTCCCCGAATTCCGTACCCTTCCAGTTTGATTTTCAGCCTTTCGTGGGGTACACTGTCGAAAGCCTTGGCAAAATCTAGGTAAATATTGTCGATATTACCACCCCGTTCCAGAATATGTGTCCAAATATCCAATACCTTGAGCAATTGTGTTAAGCAAGAGCGCCCCGGCATAAAACCGTGTTGGCAATCTTTTACAAGGTTGTTTCGTATTAGATGTTCCATTGCGGCATCTCTGATAATACTCTCAAGTACTTTACATATTATGCTGGTCAGGCTCACCGGTCTATAGATGTTCGTGGAGTGACGATCGCCCTTCTTGAAGATAGGACTCACATAAGCCACTTTCCATTCACTGGGGACCATTTGTTCATCCAGGCATTTACAAAACAGGATCTTCAGGGGCTCTGCAAGCTCGTTGCACAACTCTCTTAGCACTCTAGGATGCACCATGTCAGGGCCGGGACTCTTATGGACCTTTAGCCTGGACAGTTTATTTCTAATACCCTCTTCTGTGAACACAATGTGGGTCAGTGCTGTGTCGAACCGTCTGTCCTCAAACGCAGGAAGGTTAGTTGCATCCTCTCTTGTGAACACTGAGGAAAAGAAGCTGTTCAATGCCTCAGCTTTATCCTGGTCAGAATCTGCGTAACTACCATCCACCAGCCTCAGGTCTGATACTCCTACTCGCGTTTTCAATTTCGACTTTGCATAGCGGTAAAACGCCTTTGGGTTTGACTTGACCTCGCTTGCAACCAGCCTCTGGAACTCCTTTTCAGCCCTCCTACACTCTATCTTTGCTTGGTTTCTGGCTCTTGCATACATCCTCCTGTCTTGCTCATCGTTTGACCCAACCCACGTCTTGAATTTCTGGGTTTTCTTCTTAATTTTGTCGACCGCCGCATGGTTCATGTGCAGTGATCCCCTCGTATTCCTAGAAGCACTGGGTTTGGTCTTGGGTATATATTTATCGATCAAATGGGTCATTTTACTAGTTATGATATTCAGCGTAGTGTCTGCGTTCTTGTACCTTAATAAGTCACAAAAGTCAGGCCAGTTGATACCCCTCATCTCTTTCCTCATCCCATTGTAATTTCCCTTGTAATATTTGCACCTTGGCCTGGCCTTATCTTGAACTAGGTAACAGTTAAATCTGAATGACAACACTGTATGGTGACTGGTGCCAACTGGGGCAAGGTGTTCCAGTTTGGCCACCATACCCTCCTCGTTTGTTATGATGAGGTCAAGTGCTTGGGTGTTTGCTCCCCTCTGTAATGTGTCGGGCCTCTAACATGTTGGAACAGGAAATTATCTCTCAGAGTTTCTACGAAAAGAGTAGCAGGGTTATTCAAGTCATCCGGGGTGGACTCGTTTCTCCAGTCGATGTCGCCATAGTTAAAGTCCCCCATGATAAGGAGGTGGCTAGGGTTGAGCATCGCCGCGTTGTCTATTAAGGTTCTTAAGTTCCTTTGATTTAGTGGGCCACAGTTTGGGGATCTGTAGATACACCCGACGATAAGTAAGTCCCCTCCCTTTATTTTAATTTTACACCACTTGGACTCTTCAAAAACATCCTCTTCCTGTACCCTCGCCTGGCTGGCTCTAAGGTCTTGCCTAGCCTAGATAACCACACCCCCTCCTGCAGGATTCTTGAGATAGGTTCGTAAATGAGTCATATCCAGCAATACTGGATATGTCATTAGGTTAGGTAGGCATGCTTAAGTTTGATTAGGGTAGATTAGGGTAATTTAGGTTTAATTACAATGAATTAGGTTAGGTTTAATCAGTTTATGACAAGTTAAGATTTGGTTAGGTTGTTAGGTTTCCATATTAGTGGTCAATCATAGTAACAAGATTCGTCCATATTAGCTCCGGTTTCATTTCTATTCCATTTTATAAATTTTTAGGCAAAGAAAAACCATTGTTATACACCTGCACATTTTATTAGGTAGACATACATAATCTACATACCAGCGGCTGAGGCCTGAGGTAGAAGGTAACACTGATGAACGTTGTGAGAAACATTTGAAGTGTTCGGGTGGGTGGCCAGGGTGAGGTGATGCCTTTTGCTCACTAATGCGTAAGTATGAAGGATATAAAAATTAATTCATAAAATTGTATTAATTTAGATTTACTAGAAGTCCATGAAGTAAATTTTGACGACATGAGGACATTATATTCATAGTTGTTGGTGTTGTTAAATGGTATCATTACAACTGAACACACTGACCGTCGTCTGCAGTATTTTAAATGGCAACTTTTGGGTACAGTGTATTGTACTTACAGTTTATATCACTGTATAGTAAGTATTTATAAGTATTTTCCATTTTTAAAACATTAAATGGTAGTGGTCGCTAGCTGATGATATTATAAATTATATAAAGCTTACTGTATGAATACTGTAGTCGTGGCTAGCTACAGGTGTCTCCAAAAAAATACATTATTTGGACTAATTATGTTCAGCTAGGAATAAATATCTCCTCTATTTTCCTTAGTTGACTCACGATATTAAATTATACGCTCTGGATATTTGTCCGGTTGTCGGTTAGGTAGGTCTTTTTTCAGACTTACACAGAGAGTTGATAGAATGAGACGAAACTTTGTGGAAACGTTAATTACAATAGATTAAATAGAAAAATAGAAACAAGAGTCCATTCAGGTATGTTTTAAAGGTTTTTTCTGGTAAGTTGGGTAGGTGTTAGGTAGTTTACTTTTATAGGTTGGTTAGGTCAGAGAGTTGTGATGGCATCGAGTGTGAGCTCTTTCAAGATCACACTTGACAATCACTGGAGCAGGTACAGGTACATTCAGGAGCCAGTGCATGCCCAGTACTTCAGGAGCCAGTACAAGCCTAGTACTTCAGGAGCCGGTGCATGCCCAGTACTTGCCAACAGTGTGTAACAGAGACGTGACCGATTGCCTAAGGATAACGAGCTGATCAGTGGGAAAGAGGATAAAAGTAAAAGTAAAGTAATAGGTTCTGTGCATTCTAGTTTCCATTTACCTGTTTAATGAATTGTAAATAACGTGTCCACAAAGTTTTGACTAATTCTATCAACTTCCTCTGGTGTTAGTCTAAAAAAAAAAACCTAATCGACAACCAGACAAATATTCACAGCCAAAATTATGCTCTGCTGTATTTTACATCCACAGTTGGTTAAGGCGATGGTCGCTATTTTCTAAAAGTTTTTGTAGATTCTTTATGTGTGAGTTTTCTTTAATTCATGAGATACAAATCCAGTTGTGAAGAACCAGATGACATGAAGCAGATAAAACTAATCTGTCTAACCCAACAGCCTGGGATTATTCAATTAGATTCTCATTAATAATTAGAATTCAGTATAGTATATAAAAAAGTTACAGGAAAAAAATCATAGTGTAAAACTACCGACAGTACTGTACAGTATTTCTATGAAAAAAAAACCAATGATAAGTTCTTTTTATAGACAAAATATGACCTGATCAAAGAAAATGTTTAAAACATAACCCAACCCAACCCGTTAACCTAACTTACTAATGGTATTGCTGTACAGTGTACAGTAATAAAATTTTATTTTTTTCCTGGCCAAAATTTTAACTTTTTTTAAAATTTTTATGTGACTTTATTTTGACCAATACTGTACAGTAGTTTAAGCCACACCTACTCCTGTTGAATTGAATTATGCAATCTAACAAGTCTTTTTCTTTACAGCAAGAGTGACCAAGAGGTGTATAGTTAAGCAAGATGGTGAAGGAAGGGACGGTGACTCTGGCATCACCTGGAACTCCTGAGGCTTTGCCAATCTTAAAAGAGTTTCTTAACCAAAGGACTCATGCACAAACAGGAAATGGTAAGCAGTTACGATGCTTAGTAAAATATATATATATATATAAATTTTTTTTTATGGGGATTAGCCCACCTGGGCACAGGTCACTGACCCACATCAGGGCCTGGGAGCGAAAATATAATAATAATAATAATAATAATATTATTATTATTATTGTCATCATCATCATTACAACAATTAATAAAATTAATAGCAAATTAATAAACAGTACTATACAGTATATATAAAATACATTGTGTGTTTGTGTGTTCCTCATGTATTTCCACTGTTTTGAAGATAAAGAGCAGTAATTTGGTAGAGATCTGCTATAATACTGTACAGTATTTTACTCAGGTTTTTTTAAATCATCAACCAATATCCTGAAATTGTTACTTGTACCAAGTGTAGTTACTCGTTACCATTTATTGGTACCAAGTGTACCTGTACTATTTACTGGTAGTAAATGTGCCTGTACCAGACTATTTTTAGTGATTCCAGAGTAGCACTGCCTTCTCTAGAATCTTTCAATCCCATCCACCCTCTCATTTTAAATGTTTTTAACTGGCTATTTGTCCTCTGTCGGCAGGGCCATAATGTGGATTTCTGTTGTGTTATTGCCCATATGTCTGCACAAGGTAATGAGAGGGCTGACGAGGTGGCCAAGTCTGTTGCCTTTCGTCATGCTCCTATGTGCTCCCTCCCTCAGAGATTTCTTCCCCGCAGTCAGGTCGGCCATTTGGACCTCCAGACAGTTACAGTGGGACAATTTATCTGTTCTCAACAAGTTGCAAGTTGCGAGAAATTACAAAGATCTATCCATGGGAATATCCTTGGATGCCCCGCCGCTATGAGACTGTCCTTACGAATCTACATGTTAGACACACTCACCTCGCCTACAGTTTCCTTATGGTCAGAGGACCACAGCCCCATTGTGATGACTGCCTGGGGCCACTGACTGTGAGACCCTTGCTGGTCGAGTGACTCAGTCATAGGGACTTGAGGAGTCATTTTCTGGCTGAGTGCCAGCAGGAGGATGGCTCCTTCATCTCAGAGGTGTTCAGTGAGAGAAGTTCAGTACCTGATGGTGGACTTGTTAATTTTTTATTGCAATAGAGGTACTTAACTGTGTGATTTTAAATATACATAAGATCTTATTTTATTTATATTTTTATATTTAAACTTAATAGAATTTTATTTATTTATATCATTTTTAAATTATGAGTTTAATGTTTGGTATCAAATGGTCACAGGCTGTGATGCCAGATAGTTTACCCAATCATTGAATCAAACATCCTGTTACTGGTACTAAGTGTACACTTGCCATGAAAAGTTCTTGAACACATTAAGGGTCAAACAATATGACAAAACGAATGAGAAATCTGAGCATTATTTTCTGAGGAAGTTTATTTCAAATTAATTGAATTCTTTTCACCTGTAAATACTGTACAGTACTATAAAGACGAGTTACATACAGTATATTATTACAAAATATTGAGTCACTTAGTAACCAGACATACCAACCATTCTGAGATAACATGAGTCATAGATGTGAAATCTGTCATGCCCAGCTTTTCGAGAACTTTTTAGGACGAGTATATCTTTACCTGTCTCTGGTACAGTAACCAGCTTCATGCACGATGTTAACCCAGAACCCAAACTATTCTTGACAGCACTGTTCATCCAAATTACAACTAAGTACACTAACTGTGGAGATAAAAGGGCCAGGTATGATACTCTTGCCTATACAATATATAGCTACAGTACTACTTACCGTAGATTAGTAACAATAGCAAGAAAAAATATTTTGGAAAATGAGATGCAGTACCTATAGACTCCTCATCCAAGATCACTGTATATGTTTGTTACTTACTGTACTATATTATTTCTTTTTATAGATCCCCCTCCCAGTGAAGAAGATGTCCACCTTCACATGCCAGAGTACTTCACTGGCTATCACAGTCTCAGTGAGAAGATCCACAGCCGTATTGAGTCTAATGACAAATTTTTTTCACTAGAATTCTTTCCTCCAAGGACAAAGGGTGGTGCAGTCAACCTCTTGGCCAGGTGAGGAGTGGGTTACAAACATGATGCAGTTTATCTCAAATTTTCTGTAATCACAGAAATTACAGTACAGTATAAGAGTATAGATATTTCTTGAATCATAGACAACATTTCTGTTTACTGTATATATCTTTGAGATGCTGATATGGGTAGTTGTGTAGGCTAGACATGGGGCGATTATGTGGGTAATAAATTCGTTTACAATTACATGCCACACTTTGGATTACAATTACTTTACTGTAAAAATTAAGCACTTGATTGCATTCATGATTACATGGCAAGTAATCGTGATTACAATAGTGATTACAGAAAGCTTCCTCTAATCCAGACTAATGGGAGGAAGGCCTGTCTAGTTTAGCTAAAATTCTGGGTTGGGCAGGGGGTTTGTATATTCTATATTTCAAGGTGAAAAATTCCAGAGGACGGGGTATTTTTTACTCAAGCTGCCAAAGAACACCAAACATACTGTAATATTTACTTTGACTTAACACCCTCGGGGATCTTATACATCATAGTTAATTTTTCCTCGGTCTCTCATACGTTCTTGGCAGCTTGGTGCTGGCTGTCAGTGCAGCTGTACTCAGCGAGTCACCCAGCAGGTTGTGATACTGGGTACTCATGTGTCTAGCAGCTGTGAGTGTTGTCTCGGCTGTCACACTCGGCTCCATTCAAGCTTCATACCCCCAAAATACCTCCATTTGATGGCCCATATCATATAGATTTTTTTATTTTATTTACAGTATACTTTATATTTATTAAGATAAACTATTTGATATTATTTTGGTAAAAAATGGTGTTTGCAATTTAATCAGAATTGATTTTGTAGAATCCTGTATAAACATTTCTAGGTATATACAGAGTGTCGATATTACCACCCTGTTCCAGAATTTGAGTCGAAACATCCAGTACCTTGAGTAATTGTGTTAAGCAGGAGTGCCCCGGCATAAAACCATGTTGGCAATCCTTTACAAGGTTGTTTCGTAGTAGATGTTCCATCATGGCATCTCTTATAATGCTCTCAAATACTTTACATACTGTACTATGCTGGTCAGGCTCACCGGTCTATAGTTATTCGTGGAGTGACTATTGCCCTTCTTGAAGATAGAACTCATATAGGCCATTTTCCAATCACTGGGGACCTTTTGCTCATCCAGGCATTTACAGAATATGATCTTCAGGGGCTCAGCAAGCGCGTTACACAACTCTCTTAGCACTCAGGGATGCACCATGTCAGGGTCTACATGGTATACATTATTTCTGCATTATAATATGTCTGTTGATGAAAAATAAAAGCACATAGTACATGTTAATAATAAAGTACTGTAGTTATTATTAAATAATTACGAGGTGGTTGAGTCTTGACGTGATGAGACAAGAGGGGATTGTACGACTCACAATATACGTCACCAAAGGTGGAGCGGAGGTTATGTTTTCACTGCTAATTTCATTGATTATATGTACTGTATGCTATGCATATTTATTAGACACTTCTATTGCCTCCCCAGAGGCAGCTATTTAGTTAATCTCTTGTGCCATCACAGTGACAGTCTCCACTTACACGAACTTTCCCCCATACTACAGTAATCGGATTTTCATTGCATTTTTCCTGGTTGGGGATACATGTGTCTGGTGCTAGACCTCAGTCCGGTTTGCAAGGGATCCGGATTTAAGCAAGTTTGGTTTTAGAGGGAGTTTACTGTACTTTTAAAAATATAATGTATGTTATTTTGATTTCCTACTTGCCTTGTGGTCATTATAGTGGTCACTCTGGGGGAATGTGATGGCTTGTGAAGACTCCGGTTAATTTGTAATTATTGGCAGTAGCATCTTCTTGCTTGAGTCACTTGATTGTACATAGATATTTATGTTTTGGGTATTATTCTTCTATACACTACTTCCCCATGGGTTGTCACTGTTTTTCTCATACTAAATAGGTTTTAAAAATTAATCTTAAACTTAAACCTCTTTTCTCCTGTCAGATTTGACCGCATGCGTGAGGGTGACCCACTTTTCTGTGATGTCACGTGGCACCCGGCTGGTAACCCAGGTGGAGAAACAGAAACCTCATCCTTAACAATAGCAGGTAAGTCACTCATTCTGGAAAGGTCATCAATGATATTTTCTTCTAAAATTACTCTTTTGGAAATATTTGTTTTGTGAATGATAATGATGAAAATGTGGTAACACAGCGACTGAAGTAGTCCCCCCCCCCAAAAAAAAATAAATATACATATATATATATATATATATACTGTATATATATATAAAGGAATGTACAGTACAGTATACCTCCCAAGTTTGCGGATTTTTAATTCGCAGTTCTCGGTTATTCGCGGATGACATCCTGGATGTACCCACGAATGTCTGTGGGTAGTTTTAAAGTTGCTGGCATTTTTGCGACTGGGACAGGGAGCCATTTATTCTAGGGACATTAATTTCCTTTACCTGTATTGTAAATGTGTGTGTGTGTGTGTGTGTGTGTGTACACACACACACACACACACACACACACACACATACAATACTACAGGTAAAAGAAATAATTGTTCTGAGGGCAAACACATAAAGGAATATACAGTAAATTTCTTTGTACACAAGTAAAATGTATCCCCCGTCCGGAAATGTTATTCGCGGATTTGGCGATTTGCGGCCATTTTGAGAACCTAACCCCTGCAAATTTGGGGGGCCCCCTGTACTTTAAAACTCATCTCAGACATAAGGTTATTGATGTAAATACCAAACTCGTAAGATGTGAGCAAATTGGTGAATGTTGTGAAATAAAGAGAGTGTGAATACTTTTAAGATAAGTGAGTGTGTTGGACACCCAATAGAAGAACTACTGTACAGGTATCTCTTTTTTATCCAAATGTTTGCTGTCTGATTAGTTTCCAGGGAAACTAACTCTTTCAGATAATGAGGAATACCTACATATGACTGAGGTTAATGGTTGGTGATCAGGTGGTGCTCAATGTAAATGTTACAAGAATAAGAAGTAGATAAATAAGATGAATAGGACATGTTATGAGGGACTGACCCGTACAAGATGCTCTAACTTACTTGTCATACTGTAAGGGTTTTTTTTTTTTTACAATATTGGTATTTAAATTTTGTCATAATAATTTGCAAGTACAGGATTATGATTGAGACACATTTTAACAGCAATATATTACAACATTTTGGTCAGGTGAAAATTATGAAGGAACTGTCATTACCAGGTGCTGCTCTGAACTACTCTGGGCTGGAGACAATGCTGCATATGACCTGCTGCAACATGACCAAGACAGAGATCTCCATACATCTACAGAGAGCCAAGGATATTGGTATCCGTAACATTCTGGCACTGAGAGGAGGTCAGTCTGTAGTCTTACTTTACTGTACACATAAATTTTTTATTTTTTTTGTTTTTTTTGCTTCGCTTGTGAGTTCTAAACCCTGAAATGAGCTAGAATGCATAAATTATGTACCGGATGTAGCTACAGTAACTCTTGCCCAAGCTGAGAATGTTAGTATTCTGTATAAGGCTGCCTCGAAACTTTTACGAAGACTGTGGATATTAATATCGAGAAGGAAACGGAAGAATACATATTGTCCATTTCTAATTCACAAGTAATTTGATGTTGTCATGCTTAAAATTTATGCAATTTAGGATCATGGGACGTGATCAAGTGATCTGAAAATTAAAAATGTGTCCCCAACATATTGTCGATAGAACAGAGGCTTAAATGGGGTGGGACATTCGGTAAGCCAACACTTCTCGTTGTGACAGTAAGCAACTCAGGGAATCTGTCATTGAAATTTGCTGCCATTTTCTGTCTGCATCTGTGGGAAGTAGAGAGTGAACTGAGCTGAGAACAGTTCAAAGGTAGGAATGTGTAACTTCTATTGCAAAATGTGTCATCAGGGCAAGCCTGACCTGACCTAACACAAGGAGAGTAACTGCGTTAATCCCTGGACCATAACTTATGGTCCCGACTTAATGAGGCTGCACCTGTCAGCCATGTCCTTCAGTCCTTGACACCCGGACTAAAAAAAGTGAAAAAAAAAATCATACGCGACCACTGATTCCAGCGACCTTATGAGGTTTATGGGAACCTAGTGATCCTATTAGCTCTATGCGACCCCTTATGATGCATCTCACAACCCTTGGGGAGACTTCTGCAGTACTGTATTGTCCGAGGTGGATGGAAAACTGTCCGAGGCCAGACACTTGGAGATGTGTAGTGGAAAAATTGAGTTAACATTGCTTCTGTGTACAGGAATGAAGCACGAACTAAAGATGATACAAATTTATTAAAAGTACTGTACTGTACTGTAATATATAGGGTGAATAGAAAATGAAGACTAAAAACGAAACAAGAAAATTAATTTGATGGATATGGATGTGCTGAATAAAGACCTGATGAGGGTTTATTGAGGTGGCAATATATCGATGTTTTACAAGGATGAAAGGATGGATTGAAAACTATCTTAAAAGTCAGGAGGGGGGGGGTGGACACCCGGAAGGACAGCAAAGTTCATTAAATGAATGATTGAAGTGCTGGACCTCAGGTGAACACAGGTGAGTCAAAGAAGAAACTATATTTTCTCTTTATTCATTCCACCTTTTGACATTGTAGGAAGAGGCTTGCAAGAATAAAAATAAAACAAAAAAACAACAGAATATCATATTCCACAGATGCTCCAAGTGGTTCAGAAGATTGGGTTCCACCTAAGGATGGGTTCAACTATGCTACAGACTTGGTGAAATACATCAGAAAGGAGTTTGGGAACTATTTTGTCATCTGTGTTGCCGGCTACCCCATGGGTCATCCTGAGGCCACATCATATGAGGATGATCTAAAGTACCTCAAGGAAAAGGTCAGTTGGTTATATTTTTTTCTCTTAATTATTGTAAGTTGTCTCATTGTTTCCCTTTCTTTATATACTCCCTCTAGCTCAGAGCAGTAATTCACTGATCTTCTTCCAGCCACTTCTGCCTATTGAAATGAGCTTACTTCAGCACCCTCACCAGCCCTGTATATCCCTAATGTTGATTTTCTCCAGCCTTACTAAGGATATCACCTGTGTATGGTACAGTATATAAGACACTTAAAGTCATTAAAATCCTGTAATCTGCTATTTACTCCACTGCACCTCTTGTGTACCCACCATCCACATTCTTTGCACATTTATAATTTGCTGCCTTACAACAGCACATGACCATTTTCCACCACCACTCATCAGTACATACAGTCCTTATTTAAAAAGGGTTGGTGTATAAAAATCTAAAGTTACACAAAAATAGATTCTGTCTCATGATTCAGTTTATATATGAAAACTCCAAAGCAATAATTTTTTGGCCATATTTGTAATTTTTTCAAAGTACATAATGAAAAAAGGCTAAAGTAATGCTGATTTTTATTATCAATATGCTTATTTCACTAACTTCATTAGTCTCTAACACTCGCCATGTTATTAAGTCTACAAATAAGCTCAGCGTGGTATTATTCTCTTACAATCACCATATAACTTACTCCTCAAACTCACTGGGACAAGTCTCTACCAGTACATTCATTCAACCAGTTGCCTCATTGTCCAGTTTATGTTCATTTACTCTCATGTAATGTGTGGCAAATTAATTAAAGTAAAATTATTTTATATTCTCAAATTTCATTTGCTATTACTGTATATCAAATTAATTGTAGAGTTATAAGATAAAATGTTGAATTTGGAAATCAACAAAAGTTTGGAGGTGTGGATATTGCTGTCAACACACGAGACAGGCTGTTGTTGAAAAAATAGATTAATTAAATATTTTACTTTTATCAGTATGTGCATCTGTAGTTATTCTTTGTCCACAGTAATGACAATAATTTTAATGTGTTTATTGCTGTTACCCGATAGACTTTCTTATCACCAAGAGGTAGATGCTTGAGCTATTTATGTGTATTGCCACAGTATCAGCTTTTCTTTATACAGTACAGTACAGGGATACAGTGCAGTACAGTACAGTACTGTATTTGCAGGTGGGTGCTGGTGCCAGTTTCATTTATTGTTATCAGTTTTCTTAATGTTTGCAGGTAGATGCTGGTGCTGACTTCATCATCACACAGCTGTTTTTCAAGGCTGAGACTTTCATAACATTTGTTAATGACTGTCGAGCATTAGGCATATTTTGCCCCATAATTCCTGGCATCATGCCCATTCAGAGCTATGACTCTTTGCGGCACATCGTCAAACTCTCCAAACTAGACGTACCACAAGACGTTATGGACATTGTGGCTCCTTTAAAGGACAATGATGAAGCCATCAGAAATTATGGAATTCATCAGATATGTACACTGATCAGAAAGCTGTTTGAGGCAGATATGGCTCCTGGGGTACACTTTTACACTTTAAACAGGTGAGAACAAATATGTGTTGCAAATAAGAAAATAACAATAATTGCTTAATTCAGTTTCAAGAGCCCCTTCTCAAATACAGTACTTCATTAGACTTCACCATTATGTGTAACTCAGTGTTTGGTCTTTGCTAATAAATCACCATAGATGTACTGTACAGTAGGGGTGTTGCAGGCCTGGTTGATGGCAGTTCTTATGTGAATGCTATGTGTAGGTGATGATGACATAGGACATACCAACCAATCAGTGACGCCTGTAACGCTGGCTGGTATACCGCTGAATACTAGGAGGTATATTTGTGGTTGTTGAATTTATGCAAAGTATGGGAATGGATGTAAATGTTTTTCATTATCTTGTTTGCCAGTAAAACCATGGTGTGTTATTTTCTTCAGAGAGGTATCAACTACAGCCGTTTTGAAGCAGCTGGGGCTATGGGCTGCTGCACCCAGACGACCACTACCATGGAAAATGGCTGCTAATCACAAGAGGAGTGGAGAGGATGTGCGACCCATTTTCTGGGCTTCTCGACCCAAGGCATATGTGTACAGGTTGGATTTAATGTTGTTTTCTTCAGTGCTTTAATTAAAAGGTTCACTTAAGGTATGTTCATCATACAGTGGTGCATTTGAATCATGGATGAAGTGTCAGATAGTAGATAAAGATTGGGAGTCCATGATTTTTTGGTTGGTTGTTTCCTGTTATTAGAATTTTTGGTAAATGAGTTCCTCCTGTACAGTAATGCTAAAGTTTATTCTTTGTTAGTGGAAGTGTCTTTTACAGTCAGTTTATACAGTACGGTATAGTACAGTATATTTTTTCCTTATGTCACTGAATGTGGATTAATATTCATTTGTTTCCAGAATACAGTAACTGTTTATTGTGATAAAAATTGTGTAAACTCAACTCATTGTTTTTTAACTGAGATGAGTTGAAAGCTACTTCTTATACAGATGTTGATAAATGTGTTAGATTGAGTTTCTCTCAATATTTCCTTAACAGAACTCAACACTGGGATGAGTTCCCTAATGGAAGATGGGGTAGCTCTGAGTCACCTGCATTTGGAGAATTGAAAGATTACTACCTCTTTTACCTCAAGGTAGAGTATGTTCATTTACTTGTTTCCTTATGGAAAGTAAAAAATAAATGTATATATTACTAGGCTCTTTTAGCCAAGACTGTATTGGCCCTAATGACCATTCCAATTTCTTTGACAATATCTTCCACTTGCCCATCTCTGCCTTCCTCTCTTTCTGCATGATGGTTGTCTTACTTACATCTAGTTCTTTTCTAGACATTTACCTTCAAATGATGAAATTAACTACAGTACAGTGTTGGTTACATAAACAGAACTCTCTTGGATAGCTAACTTGCATTAAGTGGTGAGATGCAATGTGCAAATTGTAGTCATTATATTTTAAACTGTTGACATTGTATGAAATTTTTTTTTCTTTTGCAGAGCAAAAGCTCCAAGGAACAATTATTAGCAATGTGGGGAGAATCTCTTGAGAGTGAACAAGATGTATGGGATGTGTTCCATGCCTATCTTACTGGCTCCTTCAACAAGACTGGTCAGAAAGTTACCAAGGTTGGTTCTCCTTGTTGTTATTACAAAGCATTGCTCTGAGTATTCATTGATGGTGACTGAATATTTATCAGATACAGCATCATATGATGTGCAGTGTTTCCCTTATTCAAAACTGATAACTCCTATTGTCAGGAGATGTGACACTAATTATGATCACATCATTTATCGATGACCCAGATGTTCCCATAGGGATACAGGTGATCCTATAGGGATATATATATTCCTATAGGGATACAAATGTTCCTATAGGGATAAAGATGTTCCTATAGGGATACAGATGTTCTTATAGGGATACAGGTGTTCCTTGAATACGGAACAGTAATGTAAATGGTCCTAGTAGTGATCCAGATGACCTTATTGTGGTCCAAATGATCTTGCGGTGATTCAAATGATCGTAATGAAACAAATGAAGTGATCCAAGCTCTCTTAAAGTAATTACAACTATCTGATAGTCTTCCAGAAGGTTGGGAGGTTTGTCAAAAAAGTAGTTTTATTGAGTAATGGTCATAACCAGACCAGACACCAGTGCCTTATTCAAAACTGATGGTGTTTGTCAGGAGATCATCTATCACATGATTATATCTGGAGAACATATAGGGATATATATATTCCTATAGGGATACTTCCATGTTCCTATTGATGTTCTTATAGGGATACAGGTGTTCCTTGAATACGGAACAGTAATGTAAATGGTCCTAGTAGTGATCCAGATGACCTTATTGTGGTCCAAATGATCTTGCGGTGATTCAAATGATCGTAATGAAACAAATGAAGTGATCCAAGCTCTCTTAAAGTATTTACAACTATCTGATAGTCTTCCAGAAGGTTGGGAGGTTTGTCAAAAAAGTAGTTTTATCGAGTAATGGTCATAACCAGACCAGACACCAGCTTAAAGACTTCTTCTATTCTGGTGTTTTCTATCATCTATCACATGTTATATCTGGAGAACATATGCTTCTTCATTTGACAAATTCTCTTGAAAGTTTGCAGTTTCATCAAAGATCCTTCAGCTACCACTGTTTTTGGTCAGGGGAGGGGTAGGGAGGGAAGAGGTTTTTTGGCCTCAGAACAAAAAACTCTCATTAGTTTGTTAGGATATCACGTAAGTGAGGCCCCCATCTACCAGATTATATGGAGAGAGAAGTCGGTTATATGGAGGTTTCATGTATTTAGCAGCTTATTAATTGTTATGATCAATAAAGTATGAAAAGAAGAATAAAAATATACAGTATATGGAATTTATTATAGTTCTGTGTTTATATATTTATAAGTGTGTTATAGTATTTTCTTGTCTGTCCATTCTTTTGACAGAGTTGGAGAATGTTGAGGAAATTGCAGATCAAATTTACTCCTCAAGATTCTGGCTTTTGTGGTTTATTCTTTTATATTTACTGTACATTCATGTAGTATAAATCTATTGGTTGTCTGTTCCTGGCAGCAGAGGCCTTTTTCCATCAGTATAAAGAAATACATTATTTCTCTTATCTATTGAATCCCATTTAACGAAACCAAATTTAATCTATTTTGCAACTAACTCACAACATCACATTAGGTGCCGTGGAATGATGATGAACTCAGTGCCGAGACTGCGCTGGTCAGAGACAAACTGGCAGATTTCAACAAACGTGGAGTCCTTTCCATTAACTCACAGGTTTGTTTTTTATTGTAAACACCAATTGTGTGGAAGTTGTATACCTTTAACCTGTCAGTGTTATTAACCTTCACCTTTAACCTGTCAGTGTTATTAACCTTCACCTTTAACCTGTCAGTGTTATTAACCTTCACCTTTAACCTGTCAGTGTTATTAACCTTCACCTTTAACCTGTCAGTGTTATTAACCTTCACCTTTAACCTGTCAGTGTTATTAACCTTCACCTTTAACCTGTCAGTGTTACTAACCTTCACCTTTAACCTGTCAGTGTTACTAATCCTCACAACTTGTAAACTATTTTATTTTATTAGTGATATTCCTTGCAGTTATTTTTGTTGTTGATGTTGTAGATGTTGTGATGGTGACACTGATACAACTCTAGATTACACGATCATTTTGATTCATTCGAGAACCCTAAATGATTACTATATTTTAGGACGTGTAATAAGCAGGAACCTAAAAATCAGCCTGGTCATTACGAAGAACGTAAATGTTCTTCGTAACAATCAGACTTTATGTTTAGGTTCTTGTTATTACACCTCCTAAAATATAGTAATCATTTAGGGTTCTCCCCCTCTAAAAAAAAATTACCCATATTTAACTTTAAAAGTCTCTGTACTTGAGAAAAAATCAAGTTTAAGTATCTCCTTCTATTATGTTAAAACTTTCTTTATACCATCATCAATACAATGCAATGTTTAAACTTTCTTAATGCCATTAGCTACTAAGAAGCTGTACAAACATTAACTGCTGCAAGAAGCTGTACAAACATTAACTGCTGCAAGGAGCTGTACTAAAAGAACAACATAACCCTTATTTATATCATGATGTCTGTGGTTAACTAGTGTTCACTATGTACTGTTTGGGTCATCATTGAACTTTTCAAGAAAACATGTGTGGCCTATAGCGAGGTCTACCTCTACAGCATATGTCGAAAAGAATGAAAAAAAAGGTACTTGAATTATCAATGTGGTTCCTGTTACATGGTTTAGAATGATTGGTCAGTGATTTGCAAAAGTGAACACGTTTCACAACCTAGTCTAAAATTCTGTTTACATAATGAGAAACATAGATTATCTTTATTCACAGAAATTTTTTTTTCACAGCCTAATGTTAATGGAGCCAGCAGTGAAGATCCAGTGGTAGGGTGGGGTATGCCAGGCGGCTATGTGTACCAGAAGGCCTACTTGGAGTTCTTTACTTGTCGTGAGAATGTTAGCGCCCTCATGAATGTTCTGCCACTCTTCCCAAGAATCAACTATCATATTATAAACTCTGATGTAAGTCTTTGGATCTTCCACACACATTAAGAAGGAAGAGAGTCCCGTATTCATCTTTCAAGTTATTTTATTTTCCAATCTTTAAAGTGCAAATTATGTTTTTATACACATAGTAGATATAAAATGTGTGTGCAGTTTTGTTTTTATTGGAAGTGTATACTGTTAAATTATATGTAAAATTAATTTATATTTTTACTGGATATTGTGTGTTATCTAGAATATGTGTTTAAACCAGGTGACTCTTTGGAGTCAGGATCACCATAACACGCCCATAATATGACCCAGATGTTCTGTTAACTCTAATGAGTGTGGCTCTTGAAAAACTGGCTTAAAAACATGTTATACTCTTGTAAAATTAAAGTTATGCATCAATAGATCAATCAAAGTACCATCCTCATATGAGGAGCTCTGAACCATAATCTGATAAGTGCCAATATAGAAAATGGAGGAAAATGCTCAGGTAGGAATGTGTGACATACAATAGTCTTTTCAGAAGACTCATCCACATGTATATGTTACCAGTTGGCTCACTGACTTACCCAGGGGACAGAGGAAAGGTTGGGGGAATACTATGCAATCAGTGCTACATGGCTCTTAGCAGGTTAAGGTCCGGAGCTCCTTATAGCTGAGTGTTGGTGACCACAATAACTGGAAAATGGCATATGTGAGTCCTATATTAAAGTGGGGTGATTGTCACTATGCAAACAATTTAAAGGCAGTGAGTGACCAGCATAGTGTGTAAAGTACTAGAGAGCAATAAACACGATGATTTGATGGAACATCTAGAAAACAACCTCATAAAGGAATGCCAACATTGTTTTATGCCTGGACTCTCCTGCTTGACTCAGTTATTGAAGGTGGTATAAGTGTGGACACACCCTGCAGCATGGTGACAATATTGACAGTAGTACAGTACAGCTAGACCCCGACTTACGACTGCTTCGACTTACGACCGTCGGGACTTACGACCGCCGCAGTTGTGACCATTTTTTTTTTTTTCAAATAACACACGCATTTTCTATACCGAAACGTTTCCAGTTAATGTAGTCTCCATGTATAATTAGAAAATTATGGGGGCCCCATGTGCATTCAGCTGACTACATTAAAGGTAAGTGCTCAGTCACACTATCCATTCCTCATTATTTATTACTTTCACTGTTCTGTATCCATTCCTCATTATTTATTACTTTTACTGTACTGTATTTTATTGTAGATTTTTTATTAAAAAAAAAATTAATTTTATTTTTTTATGTCGGACTTACGACCATTTGGACTTACGACCATTCGGACTTACGACCTGGATTTGGGTCCCTAACCCCGTCGTAAGTCGGGGTCTAGCTGTATATGTCTGAGGTGATAGTGAAGTTGAGACCAAGGCTTTGGTGTTATCCACAACTTATTCCTCCTTTACAAATACCTGTAATTATAATATGTACTTCCATTTTCACATCTAAGCTAACACTCTGCCCTTGATCGGCTGGCTACCTGCTTGGGCGGTTGGTCATTTCTCTCTTGCACACTCGGCAAGTGCTGGGCTTGTATGGGCTCTTGAATGTACCAGAACATGTGCCAGTGTTGGTCAAGTCTGGTCTTAAATGAGCTGATGCTTGGTGCTGTTATAATGCTGACAGGTTATTATAACTCTTTGTAACTCTTACTGTCACAACTTTCTCTGGCAGGTTATTTCAGTGCAACATTCAAAAACTCATACTGTTACAACATTATATGGCGGGTTATTACAACAGTTCACAACAAACAAGTTCACTTTGTCAATTTTCCACATGTGTGGCATCTTTAGTGTAAGAAGACCATAAAATTTATTTTTAATTATACATTTATTATAGAAGCATTACATACAGGTATTTTTAATATGTTCTTTAATGTGATGAAAGCTCACTAGATGGCAGCACTAGTGTGTTGTTTGCTAGCACAGGCCAATAACATTTATGCAATCACACATGACTCACGACACTCCAAGTTCTCTTGCTCCATCGCAGACCTTGAGTCTGACCAACTGCAACCCAGGAAGCAGTTGTTCAGACTCAAGGTGAGTTATAATTTATTAGTCTAGTAGCCAGGATATGTGGCTCTCACCCGCGAGGCCTGGGTTCTATTCCCAGCATGGAAAGAGTTTTGGGGGTGTTGGTAACGCATGTAACATTCACCAATATTTCGAGGTTCAAGCCTTGGCCCAGACATACGTGAGAAAGGTGTTATCCAATGGACCCCTTCCATACGTCACGGCTTTCCCGTGCTCAATTTCCTCTTGTACTAACGCTGGAAAGACCAACCACCCAAATGGCTAATAAGCTGATAAGTGGCGAAAAAAAAAAGTGTTTTGAAAGGATGAAATTAGTGTGGAAGTGGGAAAAGTGTTGTCTCAAAGGAATTTTTTGGTGTATATTATTGTCCTGTTGAAATACTGTACTGTACATTGAATGATACAACAGTATTGTACTACAACTCTTGGTCCCACTCTTGCATTATATCGAGGGTTTACTGTATTTTTATGTGCAACTATTTCATCTTCATAGTTTATATTATATAATTATATTAATTAAGGTCTATATTCTTCCAATAGGGATCTGCCGATTACAGTAACTGCCACAAGCACCGGCCAATTGCTGTGACTTGGGGCGCATTCCCGGGTACTGAGATTATACAGCCAACCATAGTGGACCCGCTCAGCTTTAAAGCATGGAAGGTAATCACTTACTGCATGTTTCCTTCTTAACAAACCAGTCTTGATGTGTGTATCATGTTCTTCATCTGGTTAGGTTAACCTGTGGCCATATTTCTTGAAAAGATTTGCTATTATTATCTCTATCAATATGACACTTCCATTGTACTGTACAGTAAATTGGGCCATGAAGAACTCCCTTTTGATACCATGATTTCTGCTAAAATTCTCTATACAGTATTATTTTATCATCTGTTGTGAAAAAGTAAAAATTTTTATTAAGGAGAATTATATTACATTGTGTGCTTCACCATTATGACTCCAGAACTTACCTCACATAACCCTCTGGTGGACAGTTCACCATGTCTCCTACCTTGTACAAGACGTGTTGGAAGACTGAAAAGCTACTGTTTCTCGTGCACTCTTGAAGCCAGACGTTATCTACTGGGTATATAGTTAACAACATACTTCATATTCATTTTGTTTGCACCTACATACTGTAAATGCTTTTGCACTTCATCTTCAATCATCTTTGACACCCACACACAATGTTCCCATATATGAAAGCCCCTTTATTTATTCTTCTTGTTCAAGAGTAATTCATATATGAGATCATTGAACAGATGTTTTTGTCTATTAAGATTTTTTGTTTTACATTTTAGTTTCATGTTTTTCCCAAGTTAGTGAAGTAGACCTTTGCTTAGTGTTGTGTATGTCACTTGGTGTCTGAGGGGCTGCTGTCACTCATAATACATGTGGCTGTGTCCTGACGGAAAAAGAATTATGTTTCCTATGAACAAGTCATCATTGAGCTGAGCTGAGTTGGTTGTGATGTAGAAACTCATACTCAAGGTAATTTCACCTATACAATAGACCCTTGCTATTTGCGGGGGTTAGGTTCCAAGGAATGGTTCAAATTAGCAAAACTGCGAATAGCAACTTATACTACCTTAATGCACTACTGTATACCTATACTGTGTATGAGAAATTAAGTCGTCAATACTATTCTCCTTCGTGATGAAGTGTACTGTACAGTAGGATGAAATCTGGTTAATGAAGCATAGTGGGGAGGTGGATGGTGGAGCGGCAGCAGCAGCTGGCTCAGTAGGTGAGGGAGACAATCAGCTGGGTAAGCGGCTGGTTCTTTCTTGAAAAACATCGTGATTGGTAGCTGTTTCCTCTTGGCTTTGAGATTTCTAAACATTTCACTCCACTACCATCACTAGCACTGACACTAGGCAGTCTTTTAGGGGCCCTTTCACACAGAAACACTAAAGTTTTGAGTACAACACAAGAGATGTTGCATCGTAGACAATGGTTGAGTGCAAACAAAGGAAGACAGGGAGAGAAGACGCTGCAGGCGCATAGGGGTGACTTGTGGTGCTGCGAGAGCGGCTTGTTAGCTAGCCACCATCTGTTTACCCCGAATAGTCAAAATCGCGAATAGCAAATCCGTGAATAGTAATGGTTTACTGTGCAGTACTTGAGTCATTCAGTTCAGACTTTACTATGAAAAATGTTATTACAAGGTCAGTCCCTCATTTGTGACTTTTCATATTAATCTCCCACTAGAACGGTCACATCTGAATGCTCCTCCAATTTACATCCTATAGCAATAATCACCAAACCTGCATGTCATATCATCTTTCTTACATTTACCTCTCTTACTCCTCCATCCGTGAAAATGATAAATAACCGCAGTGACGTAATAAAGGCTCCATAGATTCCTAATTTCACTGGGAGCAGTTTCTCTACCCAATAAATTCTTCATACATGCTTCTCTTTCCTTATAAAAATTCACGACATTTTCAGTACTTCTTGCATCACTATTCTATTTATTCTTTTGGTGCTTTTTCCAAGGTCATAAGGACCATGGACATTCCTCCTCTAACTCCAGAAAAGAGTATCTGTGCACATTGGGTCCAATGATTTCCTAAATGATCAATACACCCATGCTGCAATGTAACCACCAACATGAACCACGTTAAACATTGTTCGCAACATTAATCTATTTTCTTCTGAATTTGCAAATTATAACAATACTTACTATGGATAAAATATGAGAGTCACTAGAAAGAGATATATGGCATTTTGAATAGCCATCGTCTGTGGTGTCAGATTGTTTTGTGAGAAATGTGCAGATATTTTTTTGATCTTGTGTACATGTAGGTACTGTACTGTACAGTTTAATATTATTTATATTATATTAAAGAAAGATTATCTTATACTGTTATATATATATGTCTGTATATATATTTATTTTATAGGATGAAGCATTTGGCCTTTGGGAAGAACAGTGGGGTAAACTCTACCCTGAAAATAGTAGATCACAAGAAATTATTAAGCACATTACCAATAACTACTACCTCGTGAATTTAGTGGACAATGACTACCCAAAGGAATCCTGCCTCTGGGATGTGTTGGAGGCCATGTTCACCTGGAGGAAACTCCAGGAGGAGAGATCACAAGAGCAGAAAGAAACGGATGATTCATGTGTTGTTTCTCAGTGAACCACCTTAAAGTAAATATTTTTTTTTAAACTTACTGTTTTACATTGACTTTGATTACCTAAAAAAAAATAATATAATAATAATAATTTATAGATTGTTATGAGTGTCCTGAAAGCTAGCCGAGTGTAGTTACTAAAGACTAAGCCAGTCTATGATTTGGGAAATACAGTACTGTACTGTACTGTACTGTAGTGTAGGGTACTGCAGTGTATTGTAGTGTACTGTAGTGTACTGTCGTAAAACATAGGATCCTATTTAGAATATTATAATGTTACTGTATATGTTTTTAGGTGAGATTTAGAAAATGCTTTAATTAGATTTTTTTGAAAAAGTAGAATAGAAAATAGCGTGATGAATGTAAAGTATTTTGGACTGTATCACATTGTGTTAACAATAGTTTTAGTTTTGAGGACTTGAGGGTCTCTACCACTTTGACAAAATTGTTATTATAGGTTTTATATTTAAATGTTATTTATTAAAAGCTGAAGCTGTTAACTCAATCAGAGCCTTTATTTTAATAAAAGGTGAACTAATTTGATATGTGCATAACCTACAAGTGTAAATATGATTATTGAGGGCCATGGGAAAATCATAGGTGTCCAGTAATTACTGGGTACCATTGCAAAATTAATTGCAAATTTCCAAAAGTCAATAGGACAAACAATTGGCCAAATATGAAGATTTTAATCACATATCCTTAATATATATATTCAGGAGGGCCTATATAGAGATTTTGAACAAAATCAATGTTGTTAAAGTTATGGTCAAAATGGTAAAGCTAATGCCTTAATAATATTTGGGCCGAGAAATCCTTTTCTCTCAGAATCGAAAATTAATGTTTACTGTATTGTGGTACAGTACTGTATATCAAGAATAACACATAAACAACAAAGAGAGCCAAAGAAAAATCATAGTCGTGGATGAGTGGAACAAGTTACCAAACATCATCATTAACTCGAAAATGCTGGATAGCTTCAACCATAGGTTGGATGGATATATGAGCGATAGGGGTTGGGTGTAAACGGGACTGCCCAGTATGGGCCAATAGGCCCGCTGCAGTTTCCTCCATTCTTATGTTCTTAGGCAATTAGTACTATACTGTAAAAGTAATTAAAATTTTTAAAGTGACATTGGGACAAGAAATTGCCCAAATATGAAGATTTTAAACACACATCATTAATCCAGATGTTCAGGTAGAGCCTAATCAATACGTATAAGATTTTTAACAAAATCGATGTTAATTTGTACTGGCAAACCCTTTTTCTCAGAATTGGAATTAAATTTGTTAATCTATTTAAGTATACATCCAGAACAACACGAAAACACCAAAATGTGCCTCTAAAAAACTGTAGGTGGCAAGTAATTAGCATTGTAAAGTTAACAAAAAAATATTCCAAGAATCATTAGGACAAGTAATTTCCCAGATATCAAATGTTGTACCACAGATCCTTAATCAGCATGTTGAGGAGTACAGGCAGTCCCCGAGTTATGACCGTCTGACGATCATCTACAATTACGAACGGGTTCCCAATGCATTCATCGCAAAAATTTTATAATTAAAATCTCATGTTGTACAGTCAACCCTCGCTTTACGCGGTCCCACATTCCGCGTTTCCACGTTTACGCGGTACCCTGCCGAAACCAGAATGCTCACATTCCGCGGTGCGTGTACCCCTTTACGCGGACAGCGGCTGGCGAGTCGCGCCATTTTTGGATCCAAACCTCCCGCCATCCGCCATGTTGTGTAAGCGGCGCGAGCAGGGTGCGCACAAGGTCGCCCAGTCATCAAAACATTACCGAGTTCTTCACCCGCCACCCACCACAGCCGCCCAAGTCAGTGATAGTGATAATTATAGTGAGGATATGGACTTATATGGACTTTGAGGGGTTTGACAAAGAGGCCCTGCAAGCCTCTGTGGTGGATAGTGATACAATTGATACAAGTGATACAGGTGAGGGCCAATAATCTGCCCTCTGCCTCGGAACCAACCCCCCATCCCCGTGTGCCCAGCCATCTTTTCTAGTAATGTAAGTGTTAAAAAACCTAATATTATTGATATTTCTCTTAATTATTAATTGTGTGTGCATACCATCATAAAATTAAGAAGTTATTTTTACTACAACGTAGGTATTGTGTCTGAAAAAGTGGAGTTTGGGGGTCGGCCCGGTCTCTATTTCAATTAATCCCATATGTTATGTTGTTCACTTTACGCGTTTCTCACTTTCCGTGGTACCCTGTGGGTTGAATTAACCGCGTAAAGTGAGGGTTGACTGTACATTATTTTCATTACAGTATTCTATACAGTATTGTATAGCATAACTTTATTAAAAGTTTTTACAATATTTGTTATGTTTGGGATCTTAATATTGTTTTGTAGGGACAGGGGTGTACTTTAACCTAACCTAAACTATGCTATTAAAACTGTTCTGACTTACGAACAAATTGATTTATGATCAAGGTCCAGGAACATATCCCTGTCATATGACGGGAACTGCCTGTACTGTTTTTTTATCAATCAAAAAGCTAACGGTATATTACAGCACTAGGTTTGTAAGCATTTTTTAAGACAGGTAACTAAAAGATAAATTTGCAGGCATATGCTGTTGCATATGATAAGGTACATAATCAAAAGAAGGAAATGTAAATCTTAATGGTAAAGTACAGAACTGTACAGTACTATCTTTTCCTACCAATGAAAGAAAGTGAATACTTATGCTACTGGTGTGTTTCAATGCAAAGATGCACATTACATATTTTTTTTTTACGGGGATTAGCCCACCCGGCCACAGATCGCTGACCCACATCAGGGCCTGGGGGTGAAAATGTAATAATAATAATAATAATAATAATAATAATAATAATAATAATAATAATAATATAATAATAATGAACCATAAAGAAATACAAAATGAAAAAAAGATCAAAAGTGAGAAACAATATACTGTATGTATGTTGTGTTGTCAATAGTAAGTGAAACAATTGAGACCCTGCAATTGTGTGTAAATGGGGCAGAAAGTCAGATCAGCAACCTGAGACTTGGTCACAATTTTTGTGATGCCATATAGCAGCAGGGTCTACCATAGGCAACTCATTATGCTTCCAATATCTTCCCAGGTGGTAGGACTTACCTCCCTGTTTGATAGCTGCCTACTACCTACTACTGTAAAGTATAAGAGGCTATGACAGAACAAGTTAAATTCTGTGAAGCTGGAAAGAGCAGCAAACCAAATTGTCAGAGTATTTTGAACAATATACTGGTTAGAATTATTATATGTTTTCAAATTGAAATAATTCAATCTGCTTTTGTTTAAGTGGGGTTGCATTGGTTGCTATCATAATAATGTTGTGTTTCAAGACAAGAGAAATCTTTAGCTTTTTGAGGATATCTTGTTTTGTTCCTTTTAATATACTGACATTGGCATTTTGTCAGGAATGGCATATGAGGTAAGTGGTCTGCCGTTTGGTGTTATTTAACCCTTTGAGTAAAGAGAGGTTACCTAAGCTGAATAAAATCGTCTGGCATTAGCCAGATTGCAATATTAATTTGTGTCACTACTAATGAAAGGGTTAATCAAGGTAGTTTTTAACCATTTGAGGAGTTAAATGTTGTCTATGTTGAATAAAATATTCTGGCATTTTGCCAGAATAAATGCTAAAATGTGACACTGCTAATGCAAGAGCTAATACAGCAGTTCATATTTAAATAACCTCAGTTCTCTAAACAATAATGTTGATAATACAGATAATATACACAGAATGAATTTATATTACAATGAAAAGAACTACATCCATAAGTATTGGTAACATGAAATTGATATGCAGCTCTTTGTTGTAAATTACTGGGAAATGTTTTGTAATAATGTAGCGTAGTTATAGACACATTGTGTAATTTTCTTATCTCCAATTCATTATGTAATTTGAAGATTATGGCTGAAACAGTAAGGCTTATTCCTAAGTAATCCTTAGGGCCACTGAAGCCTTTCTATTGGAATTATAATTTAATTCTATAATTATTTTAGCACATCCATAATAATACAAAAATACCAGAGTACCATCAGAAGTATCATAGGTGGAGTGTTAGAAAACTAATTAAGATATTCCTAGAGTCATTTGGACAATTAATTATCCAAATGTATCAAATTTTTAATCCCAGATCCTTAATTGAATTAATATGTTTAGAAGTACAGTACTGTACTATCGTGCACAAAAGTCGTGTCCACTACCCAGCCAGTGAGGTTTCGAATAGCCTTGAGTCTGAAGTTTCGAAACAGCTGGGGGAAATGCTATGGTCGGCCAACAGATGTTGCCCACTGTACTGTAGTGTGTGTGGGGGGTGGGGGGGGGGGCTGGATGAGAGGCAGGTTTATTTATTATTTATACCACCATAATTTCAAGCTGCCTTTTTAACTACGTTTTGTCTTGCAGTTGTTTCTTTACGGTTACGAATTCATGGAACAGGTGCAGTGCCCTGGGTGCTTATTGCCGCTCAGGTCACAATGATACGTTAAAGAATGGAATATATTAAGGATAAAAGTGAAATATGCAAGGATCAGCTAGTTTTACTCAGCGACCACGTCACAATTTTGTTGTTATTCCGACAAAGAGATTTTGGTAATATTTATTTATATTCCACCCATCCTTTGCTTAATAAATATTTGTGATAATATGCAATATTATATAATTATATACTTATGTTAAAAAGAGTGGAGTGAAAAAGTTATCAGTATTGTAAAATAGTATTCAGACTTAATCTAGTTCCAATTCTTCCAAGTTCCAGTGTTTAAACACCCCACCACAATATGCAAGCTTCATATATTTTGGAGTGTGCTCAGTTACCGTTAATATTGTGTGCTGAACATCATGAGCATGTCAATGATGGTAGCAATTGTAACTATATAATTATATTGTGTTATAAGACAACACATTCCTCGACGTGTCATACAGATCAATGTATACCACACAATACATAATTTGTGGCTGTTAAGTTACTTTGTTGTGAGTTTTCATGCGATATAGTTTAAGACATCATTAAGGACATGGATTTAAGATAACACTGTTGGTGAATTAATATATATTAATTGTATTTACAAACCATACTAAAATCCAAACAATACACCAATACACACATCTTAGTATTTGGTCCAGCCACCCATTGCATTTAGGACTTCATCAAGGCGAATAGGGATGGAGTCGTGACTTCAAATTTTGCCCTGGTCATAAATATGTCTCCCTGCGCCCGTAAGCACAGCCTCTATTGCTGCACAGGTTCTCTGCTCCCCAATATCCTAATCACGTTTCATCATGGCCCAAATGTGTTCAATCGGTTAATATCACATCCTAGTGTTGGCCGATACATTGACCTCAATTTCAAGGTGATCCTGGAGGTAATCCCTTCCACTGTTGGTATGGATAGGACTGTTGTCATGAACCAACAGCCTGATAGTGTGGGGGCTCGTTCTACCATAGCCGGACTGTGAGGTGCTTTACTTACTCAGGATGTCTACATCCTGCTGCAGTGAAACGACCATTGAGTCTTGACCAGTTCACCTGGCCATGTACTTACATCACCCCAGAATGGCCTTTGACACCCCTACCTTTTCTTTCTCACCTTTGATGTTGAATCCTTGTTTCTCTGGGGGCAGCCATACTGCCTTGCTTCGGTTCTCACTGGCCTAGACACCGTTAGGTGGTAAATATAATAATGGTTCTCAGTATTCTTCTCTTTGTGGAAGTGTTCAATGTAAAGCAGTGCGACACTCATGTGGTGAGTGTTAGCCACCTTTGTGAGCTGGAATATGGCGGTCGATCGGTTTGCTCACCGTCATCATGTGATGTCAGTTGGGGCCTAAATTTCTTCTGTATGCTCCACTGATATTGCGCATTGGATATGCCGTTACTTCTTACGATCTGGGCGTCCATCCTTGCTGATGTTACTCGTGGTCTCCGCTTGAGGTTTTACGTCTCCACTAGGCCCTCTTCCTCCCACTGTGATCCTCCTAGCCTTGGTGCTCCTCCCCGCCGAGAGCAGTGTTGGCGCAATTGCCCGGCTCACGTCCCGATGATTTGGCCATCCAGCAATCACTGCCTTACAATTGCTGTAGTCCTGCAGGCATATCTGAAATGGCAGAGCTAATATTATATTGTGGTAACTGATGCGAGCTTTTTATATACTAGAGTAAAATTAATGGTATTAGTAACACCTAGATTTAGTATTATTACTCTGACATAACGTTTTGGTAAATCTTTAGGATCAACTGCCCAGAAACCTTCTATTTCATGTATTCATAGTGAACTGCAAGTAAGATCCTCCCCCCACCCCCCCAAACCTCCACCGCACCACCCCTGCGACTGTAGAGTGAACATTCTTGAGAATCTGTCCATCATCATCAAGGCTAAGTAGCGGAGTTGGAACTAGTGAGCGTATGATGTTGTTTAATGTGGAATTATGGAACATTACAGTATCTTCAAATGGGTTTCATGCTATTAATAGGCCTTATGTAATCCACCAATAAGGTTAACAGCACAGTATGGCTGCAATTGGTAAGAAAAATAAAATATAACATGGCAAAATTTTTTGCCTGTATAATTTTACTACAACCCAACTCACTTCAGTAAACCCAAAAAGAATGTATGTTAATAGAAGACAACTCAGCTATGCCTCACATATTGTTTCACACTCTACAAATATCTGCTGTCACTCATGAGGACTGCAATAATATAGGACGACATGGAGCTGTGAAAATTAATGTGACTTACTGTTGTTGGCAGCGATGGTAAAGAATGATTTCGACTGGGTGGGTGGGTGTGCCTCCTTCCCCTGGTGTGGTGCTCCAAGGCAGTGCTTATGTATTCTCTGCGTAGTCACGGAGGAATCAGCTACTAATTGTGCCCGTCAGTCTCTCACCGTCAGCAGCCATGAGCGAGCAGAGATATGAGTAAATTAGGTAGTGTATTTACCGGTTACATGTCTCACCATGCTTAATAATAACTATCTTCACGACATTCTTATTGTTATCAGTGTTGCAGAATTCGATGTTATATTTCACCTAGTTCCACCTACACACAGCCTGTTACTTGACAAACCCCACCTCTTTCCCCCCACACACACACACACTACAGTGGGCGACATCTGTTGGCCGACCATGGCATTTCCCCCAGCTGTTTCGAAACTTCAGACTCAAGGCTATTCGAAACCTCACTGGCTGGGTAGTGGACACGACTTTTGTGCACGATAGTACCTAAATCCCTGTGATCGTGAATTTCTGTCACTACTACCAGCTTCAATTCCCAACATCGCTGTCATTTTCACTTCATCACTATAACTGTCATCAAGAAACTGTCATAATCATTTTGCAACATTTAGTTAACTTTCACTTTGGTAATATTTTCCATTTCAACATCAAACTCGAAATTACTGTAATTCTTATATTTATTCTGAACACCTATCTCACTACTGGGTTAATATAATTTTCAACTTAATCCAGAGGGCTATCGTTACTTTCAACCTTTGTCTCAGGTGTCTGTGTGTCTTGTAGAGATTTACCCTCTAGAGACTGTCATTTCAACCCTATTGTCTCTTTAACTTTAACTCCTGAACTACGGTCATCTTCACTTAAAGTTTCCTATTCACATCACTTTCCCATAATCACCAGAACACTATACATATGTCACTTTCACATATATCTTACATCACCTGTCATTTTCATGTCCCCTGTCACTCTCACTTTCCCTGTCAATTTCAGTTTAACTTCAAGGGTACTGTCACTTTGAGGTCTATTTAATTTTTTTCCATAATTTTCAGAAATGATGCAACTTGTAAGACCAAAGCAAATTATTCCCTGGCCTCGAGGGGTGAGTTATCCCTAGGCCTTGAAGGGTGAGTTATCCCTTGGCCTCAAGGAGTGAGTTATCCCTTGGCCTTGAGGGGTGAGTTATCCCTTGGCCTCGAGGGGTGAGTTATCCCTTGGCCTCAAGGGGTGAGTTATCCCTTGGCCTCGAGGAGTGAGTTATCCCTTGGCCTCGAGGAGTGAGTTATCCCTTGGCCTCAAGGGGTGAGTTATCCCTTGGCCCTTGAGGGAGTGAGAGTTAGTATCCCTTGGCCCGAGGAGTGAGTTATCCCTTGGCCTCAAGGCAGAGTTTTGGTCCTTGGCCTCGGGAGGAGAAATTTCTGGCCTCAAGGGGTGAGAGTGCCATCCCTTGGCCCGAGGAGTGAGTTATCCCTTGGCCCTCGAGGGAGTGAGTTATCCCTCACCAAGTGAGTTATCCCTGATCTCGAGGAGAGAGAGAGAGTTATCCCTTGGCCTCAAGGAGTGAGTTATCCCTTGGCCTTGAGGGGTGAGTTATCCCTTGGCCTCGAGGGGTGAGTTATCCCTTGGCCTCAAGGGGTGAGTTATCCCTTGGCCTCGAGGAGTGAGTTATCCCTTGGCCTCGAGGAGTGAGTTATCCCTTGGCCTCAAGGGGTGAGTTATCCCTTGGCCTCGAGGAGTGAGTTATCCCTTGGCCTCGAGGAGTGAGTTATCCCTTGGCCTCAAGGGGTGAGTTATCCCTTGGCCTCGAGGAGAGAGTTATTCCTTGGACTTGAGAGGTGAGACAACCCTTGGCCTCGATGGGTTGTCTCACCTCCTTATGGTGTACTTTGGTCTTGTGAGCTAACTTATCGTTGACCTCAAGGCGTTAAGTCACCACTTGGCTTCAAAGGGCTAAGTCATCCCTTTACCCCTTGGCCTCAATGGGTTAAGTCACCCCTTGGCTTCAAAGAGCAAAGTCCCCATTTGGCCTCAAAGGGCTAAGTCACCCCTTGGCTTCAAAGGGCTAAGTCACCCCTTCACCCTTTGGCCTTAGTGAGTTAAGTCACCCCTTGACTTCAAAGAGCTAAGTCACCCCTTCACCCCTGGGCCACGATGGGCTAAGTCACCCCTGGACCTTCAAGAAGATCTCACACTTTAGTGTCGGCCCTTGTGGTCTCGTCTTTAACAGAGTGCTTCGAGACCTCAACTAACATGATCTCAGCGACGGTGTGGGAAGCACCATTGGGAGGGTTGGCTACGTCCCGCCCATTTGTTGCCTTTGAACTTGCACCTCTGAAGAAGGAGTTCCTGGTAATCTCTGACTCTGTTGAAGATTGAAGACGGTAAGGTAAATAAGAGAGTGAGTGAGTGTTAGATGGAAGAGGGAGCCATACAGTAAGTGGATAGCCAAAGAAGGAAGACTCGGGTGATGAAAGAGGAAGAGTGATTGTAAGACGAGATGAAAAAGTTATATATGATGCACTGTTGTAGAAAAAAGAAAGAAGAAGCATATGGTTGGGGGAAAGAATAGGGAATGAGGAATAAAAGAAGATTCAGGAGACAAAGGAAAAATAAGACTGGAGGAACATAAAGACAAATTACCACTAGTGAGATACACAACTGTGAGGTTAATGACCGAGTACGTGAAGTTTGTCCGGGTAACAACTCACAGTAATCCTGAGTAAGCAAGGGACATATGGGGACAACATAAAAGATAAAGCATTTGTCTTAAAATCAGGTTGATAGTGAATGTTTATTACTAATAGAATTGGGCAGGGATTTTACACTGGGCAGGGGACACTACTTAAGATCGTGGATACTTGCTAACCATACTATACTGAGGATAATATGTAGTGGTCGACACCTACCTGAGTCTCGACGGGGAGGCCACAGACACATCCCTCGACCTAACAGGAAGCGACGCACCTGAGAACGAAACTTGGTGGTGGTGAAGGTGTAGAGGAAGGGGTTGAGGGCGGAGTTGATGGGTAGCAGCACCACCACCACGTACGCATAGAGCTCAGCTGGGGGGAGAAGCACAGGGCACTATAGTATTGGGTTAGGTATACTGTACGAAGACATTATGATGACCTAGAATGTATTACTTATCTTTCCATTTGTTAAATTGCAGAGATACATACACACATACTTACTGACACACACACAGACACACACACATACATGCATATATACACAGATTGGTAGAAAGACAGACATAGGCCGACATCCATCCTTCCATACACAAATGTATTTGCAAAAACACAACTCTAATTTTGATGGAACGTGGCAGATCGATCAGGTGTTGGCCACGAAAACAATGATCTTGGTAAAATAATATCAAAGGTGAAGGGGATACGCCAGGTGAATAATGTGTGCTACTTGACTGAAAAGCCACTAACCATTGTGGTCTGTTCAACACTTTGATAGCACTATAATTACTTTTACAACTTATTCATAGGCCGGGGTATTTATTTCACAAAACGGACCTCATAACAAAATTTACCATGTTGATAATATTTCAAGGTAAATTATGTAATTTTGAGGTCAAACAACGTAAGTTATGCCTAATCTCATGACCTCGTGTACAGTACGTATCTTGGCGTAGGTCCAGTACGAGTAACTCCTACTCACGGGTGATGTCCATCTCGGCGAGCGCCAGGACGCGGAGGATGATGATGGGCGTCCAGCAGAGACAGTCTGTGAACACGATGAAGAAGAAGCGCATGGCAAACTCTCGGTCGCCCAGGGAGAGCGGTGTGTTGGCGCGCGTGTGACGGATGCTGCAGAACATGCCCGCGTACGACATGAGGATCACCATCACGCTGTTAAAATGTACATACAACCAACAGTTAAGTCCTTGCATTATAAAAGACTATAGTTATTGTCATCTTTAAATAACTTAACATAATATGGAAGTGAATCACAATACTGTTTTTTTACTCATTATCTTCAGTGCATTTCAAGTGGGAAAGTGTTGTATAAATTGAAAATGTGATGATTTCTTCTCTCTAGTTGTGATACATTGGGACATAATATATGCAACTCACCCCATCTGGTTGAGGCCGACAAACACCATGGCAGAGTAGAACCAGCCCGGCACCCAGGGGTCGTCGAGGTGCAGCGGGAAGCACAGACCGTTTGTGCCGTAAAACCTCTGTTTTCCACGGTAGTAGTACGCTAAGGGGTTGTCACATGGTTATTATCTTTATTAAAATAATAAGGACAAAAATAACTAAATAAAGATATAAATACAGTGGTAGAGTCGCATTTGTTATACAGACACAAAGGTGCTTGTACTGTACATTTATGCTAGAATGTTTGTTCCTGTTATCATGCCGAAAACACTACCTTGACTGGATGATATTATTATTTTGATTTTGATTATTGTTGTTGTTCTAGTGATTACTGATTTATCATTATCAACATTACCCATCTCCTATGATAATGTCTCACCAGGGGCAACTGAGAGCAAGATGCCGAGGGTCCAGATACAGCCCAGGGCTGCCTTAGCCCCGGTCAACGACAACTTGGGGGCGCCCAACGGCCAGGTGATACACACCCACCGCTCCACGGACATGAAGGTCAGGATCAACACAGACACCTACAACAGTTACAGACACACAAAGGCCTGGGTTAACACAGGCAGACACATGCAAACAATTACAGAACACATTGCGTCAAATGCATGGGTCAGTTACACAGACATGATGGTCCAGATAAACAACTTTGAAATTAAATATGATAAATTCAACACAATGTATATACTGTATACCGTAAATATACTGTATACCGTAAATATACTGTATACCGTACATTGTATATCATAATATAATTGTATACTGTAAATATACTGTATACTGTAAATATAATTGTATACCTCGTAAATATACTGTATACCGTAAATATACTGTATACCGTAAATATACTGTATACCTGTATATCAATTTGGTGGGAGTTGAAAATTCTGTCTTCGTCTTTAAAAAATCATCAAAATAATCCGAATCCTAAAACTAATGTAAGAAACTGATTAGAATATCAATAATTTATTAATATAAGATGGATGAACAGTCTTGCCTCGGAGGAGGTCATAGCGAGGATGCCAGTTAGGGTACACTGCCAGGACATCATCCAGTAGTAAGCGTGTTCGTGGTACTCTGCCCGGAACTCCACGTCCTTCACAGCCACCGCCACCAGGTACAGCCCCGTCAGCAGGTCGGCAACTGTTGACATAACACACTCGTACGGTTAAAGAAATCATTTGGCTAATAACTTTAATGCTGGGAGAAAAGTTTCTCTGTTAGCTGCCTCTTCCAATCCTGCTCCCCTTTTCTTTCTCTCATTTTTATGCTCCTCTTTTTATCAGTTTCTCTGCGCATTTTTCTTTCTCTAAACCTTCACTTAATAATATGTCCCAAGGGGTTAACAGACCTGCTAGGTTACGAATGAAGAGGGAGAGGATCTTGTTGTCGTCGGCAGACAGGACTCTACCGCCCAAAACGGTCAGATTACCAACCAGAGTCGCCAGAGCCACCACCCACACCGTCACCCGCAGCTCCACCCTCACTAGTAGGTGTTCGAAGGACGACACACCTGTAGGGGAGGGCGAAGTGGATGGATGGGGCAGGTAAGAAGTTAGTGAGTGGGGAGGGAAAGAGAAAGAGTTTATGGGCAGTTAGCGATGAACGGAAGGCAACAGGTGATGAGTGGAGACGTGAGCAGTGAGTGGTTGGGGTGAATAGTGAGTGGGCAGTGGGTGATGTTTTGTTGAGAGGCAGAAAAATGGAAAGTGAGCAAGAATACACGTCCTCCTGGAGCATGATAAACACACGAGTTGTCACCCTTTTGTATAACTTTACGGGTCCAGGTTCTTTAGCAATTATATTCTCAAGAGGTAAGGATCATGTTCATCAAAACAACTTGAAATAAAATAAATATAATCCACAAAGTCTGTTTACATTAACACTGACAAAATTAAAATTGCGAATCTTTTTACAATAACAATGACAAATTTATGAAATATGTGGAAGAACAATCTTCCCCATTTTTAGCGCCGTCTTGTGTCTGGCCGAGGCGCGTGCGCGCATGCACACAGACACACACACACACACACACACACAGTCATGTGTATGGGACCCACTTTCATACTGTTACCATGCAGAAATTAACAAAGTATACTTTAAGTACATTTCTGTTTTAAGAGCATCTCAGAAGGGAAGTTTTCTCTATTCTGTCCAGATATAAACATTAACGTATTGGTTCTTGTTCCAGCACCAGTTCTGGGTACGTGGACATTCCCTCATCTATACTGACATAAGTAACTGTTCCGGCTAGAAAAAAGTTTACTTATCAATTGTAATTTTGGTAACAGCTTGCGAGGTCCACCAGTTGGGAAGAACTCACCGTCAGACTTGGGCCAGCAGTCAGGTATGTGTGGTAGGTAGCCACAGTAGCGGAACCTCTTGAAGTATCTGCAGTAAGGTAAAACAAGTACTAGTTGACAGTGTGAATTACAACACAAAATGGACAGAAGCTTTTACTGTTTACTATACAAAGAACCCAGAGTTTAGAAAAGTGGTATTGTTAGTAATATATTAAACATTGGGGTAAAGGACCAGAGTACTGTAGAAATTCTTCCCCAACAGTGAGTGAGTGAGTGAGTGAGTGAGTGAGTGACTTTCTCCTCCATTGACGGGACCATAGACAAAACTGCTACCACGGCTAATAATGTAGACGTATTGTGCGATAAAACAAAAGTTCACATCATCCATCCACACTGCTTGTTAACACACCCATTGTCTTGGTGTATGGTAAACATGAACATATCACAAATGAACAACAGTGAGCTAATATGAGACAATTGTTTAATGGCAGGTCCTTACATCCCAGATTTATAACATATAGAACTTTCAAGAATGAAAGATATTTGACAAAGGCAGAATATATTGATAAATGTAAGAGAGGGGTAAAGGAAGGCTATGGAGGTAGTGGTACATACGCGTGAGAGACGTTGGGGGTGAGATGATAGGAGGTCAGGCCAGTAGACAAGTTCACCAGCAGGTCCGTGGTCAGTTCTGCTCCCTCCAGCCTCCTGGCATGAGAGATGTACAAGAGAGAGTTGTAAGATGAGATGAGATACTGCAGGGATAATGAAACATATTTCTCATGCGACAGTGAGGGAGGGAGGGAGGGAGTTCTAGGAATCATGGAAGACAAAATAAATGAATAAAAGGGAAGTCGTACGGGGAAGTTAATAAATTCTCGGAGTGTTCAACAATAGTATAATATTTACTTCTATTAATTTCTTACCAAACTCTCCTACAGGCTACCATAAGACACAGGTGTGTGTACAGTTCCTCACACTTATACCTGGTACAGTGACTTAAGTTTTTTGTGAGAAGTGGCAATTCTGTGGAGTGTTTATCTAGCATCCTTAATCTGGCTACTTTTACGAGTTTCCTTAGAGCCATTCTGGGAGTTTTGATATGATGTAAACAAACACAGGATTGCCACATCTCACAAAATGCACCAGCACTGTAGCAGGTGGAAGTGCAGCCGACTGTACCTTACATCAAGTCATCTTCCTTCAGTATTTACTGTAAGTCACTCCTCATATCTTCATCCTATTCACTGAAATTATTCTGTCACTGTAAACAGCAACAATGCGCTGTGGTTCATACAGAAGGGCAACATAATTTATAAATCGTTTGTCATTATGTTCTTAGTTATATGCAGTATAAAATTTGATCCAGGCAACAGCGAGAAAATTATTGACCTGTGTCAGTTATTCGGAAACACCGGGCCAATTGATTTATCTTTTATCAAACCATACCCGACTAATTGGCTGATCAATTATCTGGCTGTTCCCGACTACTGTAATTGGTTCGTCAGTCATTCGTACACACCAGACTAGTTCCTCAGTTATCCAGTAGTACAACAGATACACACACACACACACACACACACACACACATACACACACACGCATACACATACTACAATTCATTTGACTTTTTTTCTCACAAATATCTTAAAATGTGTTAATTATTATCTCTCGTTGCTTCTTGCTTGTACTGATCAAGACTGAAGATTACTGCTGTCATCACAACTATTAATAAACAGCACATTAAATTTTACCCCTGCTACTACTATTACTGTTACCCCTATTACCATCACAGTGACAAGTGCTGCCTCCCTTAAATTTACCATATATACAGTAGTTACTATCAGTATTACTAGACTATTAATGCCACTATAATTAAATCATTACTATCACTATTTGTACTGCTATAAATTATGGTATTTATTCCTTGGGCAGCAAAGGATAGTGTGCAGCCATCTTGACATACTCACAGTGAGTCGAGACGAGAGAGGCGCCTTAGTGTACCGATCTCTACCATCGTCAGCGGGTTGCCCCCCAAGTTCCTGCCAAGTACATGGGAGTGTACAAGTAATACCTTAGAAAGTTATTGAACCTGCTTGAGAAGACATTAATTCAGACATAAAAGAAATACTGTACAGAGGGAAGAAAGAAGAAAAAGAAGGACGAGGGGAAACTGATGTAAAATTGAAAAATGAAAAGTTAACGCAGGGATATCAAGTAAGTGGATTAATATTTTTATAAAATGACTGAGGATATAATTATACAGTACATTATGTCGAGAGAGGTATTAAACAATTAGAAACATTAGTCAAACGTGATCATTGCTGTCATGGTGTTAGAGGAAGTGTAAAAGGAAGTAATTGGACAGAGGTGGAGGTTGTTGGGTGGTGTGGGGGACATCTATATAGAGAGGCTGAGAAGAGTGAGGGTAGCCGTTTTTATCTTTATTTTTCAAGAGCTGTTGTGCAAAGAGGACAGGGACTAGGTGATTAGTGGAGATAATCTACTAATCTTGTGTACGGGCCCACGGGATCACCTCTGAGCTGAATAAAATCATCTGGTGTTAGCCAAATGGAATATCAAAAGTGGCGTCCCTGTAGTAAAGGGACTAAGTGCAGAGTCTGAACATCAAAGCTCAGAAAATATTTGACGGAATATTCAGACTTAACTCGGATGGCCCCTTATTGTTGTACTTACAAGCTGACAAGAGAATCCAGGCCTTGAAAGGTGTCCGGGTGCAGGTACTGGATCTTGTTGTAGTTCAGCTCCCTGCAACACACAAGATGACTCACAGTGTACACTTGCAGACACAATGCCCTGAGCACTTGACAATATCTGGCATCATGCACTTGTGAGTCACGTATATGATTGTTATATATACAATAACTGTTTTCGTCACATACACTACAACCTCAAAATGAAAGAAAACACTAATAATATACTTAAAAATTCCAATCCCCTTCACCTAATGATCCTCAGTTACATGTCAGATACTGCCAAGTGTCCAGGGAATCTTGTCCGCAACTGTACATTGATCCTGAGTAGTGTACGCGGTGATATGCCATACTAGTGTACAGAGGTAATTTTGTCATTTTGAAGATTATTGTGAAGCAGGGTGAGTTGGAGCAGGGTGAGGTGGAGCAGAGTGAGGTGGAGCAGAGTGAGGTGGAGCAGGATGAGGTAGAGTGGGGTGAGGCAAATCAGGGAGGGATTTCGAATCATCTTAGGATTGTGATTGGAATTTGCCGCAACTCTGAGGTGTGTGTGTGTGTGTGTGTGTGTAAAATGGGAGAAGAGCATAGGCGTGGAAGACAGGAAAGTGTGGGCGTGGAAACCAGATGAGTGTGGGCTTGGAAGAGAGGAGAGAGTGGGCGTGGAAGACAGAAGAGCGTGGGCGTGGAAGCCAGATGAGTGTGGCCCAAAAATCCCATTACTCCGGCCAGTAAACGTCGTTATACATGGCCACAATGCTAAAACTTCCGCCCAATTTTAATTAATTTTCGACAGTGGAAGATCAAAGAAAATTTTCCCTATAACACCTGAAAAAAAAATATTAAGAAATACCCTTAAGACGTATTAGACCTGTCTGCTGTCGCCTTGGTATGAGGGAAATATTAATTAGGTGAGGGGAGATTTTAAACTCCTCTCACTTTAAGGTAAAATTCCTATTAGAGTTCTGCCAGTCCGCCGTCCCAGCCATGAACCCTGAACCCTGAGACTCATGAACCCGGAGACTCATGAACCCTGAGACTCATGAACCCTGAGACTCATGAACCCTGAGACTCATGAACCTGTGAATCCGAGACATCTCACAGTGCGCCATCTATGGGCCCAAACATCCGAACTATATCTACAGATTAGTGAAGTTTGAATTAAGTCAGGTCAGGTCAGTTTTCGTTAACGTTGAGTTAGCATTGGGTTAGGTTAGGTTAGTTTAGTGTTAGGATAGGTTAGGTTAGCTTAGCTTAGGTCAGTATGAAGATTATTATACTTACAGCTCAAGTAGTCTACGCTGTTCTTGGAAGGCGCCGCTGTAGATGACTTTGATCTTGTTGTGACGCAGATACCTATAGGGCAAGAGTCTGCTTATTGTGGTGGTGGTGGTGGTGGTAGAAAGATGTACAACTGACTATTCCTGTCTTCTTTATAAAGTGTTCTGATGATGATTACTCCGATAACCAAAAACGTCATATTGAAATCTTTCCAGTTGACCCCGATGGAAATACTTGACCCCGACGGAAATATTTGGCCCTGATGGAAATACTTGGCCCTGGTGGAAATATTTGGCCCTGATGGAAATATTTGGCCCTGATGGAAATATTTGGCCCTGATGGAAATATTTGGCCCTGATGGAAATGTATGGCCCTGATGGAAAATGGCTTGGCCTGATGGTAATACTTGACGTTAAATATGGCCTGATGGTCTACTTGACGATGAAATATGGCCTGATGGTACTTACCCCGATGGAAATGCTTGGCTGATGGTGATATTGACCTGTTGAAATTGGCCTGATGGAATACTTGGCCTGATGGTGATATGACCTGATGGAAATGTGGCCTGATGGAAATATTGGCCCTGTTGGAAATACTTGGCCTGATGGTAATGTACTTTGATGGAAATACTTGGCTGATGGTAATATGACACGATGGAAATACTTGGCCTGATGGAAATATTTGGCCCCGATGAAATACTTGGCCTGATGGAAAATACTTGTTGATGGAAATATGGCCTGATGGAAATACTTGGCCTGATGAATACTTGGCCTGATGGAAATACTTGGCCTGGTGGAAATGCTTGGCCTGATGGAAATGCTTGGCCTGGTGGAAATATACGACCCTATTGGAAATGCTTGGCCCTGATGGTAATCTTGACTGATGAAATACTTGGCCTGATGGTAATACTTGCCCCGATGGAAATGCTTGGCCTGATGGTATGTGGCCCGATGGAAATACTTGACCCCGATGGAAATACTTGGCCCTGGTGGAAATTGTCGCCTGCTTGTATTAGAAGGTAAACTATGGAGGTGACCTGGAGCTCAGTGAGGGAAACTAAAGGCAAACTTCACAGGTTGTATGGAGTAGTACAAGAGAGAGAGAGAGAGAGAGAGAGAGAGAGAGAGAGAGAGAGAGAGAGCTTGTAATATACTCACAATGTTTCCAGACCTGAGAGGCCCTTGAGGGAGTGTTCCGTCAACTCCTCCACCAGGTTGTCCTCCAGGAACCTGCCGTGAGAGAGGTAAGCCCTGGTCTCAACTGATATGAAAACACAATATTTCTATACAAGATCCGAGTGTCGTAATGAAGGAATAATGTAGACACGTCGCCAGACAATGCTTGGTGACTGGGACTTTGTGTGTGTGTGTGTGTGTGTGTGTGTGTGTTTACTGATATGTGCTGGAGAGGGAGGATATTGATTACAGGAAACATATGTCATTAGAGGTACATTATTACCTGTTCAATTATCTGTATTTTGCTAAATGTTCCGTTACTGTACCTTCATATCTGTATTATTCATATTATTATACAACTGCAGTTAGGTTATTATTATTATTAAACAGGTTGGTATTACTCACAGTTCCCTCAGGCTGTGGGCATGTGGGCTGACATTTCGACCACGCAAGGTAACCAGGTTAGAATTGAGCCATCTGCGGGGACAGGTGCGTGTTGGGACGTTACCGAGAAAAGACACTGTAGGCAGCACAACAACATAAACTATACCATAACCTAAACTCTGCACTTGTTATTAAATGGCGGCCAGAGGGAATATTTATGGAGGTGGCAGGGAAGGATGATGTACTCACAGGGTCTTCAGGCCAGGCACCAGAGTCATCAGTTGGTCGAGCTCAGAGAAGGTGTTGTGGGAGAGGTGTAGTAGCCTCAGTGTCCTTGTTGACCTCAAGCCCTCCAGCGACCCCTTCTCCTGCGTCGACAACCTGTTATCTGCCAGGAACCTGTCGGGGGAATACACACCTGTACACCAGCCTCCTGTGGGGGTGTACACGAATGTCGTTATGTACTGTACAAGTTATTCACTATCAACTGCAGCAAAAGTGGTGTTCTTTCAACGCTTAAATCAATATAATGATTGTGGTGGCTAATGTGTATACTTTACTTTTAAGTTTTAGATTATGAACAATTCTATATTATTGTGTTGCTACATGTTGTTCCTATTTATACATGTTAAGGATCTTCTGAAAGTTAGAAAAAATAAAACAAATGGCAGAGAGAGAGAGAGAGAGAGAGAGAGCTTACAGTTTGGTTAGGTTAGGTAGTGGCTTGAACACATCAGCTGGTAGGGACGTCAAGCCGTTGTTCTGCAGGTGCCTGTAATGGTACAAACTTCGTGAACAATGGTATAGAAATCATGAGCAATGGTATAAACCTCGAGAACATTGGTACAGGGTACAGATTTATGAACAATGGCAAACACTGCTTTAGAGATGGTACAAACTTGGTGAACAATGGTATGAACATAGTGAATAGAGATGTACTAAATAAGTACATTGGTACAAAGTTCTTAAGCATTGGGAAATGATCGTGTCAATAATAGTACACATCATATAGTAGTACACATGAATACTGGTTCACGGGAACAATGGTATACCTGAGCAATGGTACACAGAAACATTGCTATTTACAGTAGAGTCAGGCTATTTTCAGCATAGCTATTCTTATTACGGGAGAATTGTGCTACATTAGAAAGCCAGGATACTTACAGGAGAGTCAGGCTGGGGTAACGGGTGAAGGACTCTGCTGTGAGACTGATGCTGTTGTTTCCCAATAGTCTGTAGAGTTAATGGACACAGGTTATCGACCATGAGTAAATACGTCCTTGTGGTAACGTATAGTTCTGTACATTATGTTCGTGCATACTGCCTAAGTGTACACACACACACACACACACACACACACACACGATGTGCCAAACATACAGGCTGGTAACTTGCACATCGATGTCTTGAGGGACTGATGTTAGGTTGATGTTTTTGCAATGAATTCTCGTCTCCATTCGGCACAGACAGAACTCAGGGTAGTGCTTGAGATCTGGAACAGAGAAACGGCTGTTATGCTGATAGAGAGACAGACAATATCAGGATTAAACAACATCCATTCTGAACATGTAAATCCGTCAATATGTTTTAAGTTTATTCTGCGACATAACCACCACCACCATCTTGTCAGTCCAGGCCACTTACAAGCCACACAGACTGGCGGCCTCGAAATTCCTAACCGGCAACTTCGCTGGGTGAATCCACCCATCCCCCACCTCCAGAAACACGGGCAATTAGTCAGTGGTCAGTCAAGGTGCAAGGTCAACACTTACCCTCTACACATTAGCATGGATATATAAATAAAAATAATATTTAATACTGTTTCTAAAACCTATCCATGCATTTGTTTTAGTTACGAACGTTATAGAATTATCACTGGGACAAGGTATGGCTGGTTCGCTCATGTTTTGAAACTGCCCCGTTTCGCTGTTTCGGGTTCATGAAAATGTGAAAAGAAGCCTCGAACAAGAGAAGACGTACACAGTGTCAGTGTGTCTCTGCCTTAGTGCCGGTAAGGACGTACAGTAAACGGAAGCTTATAGACTAACAACTAGCCGGTGAAGAGACTGAAATTGACGAGGACTTCAAAGTATCGTAAAGTGTTCGCCAGTGTAGTAAAGTATTATGAAGTGTTTGTAAGTATCACAAAGTGTTTATAAGTGTCGTAAAGTAGTTATAAGTGTCTCAAAGTGGTCTTAAGTTTTAAAAGTGCTTTCAAGTGCCGTAAAATTTCCATACGTATTGTGAAGTGATCACATGTATTATAAGTAACGTAAACTGTTTATAAGTGTTGTAAAGTGTTTGTGTTATGAAGATTGAAAATGATGTGAAGTGCTTGTGCTCTGAAGACTTTAGGAGTGTAACAAAGTAATTGTGGGCGCCCAAAACACCCATACGTATCATGAGAATGATGTAAAGTGTCGTAAAGTGGTATAAAGTGTCGTAAAGTGGTATAAAGTGTCGTGAAGTGGTATAAAGTGTCGTGAAGTGGTATAAAGTGTCGTGAAGTGGTATAAAGTGTCGTGAAGTGGTATAAAGTGTCGTAAAGTGGTATAAAGTGTCGTAAAGTGGTATAAAGTGTCGTGAAGTGGCATAAAGTATTACAGTTTGTCACAAACATTCATGTAATATCCAAAGGTTTTATATAAAGTGCTTTTAAGTGCCAAAGGTCTGATAAAGTGCCATTAAGCCTAAAAAGTGTCGTATAATGTAAGATTTGGTTCACAATGAAAAGTGCAATGAAGTGTCAGAGGTGTCATGAAGTGTCAGTGGTCTAAAGTGTCCTAAAGTGTTAGTGTTCTAATTCCCTAAAAATGCGTATAGCTTCATTGTGTCATAAAGTGATATAAAGTGTCATAAAGTCTCAAATAGTCATTAAATGTCCAAGCAACATGCAATAGTGTCATACGGTGTCATAAAGTGCTGTGAAGTCTCAAACTGTCGTAAAATGCCATTGATGTAAAGTGTCAGTAAAGTGCCATTAATGTTTTAAAGTCTCACTGTGTCGAAAAGTGTCATTAATGTTGTAAAGTGGTACAAAGTGGCTTGAACTATCGCAAGGTGTAAAGTGCGTCATGGAGTACAGCAAGGTGTCGCTCAGTGTCACGAGGTGTCATAAAGGTGTCAACACGGTGCCAGGAGGTGACCCTGTACGGCACCAGGGCTCCCGCTACAACAAGTACAAGGTAACTACTACTACTGTTGTGTTCTTGACATATTGAACTAATGTTAAGGTCATTTCTTCTGACGTAATTGTACCTGTAAGTTAAGTGTGAATAATCATATAGGTGTGTGTGAGAGATAGAGGGCAGGTAATCTCATCTGGATTTTTTCTTTTCTTTTTCCAGGTAAGTGTGAGTTAATACAATTCTTCGAGGGACATTAACACACCGTATCTGAGGTACGTCCAAGTTATCATATTCATTGATTATCGTTTTATTCATCAGCTAAGTCTTGAGTCCTTCGCATCCCACAACAGTTTTAAAGGAACGTTACACTTTTCCTCTCCATCTTAAGGACGTCGGTGTCTCTCCCTTATCAGTGAGTCAACGTGATGCCCCCACTGGCTCACGCGGACGTCGGACCCACTCCTTATCCTTACACCGTCTTTGTGGTCGTCTGTGGTCCCGTAGCTCTCTATGTGAAAGTCTCCCCTCCCCTCCCCTCACGCCGTCTGTGAGGGTATCGGAGTCCTCCCCCTCCCATCTTCCCGTCACAGCATCATCTCTTCCATTCAAGTGATCACACTCACCTGTTTTAGAGGCTTCCGTGTTTCTCTTGGAAAGTTCAAGAACATCAAAGTATTTTTTGATGTAATTTCTAGGGATGCCACGTTATCCTTAGCTCTCATAAAAACAACAATTGTTCTAAGTTTTATGAAGACAGTCATTCGTGTTATACTGTGTTGACCGGCGTTAAATTTCCTTCTCTCTGTATTCCTCCCGGACCGAAAACTTGGGGATATACTGTATAGCAATGATGCTGTCCGTCCGTCCGACCACCCATGCATTCATCCATCCCACCATCCATGCATCCATCCATCCGTCCGTCCATCCATCCGTCTGTCATCTGTCCGTCAGTTCGTCAGTGACAGATTTCGTATCCACTGGGTATCTCGCCACAGACGTGATTGATTAATTTCAGTATTAGTGTGAGAGCGTTGATTATGGCGGGGTCTTACTGGGCAGTACTGGACGTGTTGGTAGTTCGGGGACTCCAGAGATCAAACCAGTGTTTCATATATCCAAGGTTGTCTTATTATAATTTTGGGGGGCAAACTACTTAACATGTTTCATTATTTCTATATCAAGATTCTTATCTAGTTACCTGTTGTGTTGATAACATATGTGGTTTTGTCTGTTTTTATTGAAAGATTGGCTGGTTCAGGACGGTGTGTGTGTGTGTGTGTGTGTGTGTGTGTGTGTGTGTGTGTGTGTGTGTGTGTGTGTGTGTGTGTGTGTGTGTGTGTGTGTGTTTCACGGTTTGGATTTCTAGTGAACGTGAATGACACGGCTGGTGATAAATGCATATATTTGAGGTAATGAAAACACAGTAATAAGTGGACAGAAAACATATACTAATGGAAGAACATCAACTTAATCCATGCTAACGTGTTCGGGGGAAGCATTGACTTAACACTTTGGCTGACCACCGATTAAGTGCCTGGTTTGTATGTTTCTGGAGGTGGGGGATGGATGCATCCAGCCAAGTTGCCGGTTAGGAAGTTCGAGGCCGCTTATAAGTGGCGTGAACTGTACCTTGAAGTAATCAACAAGCTTCATCTCTCTAATTCAGAATTTTAGACGCCAGGTTTTAGAAGGCTTCCCAGTAGCTTTGAACGACGTCCGATACCTGAAATTCCAATAATGTTTGTCGAGCGCCTCTGAGTTTGATCTTGTTCACCCAAACGAACCAGATCTCGTCCCATTACCTTCACCCTCCCAGACTCCTGAGTTCATTCCCACTGACTTACTTAATCTATTTATTAAGTTTAACCTATTCAGTGAGTGTCAACGTAACCTAACCTATCCTAACCTAACCTGACCCAACCTTGCTGAGCCTGATGGTGGAGGTTCCTGGCTATATTATTCTCTACAATATGTCTTGTCCATCTTGTAACTATTTCCATATACGACATTTGGCACTAGTTATAGATACATATACTCCATAATGTATTGTCTAATGGTAGACCCTGCTGCCGTATGGCATCACCAAAATTGTGACCAAGTCCCAGGTTGCTGATCTGACTTTCTGCCTTTTTTACCCACAATTGCAGGGTCTCAATTGTTTCTCTTACTATTGACAACACAACATACATATATCGTTTCTCACTATTGATCTTTTTTTTTAAATTTTGTATTTATTTACGTATAATAATAATATTTGTATTATTATTATTATTATTATTGTTATTATATTACAATATATTTTTATTTAATATTTATTATAATTTATTATTATTATTATTATTATATTTTCGTTCCCAGGCCCTGATGTGGGTCATTAACTCATGCTCCGTTGGGCTAATCCTGAAAAAAAAAAAAAAAAATATACTGTATATATATATATATATATATATATATATATATATATATATATATATATATATATATATATATATATATATATATATATATATATATATATATATATATATATATATATATATATATATATTTCATGTAGATCCACAATGAAAACGTGGATAAGATTAATCTTGATAAAATCACACGGGAAAAGGGAAACAACGGAGCACCTTAGACTTTCGTCTTTATTCAAGACATCTTTTTTTATTTATAGTTTTTATTTAGTTGAGAGAGGGAGCCCCAGTATATAGCAAGTGTTCCCTCTCTGGATGTCCGTATGCAGTATATGTTATATGTATACTGTCCATAAATTCCATTCAGCTGAGAATTCCTTTTAACGGCATCTCAATAGAATGTTGGTGCTGAGGGTACACTAGGTGGTGGTGCTGAGGGTACACTAGGTGGTGGTACTGAGGGTGCACTAGGTGGTGGTGCTGAGGGTACACTAGGGGGTGGCGCTGAGGGTACACTAGGGGGTGGCGCTGAGGGTACACTAGGGGGTGGTGCTGAGGGTGCAGTAGGTGGTGGTAATTAGGGTACACTAAGTGGTTGTACTGAGGGTGCCTTAGGTGGTGGTACTGAGGGTGCACTAGGTGGTGGTACTGAGGGTGCCTTAGGTGGTGGTACTGAGGGTGCACTAGGTGGTGGTACTGACTACACTTGTGGCGCTGCTCCCAAGAGATGGCGGGTTTGTCCAGTATCTCCTTGGTGAGGCCACTGTCTCCCTTGTCGTCCACTGCAGGCGGCCAGGGAGAGAGAGAGAGAGAGAGAGAGAGAGAGAGAGAGAGATTAGTGCCACACCTAGACATTAACGAAGATGGTAATTGAGAGGAAAATAATCACAAAGAAAGGTAATGATGAGAGGGTCATGTAGAGGACAAAAGATGGACGTAGAAGACGGGATAAAAGAATAAGAGAAAGGATAGATGCACAAACGCCATGTTTCCGTAAGAAGAAGGTAGAGAAAACGAAGAAAGGTAAGACTGACGACACGAGATAGACAATGACGTGAAGGAGAGACTAGGAGATAATGAGTCTCTAGAGATGAGACAGAGAGAGAGAGAAAGAACTGTGTACGAGGGAAGAGAGAACTTTCTAATAAATGAAGAGAACAAGAGAAGAGAATGATGACTGTGTTGGTTGTGATGTATAAAAGAACTGCGATTCATATCTAAATTTTTTTTTTATTTCTGTCTGTAGTAACTATTGCCAGGCGTGTTTGTTCAGTTAATTGATCTAAACATAATGGAATTTAGATAACAGGAAAAATGTACAAATTGTGATGGAATTGTCTGCGTAAAGAACAAATCGTTGTGTTTTGTAGAGTTTCATTATTTCTTGATGGCGAGACTGCGTTAATAGCAATAATAATTAAGTAAAATCTGTAAGTGTAAATGCAATAATAGGTTCAATATTAGGTTCAGGTAGAATAATAAGTAGAGGTACAGGTATAGGTACAATATTAAATACAGGTATTGGACAGGTACAAGACAATAACGGTACTTAAACATGTTATCTTTTATCACTCTTTTAATAAGAAGGAAGTTAGCTGCTACAAACGTGACATTTCTCTCACAATTAAAGACTTATATTCGCTACACAGTTAAAACTTCTTTCAATTTCTACAAAAACCCTCAAAACTTCTTTCAATTTCTACAATAAACTTTCAATTTCTTTGGTTGTTCATCGAGGAATCAAACTGGAAACATAAATAGGTCTCGGACTCATTTCCTTTCTCCAGGTAGACACTCCTTGCCACCCCTTCTTACCAGCCCTGACCAATCTCCCTGACATCTTCCCGGGAACCTAATGTTGTCTCTGTGGAAGCCAGGTGCAATTTCCCTCTCTCCTCCTCAACATTCTTCCATCTCCTCCACTCCTAACACACACACACACACACACACACACACACACACACAAAGACCAGATACTCACAACAGTTGAGTTCATCTTCCCCGGCCGGACAGTCTTCCTCTTGGTCACATAAGAACCTTTGCTCCACACACAGCGATCCGTTGGCTCCACACGTGAACCATCCGACCTCACACAGACCTGAAAAGTTGGACTCTCTCTCAGCTGCCTTGGGCATTTCTTAGGGGGGTTAGATAAGGTTAGATAAAAGATGTGTTTCGTGATGTGCTAGTTGTGTTTCGTGATGTGTCAAACAGACGTATTAGTAGTTTTTCGTGATGTGCTTGTGGTGTTTTGTGATGTGCGTGTTGTGTTTTATGAAATGCTAGTTGTATTTCGTGACAGTGTGTTGAAGGAGTGTTGGGAGTGATTGTGTTTCTGCTTGGGTTAACTAACTTACTTACTTAAGCTTGTCAGGGTGGACAGTAATTGGTGTCTGGCGTGTGAACTAAAGAACTTGAGTGACATAAAGTAAATTGGATGCTGTGGCTGTGTGGTGACTTGAGTTTGTTTTTGTTTACTTGAAGGGAAATATTGTTGTCATATTTGTGTTTCTTGACAAAATATTAAGGAATTATTATTATTATTATTATTATTATTATTATTATTATTATTATTATTATTATTATTATTATTATTATTATTTGTTTTTTTTTTAGAATTCTTTTTGGTACAGTGGTTAACGATCTCAATTTTTACTCGGAGTTACAGGAAAGAACACACACACACACACACACACACACACACACACACACACACACGACATAATTCCAGACTCCAGGTGACAACAATAACATGAAACCATCTATCCCGCGCTACAGTAACAAGGTGAGGGGTATCTTAGCTAAACCCGATCATTAATCCTCGTCTCTCGGCCTTTATTACTCTACTACCAGGTGTACTGTATATATCAAATTTCGGAGGCCCATGTTCCTTAATTAACCTGGTATTCCTCCTCCTCTCGTCAGGTGGCCCATGTTATCTAATTAACCTGGACTTCCCCCTCTTCCTCCTCCTCTCGTCAGGTGGTCCATGTTCCTTAATTAACCTGGTCCTCCTACCTCCTTCTCTCCTCAGGTAACCTGGGGTAACTTTATCAGATATCTGGCTCCAGGTAACATGTTCTGTTTACCTGGTACATGATTACAGGTCGTGGTGTTTGATTAGATGTTGTGTTATTTGATTACAGGTCGTGGTATTTGATTACAGGTCGTGGTGTTTGATTAGATGTTGTGTTATTTGATTACAGGTCGTGGTATTTGATCACAGGTCGTGGTATTTGATTACAGGTCGTGGTATTTGATCACAGGTCGTGGTATTTGATTACAGGTCGTGGTATTTGATTACAGGTCGTGGTATTTGATTACAGGTCGTGGTATTTGATCACAGGTCGTGGTATTTGATTACAGGTCGTGGTATTTGATTACAGGTCGTGGTATTTGATTACAGGTCGTGGTATTTGATTACAGGTCGTGTTATTTGATCACAGGTCGTGGTATTTGATTACAGGTCGTGGTATTTGATTACAGGTCGTGGTATTTGATTACAGGTCGTGGTATTTGATTACAGGTCGTGGTATTTGATTACAGGTCGTGGTAAATAATAATAATAATAATAATAATAATAATAATAATAATAATAATAATAAATAACAACAACAACAACAACAATAACAACAGCAACACCCTGACGGCAGACAACTCAACTTTCCATAATATCTTCCTCGTGTTTACAATGTGTTTCGTCTGTGTTGTGACCAGTGTTGTTCCTCTGATGGTCTTTGTTATATTCTTATATGACTTTCCTCGGCTCTCTTCTCTGATGTCTGTCTTGACTTGGTATATATTGTCACTGTGATTCTTTGTCACCTAACCTAACCTAACCCAACCCCAGTATCGTCACAAACACCATAACCCCTCCCCCCCCTCCCCCCGAAAAAAAAAAGGTGACACTGATGCCTATTTTTTCAGTGGCACCTCCGTCATGTTAGTGCCAGTCTTGGTGACACTGAATACGAGGTAGAGGGGGAAGGTAAGAAGCCCTGGTACCTGATATAGGATGTCACGAGAGAGCCTAAGTGTGCTACAAGATTCCTCATTAACTCGTATAGGTTATAAAGGAAACACTATATAACTAAATCATTGATATGTAATTTATTTAATACTTCCAACTAACTGTATCTCATATTAAAATATTTATACACTCTCTATATGTAAGAATTTATCCTGGTTTGACTCGATGATGAAGGTGTTTTCAAGGTGATTCTTTCGTCAATTTGGTTGTGCGAGGATCATGCAGCATCGTGTGGGCCTGGGAAGGGTTTTACACGTGTCCATCATGACTCAGGAAATAAGGAGGGCCAAAAATGTGTTCCGATTTTTATACTTGATTTTTGGTTTTAATTTTTTTTGTCGTTTTTGTTGTTCGTTTTTTTTACTTTTGTTGTTCTTATTGTTCTTGTGTTCTTGTTTCTCTTCTTCTTGTATTACTTGTTTCTTTTGTTGTTGTTTTTGTTCCAATATTAAAACCTGAACTATTTAATTCTATACCTCACTGTAAAACTTAAGCTGAGATAAAACCAACAATTCTAGACTGTTGACCTGTCTACACACACACACACACACACACACACACACACACACACACACACACACACACGCACGCGCACACACACACACTAATTCAATGACTTATTTGACTTAGTAACATAAGGATATTACAACATTAGTTAGTGTGTGTGTGTGTGTGAGCCCTATCCTATTTCCTGTCCCACTTCCTTGCCACCACCGTATCACTACACCGTCGCTAGTCACCTTTTGCACAAGAAGCTATTTAACATTATTCCCTCCATCTATAAACACAAACAAGAAGTCAGTAACACCTGTATATAGTTTACTGAGGAGTGAGAAGTGTTATTCCTTCCTTCTCTCAGTGAGGTAAACATTCTTCCTCAGCAAATTAACTCCCTCAGGATGGCTCCACATTCCATAAATAATTCCGATTTAATTTTTTCTCATATTCTCATTGATCTGATTAATATCTTAGTCATGTGGCAAGTATTTAACACCTCCTGAAACACCTTAGTTATCGGTACTTTAAATTCTTCATCTACAAATTGATCTCCTTTTAAGACGCTATTGTGTTTTGGTTATCTCTGAGTCTACACACTCTACTCTTCCTCCTTATTGTCGTAACTCAGTTCTTGTTATCTTCACTTCCAAAATACTTCCTCACTTCTCCTCCTTCTTCTTCTTATCTGTTGTTTACGTGCAGTATTTAGCTTTGTATTGCAGCTCCTAACCGGCCTTATCATAACCAGACATATTTATCAGAGTTTATTTACATAGCTTCATACATGGTTAGAATTCTCGCCAGCTTTCGTTGCACTACGCGTCTGATGCTTGGATTTAAAATTAAGTAATAATATGCTTCGATAACATCATATATACTGTATTTTCACTTCCCCGAACATATATGCCAGACAATCTCTTTCACACACACACACACACACACACACACACACACACACACACAGACACACACACACACACACACAGACACACACACACACACACACACACACACACACACCCACCCACACACACACACACACACACACACACACACACACACACACACACACACACACACACACACGAGACATTCCTCCCTGTTGGATCTTACCCCACATTTATTAACCTCTTGTGTACGAAGACGAAATATTAAGTGGTGGACACAAGCTCAGTATAAACATCACCTAACATGAAATATAAATAAACCAAACTAAAATATTCACTTTGTTACTCGTATATCATAATTATAGGTTGTTTTATTTTTAATTTTTTATTAGATTTTCTTTCTCTGGTTCTTTTTCATCCATTTTTCTCTTCTCTCTCTTTCATAGTTTTATATTTTTTTAATACGTTCTTCCTATTTCAAGTTTTCCTTTGAGTTGTTTGAGTAAGAAGCGACCAACGGGAGAACCGTCCAGGGAGAACTCCTTTGTTGACAACCTGGGAGCAGCACAGACTTATCTCTTGACTTTACTTTATCATCTTCGACTCTGTAACTCTCTCCACCCTTTTACACTCTCACTGGGTTTAGTTTCACATCCTAACATGCATCTTTCTGTTCTGCTCGTCATTCTCGTCATCAGTAACGATTAATCTCTTGAAAATGAACGTAACTGCCTCTTAGTTCACGTATGATGGTTTCCTAGTCGTCCTTAACTAACAGAATTGGTCTTGGCTGTATATTGTATAGTCTCCGTCACATATATAACTTATTATGCTATATTCCAGGACTATTCAATATCCTTACTGATTAATAATTTTGGTAGGGAGGTGCGGGTGACTTAAACGATGGTCGTGCGATATTTCCAGGGCGTGTTGGGGTGTGTGTTGGGGGGGTGTTGTGGGGGACAGGGACAGGGAGACAAAGAGACAGAGGGTAATGAACAACTATATAATTAATCATTACAGGTGCACAGGGACTATTAGGTTTCACTTCTGCAGATGCCAGATTATGTCGGCATCGAGGGAATTTTGGCCACAACTGTACAGCCTTCAACACGCTCTAGAACAACATCCTTCAACACGCTCTAGAACAACATCCTTCAACACACTCTAGAACAACATCCTTCAACACACTCTAGAACAACATCCTTCAACACACTCTAGAACAACATCCTTCAACACGCTCTAGAACAACAGGAAGGAGGTGAACGGGGAGGTGTTGAGGCAGTAGATGGTGGTCACTGTCTACATGGGTCCAGATCAAATAGACGAACATAACATAATCTTTGGAATTGAGGCTCAGTTCTAATAGGCCCCAACCTTAATAGTTCTCTACTAAACCCATTCACAAAGGGTCGTCAGTGTAATGGAGTCTTAGAACTAATGGTTAGGTTAATTTGGATTGGAGATTTTTCACCCACACCCACGAGCCTTGAGATAGGAAACACAACAAAGTACTGGAGGCCTGGCGACACATATGGTGGATTTCCAATACTTCACCTAGACTCTTGAGTAAACAAACTCGTTCTATTAGATCTGAAGAGGGTAGAGAATAGGATCAGGGAGGAATGGTCTCAGGTACTGCGCTAAGTGGTAGAGTAATGGAGGGAGAGTTGATCACGAGAGACCAAGGTGATGGTGGTGGAGGAGACGCCCTCTTAAC